GATTCTTAAGAGGTTAGACTTTCCCCCTAGGGTAAGGGGACCATCGGAGGAGCTGGAGCAGGAGAGGACACAAACACATCTGGGATCTGAAAAGACTCCTCTGGAGCCAATGGGGGGCAAAAAGGGGAACAAAAGCCAGGAGTGAGACTGGCCAAAGTGGGAGAAAGTTAAAATAATGATAAAATAATCATAAAATACTAATAACTGTTCAAATTAACAGACTAAGCACTGTTCGTGCCTCTAATTCTCCTGAGAGCTGGAGGGGTTGATGCTATTAGTAGTCGCATCTTTCAAAAGGGGACACTGAGACTCAAAAAGGGAAAATAACCCTTCCGGCGGGTGAGCGTGCAGGAGCTCAGGGGCTTTGCTTCTTGATGCTGTCAATCTCCCTCCTTACCTGGAACCCCTCTTAAGGGCCAGGGTAACGTCTCAGCCAATCAGGCCGCAGGCTGCTGATGCGAGCCAATCAGATTTCTAGGAGGCCAAACATTGCCGAAGGTCAAAGAATCAATTCATAAAATCTACGGGAAGTTCTGAGGACTCAAGTCGGTCGCTGATTGGCCAGATCAGACAATAGCGGTGGACATCCTGTCCAGTTAGATGGTGGCCAGGCGGGGGCACGAATGGTCCTATAAGCAGTTTCTGACCTAGTCCGCGGGAGCAGTGGGACAGGGCAGGAGGGGGGACGGGTTCAGCTCAGCCAATGAAACTCAGCAGTTATTGCTGCTGCTGCTATTAGTATTTCGCCGGCTCCTTTGCGTCACACACGACAGAATTTCAAAACACCAGATGCCCAAACAGAGCATCCCTAGGACAGAAAATGTGGCCGCGACCTGTAACTGGACTTTGTCTCCCTTGCTGCTTGGGAGGCTCCCTAGCAGGTCCGTCCTTCAGGGCGACTCTGCTCCCCCAGGCCCACAACACTGGCTCTCCTCCTCCAGGAAGCCCTCTGGCTGGAGCGACGTGAGCCTTGCCGAGTTTGCATTCCTGCGCTTCATCCCCACAGCCACCCCCTTTTTGGGGGGGGTTGGTACTGGGGGTTGAATTCAGGGGCCCTCGACCACTGAGGCACATCCCCAACCCTATTTTGTATTTTATTTAGAGACAGGGTCTCCCTGAGTTGCTTAGCACCTCGCCATTGCTAAGGCTGGCTTTGAACTCCAGATCCTCCTGCCGCGGCCTCCCCAGCCCCTGGGATTGCAGGCGTGGACCACCACCGCCACCCTTTTCACATGCTGTTAGGACACCCAGCCCAATCCGAGATCACCCTGCTCGGGGAAGCCCCTTGGGTCCCCTCTCTGGATGCCCCCAAACCCTCCTCTCCCTCTGCCCCCCCTAGACCCTCCAGCATGGGATGCCCAAGTCCTGCTCCGTCACCTCCAAATTGGGGGATCCTCAGATGATGAGGCTTGAAGAAGCAGCATCACCCAGCCAAGAGGATACCCCAACTAATATGTTTTAAGGGCAATTCCAGGGTCGCGGTGGGAACCACGTTCGGCAGGAGCCGTTCCGTCGGGGAACAGCCGCTGGGAGGGGGCTGTGGGGAAGCAGATGGTGCGGGAGCGGAGGGCCGGGGGCGGCGCCAGCGGAGCTGTGTGGGTCCAGCTTCCTGCTGAGCCTTCCAGGGGCTCCTTTCTCTCCGCCACTGCGCGTCTTTTTGTACCGGGGATGGCACTGAGATGGTGATTATTATGAACGTCACCGAGTCACCCTCTGGGCGCTGCGGCATCCAGGTCTCTCCCCCCAGCGCAGACCCTGCATTGGCTGCTCCTGGATTCTCCCCAGACTCTACAAAGCGATGCCTCCGTGCTCTTTCTTGAGGACACTGAGGCACAGAGGGGTTAAGTTGCTTGGCGGGGGCCACACAGTGCAGGAGTGAGGCGGCTGGCCTGGGGACCACAACTGTCAGAACTTTGGAAGGAAAAGGCTGAGATGGGGGTGGCAGCAGCTGGGACCCCGGGGTTCAGATCCCTCGGTTTCAAGCCAGGCGGTGGGGGCGAGGTGGGATGAGGTCCCACAGCGACTGGAGGAGACAGGAAGGAGGTCTTGGTGGCACTGGCGGTGGCGATGGCTCCTGGATCTGGGACTGCCTGCCCTAACGGTAGTGAGCTCTGTCCTGAGGTTCGGGGAGACCTCCGAGGGGCAGCTCATTCTCCGGTTCCGAAAGGTTCGGTTTTGTGAGAGCAGCGTAGCTGGGAGCAGCCTGAGGGGGACCGCCGGAACCCCGCACCCCTCCTCCCGTTCCCCCGCGGGAGACCCTGCCCCTCCTCCCAGCCGGGTCGTCCAGCCCCTGGCAATTTCCGGCCCCCTCCAATTGGCTGCGGGGGCCGATGACGTCATTGGTTGCCATGGCGAACACCCCGCATCAGGACGTGGGCAGCCTGGAGCCCACCGAGGTAAAAATAGTCCTGTGTCCCCAAGCAGCCGCCCCATTGTGTGTGTTTGTGTGTGTGGGGGGGTGTCCCGAGACCCAGTTTCCCATCTCCCCCTCTACCGAGAGTCGTGGGCACCTGGCTTCCCTCAGTTTCCCAGCGTGTAAAACGGCCCCTGCACCTGGGGCACAGTAGAGGCTCAGTAAATGGGAGTCCGAATTCCCAGGATTGTGATAGCTTCTGCGTAGGCCCTCGCTGAGCTCAACACACAACAAAAATGATCATGTTACCCCAGAGTCCTGCTGATGTCACCTCCAAATTACAGATGGGAAACTGAGGCACATCATCACAGATCACTCTCACCACCGGAAGGAAACATAAGAGAACGGGAGGCAGGTCTGAATGTCCCTGGATTCTGGGGAAAAAAAAAAAAAAAAAAAAAAAAAGAACTCTTGGGTAGGATCTCTCTGAAGGTGGACCCTGGAGTCACAGCGGACCCCAAACCCAGGGCTTTCTAGCTGCCTGTGGTAGAGGCACCCAGAGTTGGTGCAGGCCAATTTGTCGAGCTCTAAAAGGGAAGGTGCAGCTGGTGCAAAAGCCCTGAGGCAGAAGTCTGAGTCCAGTGTGTGGAGTGACTAGAAAGGAGGCATTGGCTGAAGGGAAAATTGAAGGAATGATTTGGGGTGTCGCTGGATCAAGGGCCAGGGTTCAAAGTGCTTGCTTTCTAAGGATGATTCCCCCCCCCCTTTTTTTTTGTCATTTCAGAAGGAGCTGAGCCTGCCTCGCCGAGGACGGGGGTGAGTTCATCTGGGGCCCGTGGTCCTGGGTACAGAGTGGTGAATTTAGGGAACAGTCACTCAGAGGCTTCTCACCGCCAGCCTGCCCTGGTGTTTGGAGCGCTTCCTGAGCACGTGGGAGGCTGGCCGGCAGCCCGGAGGCCCAGCCTGTATGCAAATGAGGGACCTGAAGCGGGGAGGAGCTTGGTCGCTGGGCCCCGGCGGAGCTCGGAACCGAGACCCTGCTCTGGAGTCCGGAGTCGGATCTGGGGCGCCCCAGCCCCGCACACCCAGAGCAGCCCGCACGCCCCCCGCGGCGGGCAGCTCACCTCCGTTCAGGGGTGCTCGTCGAACATTGTCCTCCTAAGGGTCACACCGGCATTCCTGTAGGTTGGCAGTTTGGGATCCCCAAAGCTCAAGAGCCTCTTGTTCAAGGTCTCCCCCCCACTTAAGGTGGGAGAACCCAGAGCCCCGGGGGGGGGGGGGTCCTTGTGCTCCCGTCTGACCCCGGGTGAGCGCAGGCACGCCCTCTTCGCGGGAGGCCTTCGCCCCAGTCGGGGCTGGGAATCGCTCAACAGACATTTCTGGGGCACCTGCTGCATGGGGCAGGTGCTTGGGGCACAGGGGACCCAGAAACAAGTGAATCGCAGGCCTGCCCACAGAGCTAGTGCTCTTGGGGAGGGAAAAGGGACAGTGACAGTGCAGCCGAGAAAGAGAACGAGGGGCTGGCGGCAGCTGTAGCCTGAGATCTGGGGGCTTCTAGGAGGAGGTGGCCTTGACTCTCGATCTGGAAGGGGAGGAAAAGCGGCCCCTGGGAGGCTGGGGGAAGGGCACCCCGGGTAGAGGTTAGCGGTAGGAGCAAAGGTCCTGAGGTGCGGAGCAGCTGGCGTTGGAAGACCGCAGGGGGCAGGGCGGCTGAGCCGAGAGAGGCTAGGGGAGGTGGAGGGAGAGAAGGGGGAGGTCTGAGGACGGGGTCAGAGTGGCTCCCTAGGCCAGGCCATCTGCTCTTGTTGGAGTGGGGATGGCGCAGCTGGTGGGGAGGGGCCTTAGGGGCCCAGGAGGGGAGGGACTCGGACATTGCCCGGAGGGCGGGCACTGTCCCTGGCCTTTGCCCAAGCTGGGGGCAGGGTAGTGGGCAGTGAATCAACCGCGAAGGGCAAAGTCCGGGGCTCTAGGGCAAGACGGGGCCACAGACCCCCGAGGAGTTGCCCCCTCCCTGCCCCCTGCCTGACAAAGTCCACCCTGGGATCAAGGGGTCGCGGGGCGAGACACCCATCCTCAGATCTGTGCGGTCGAGGCTGAGAGGAAGGGACAGCTTGGGCTGGGAGCGCCGTAGGGGGGCGGTGAGGGGACAGCTCCGCGGAGTGGGGTGAACTCGGACGTGGATGCCGAGAAGGATGTTTCCAGCAGAGGCAGCCGCGCGAAGGAAAGGCCTGGAGGCGCGTCCGGGCCTCTGGTCTGCGTGGCGATGCTGAGAGCCGGGACGCGGGCGGGGGACGCGGTGACGGGGCTGGGCGGAGCGCGGGCATCCTGGGTGCGGGACGCCCGGGGCCAGGCGAGGGCGGAGCCGGCCGGGAGGAGGGGCGGGGTCGGGCGATGGGGCAATCGCGCCGCCCAGGCGGCAGTGACCGCCCTTCCTTTGGGGCCACGCAGCTGGGGACCTGGGGACCTCGCGGCCTCGGAGCCCTCCAGAGAAGGGGGCGGCGCCCACCGCTGCCTTCTCCCGGCCGCGCGACCCCTCCTGCCCGCCGGGCTTGCGCGCAGGTGCCGCGCTCCGAGCCCCGCCCCGGGGCGGAGAGAACCGCCCCCCGCGCCCCCGGCGGCCGAGCCTCCGCGCCGGTCCGCCGCACCCGCCAGGCGCGCCGCCCCTCGGTCCGTGTCTGTCCGTGCGACCGATCGCGCCACGATCGGGGCTTGGGAGCCGCCAGGAGGACGTCGTTACCCGGCCGCGTAGACGCGGCCCCAGCCTCGGCATGAAGTCCCGCAGGGACAAGCTGCACATCCCGGCGCTGACCCTCGAGTGAGTGCCGCGCCGGGCGGGGAGGGGGACCGGCGAGGACAGGATGACAACCACCCTCCCAGCCACCCCGCGTCTCGGTTGGTGTCGCCGCCTCCGGGGAGCCTTCCTGGCCCCTCCCTCGCGGCCTGCGCTGAAACCCAGAATCCCCGGCCTGGGGCCCCTCCTCGCCCGGAGAACCACTGCCCTGGTCTGGTCTCCGGATCCGGCCACACTCAGGGGCAACCGCCAGGTTCACCGTCCCCGGCCTCTTTCTTTGCAGTCTGTCTCCGAGCAGTCAGAGCCCGTCGCTGCTGAGCCCCAGCAGCCCCTGCAGCCCCTGTAGCCCCTCCCTGGGCCTGCACCCCTGGAGGTAAGTGACCGCGCCGCTGCGGGCACCCCAGAGCCTTGGAAGGCTCCAGACCCAGCTCTCTCCCCAGGGTACTGTAAGCTGGTGACATCACCTCTCAGGACCTCAGTTTACCCCTCTTTATAATGGTTGGCCCAGGCACACTGGGGCCAAGATGGGGAAATTCCATTTACAGCCTGGCCAGCAGGTCCTCACCTGACAGGTGGCCCAGGCCGGCCAGAACTTGAGCTGTTGCCCAAGGACTTCCCCCAGACAGGTGCTGGATTCCCAGGCTGCTCTGGGCAGCGACCTCGGGGACCTACGTGGAACTCTCCTCCCTCTGAGCATACACACACGCCCAAGCCCCAGAATCCACCACTAGAGCCCAGGCTTGGAGCCCTGTGCACCAGGCTGAACCAGACAGAGCGGTCAGGAGGAATACCCAGCCTGCCGGAGTGCCAGTGTGGCTCCAGGCCCGCATTCCCTCCCTCACCCTGGCAGGAGGTCCCTGCTTAACCCCATTTCCCAGCTGAGGAGATTGAGGCCCAGGGGAGAATCCTATTCTTCTGATTTAGTGTGTCTGGGGACCAAGGATCAAGGCCAGATATGCCACCAGAGTCTGTCAAGGTTTGAGTCACTCTCTGTGACTGGGCAGGTCTCAGGGTCTTGCCACTGTACGGGGAAGAATGTTATGGACTGGAACCCAGGGGTGCTTAACCAATGGGCCACGTCCCCAGACCTTATTTATTTATTTAGAGAAAGGATCTCGTTAAGCTGCTTAGTGCCTTGCTAAGTAGCTGAGGCTGGCTTTGGACTCATGATCCTCCTTCCTCGGCCTCCTGAGCTGCTGGGATCACAGGCATGCGCCACTACATCCAGCCTTTCCAAAAGCTTTTCTTTTTTAATATTTACTTTTTAGTTGTAGGTGGACACAGTACTATCTTTATTTTTATGTGGTGCTGAGGATCGAACCCAGCGCCTCAAGAGTGCTAGGTGAGCGCTCTACCGCTGAGCCCCAGCCCTGGCCCTCCACATGTTTTAATAAGAGAGAACAACATGGAGCCCACACTGGGTGCCTGGCAGTAGGCAAGTTTCCTGTCATTCAATCAGCAAGTGCTTATTAGACACCTACTGTGTGCCTGGTGCTAAAGGCATAAATGTGAACAAGAGGAACACATTCTTTCCTCCAGGGAGTTCTCAGCCAGCATGAGGAGATGGTGATGAGCAAGCATGTGGATAAACAAGACCCGTTCAAGTAGGGAACTCATGGGGAGTTGCTGTTTGAGCCCGGGCATGGACAGATCTAGGCAGAAATTGGCACAAGGCAGTGGGAACAGGATATGCAAAGGTCCTGAGGCAGGATGAAAAATTTTAAAGCTTCTGTCACTGCCTGGGGACAGGCATGGATGTGGCAGAGACAAAGAGGTAGGTAGTGCAACATTTGGACAGAAGAGAGTAGGGCCTGGAGTAAGTTGAGAAGCAGGGACTGCTGTCATCCCCATAGAGGAGAGGAGAGAACAAGCACACAACCTCAGAATGTATTGCCCAGAGACGCCCTGGGAGAGCATCAGGACAGATCTGACTCTGAGTCCTTGGCCTCCACCCCAGTGAGGACAGGAGGGGAGGGAAGGAGCCCTGGGTTGGGCGTGGCGGAACAGACTTATCAGAGGAAATGGAGGCAGTTTGGGGCCAGAGGGGAGGCCACCAGGATGCCTCACTCACCACCAGGGGGCAGCAGAGCCAAACTACCTCGGGCCATGCGAGCAAATGGGTCTCTGCCTCCAGGTGGCCCAAGCACCCTAGGAGTAAGCCTTCATTTGTCCCCTTAGCCCCCAAGGCTCTAGAGGCCATGGTCCCTGTGTCCCTGCCCCCACTTCCCCCCCATACCTCTCCCCATCGCTCAATCTGCTCTAGTCAAAGAGTTTGGGGGAGCTGGTCATCCTCAATGCAGACTGGTCAGGCCCCAGGACCTTTGGGATCATTTCCCCTCTGCCCAGAGCCCCTTTCCTTCCAGGTCTCCATGAAGCCCTCAAATGGGCAACTGTGCCAACTTCTTTCCAGATCCTGGTCACACTGTTATGCTTGTGTCCCTCCCTCTGTCCCCACCAGGAGTGCGACCTGCACGTCTTCTTGTGTGATCAAGTTGTTTTTCTCCCTTGGAGGTTTGGGAGCCCCAAACCTGAACCTGTTATGATCATTTGTGTCCTCAGGGCAGGGCCTGGGATCCAGCGGGTGCTCGGCTAATGCTTGTGGCATGGGTGAATGGGGACAGCTGGGAGGGTGTCTCCTGTGGTGGTGGGAGTGGAGAGATGGTGTTGAGAAAGATATGAGGCGGACCCTTGTGGACAAAGAGGCTGTTCCAGGCAGGAGCAGCACTGGGAGCCCCTGGGACACCCCTGGGACCTTAAAGGCCAAGGGCAGGAAGAATGTGGCTTTTGTATCTGGGGCACTGGGAGCCCTACAGGATGTGGGGTCAGGAGAGGCACAGGGGGATGGGCCAGTGGGGAGGGCAGAAGGGCTGCGGTGGCCAGTCCAGCAGCCAGTCAGGGGGAGGCCTGAGACCCACTTACCCAGTCCCTAGCACAAGCCGAGAGAGGCAAAGGCCAAGGTCACAGAGTGGATGAGGGACCTGGGTAAGATCTGAATCTTAAGAGGGATCCATTCAGGGATTCTACAGTTCTGCTCCAGAGCAGTGAGGAGCCGTGGGGGTGTGGGCACAGGAGGGGCCTGTCTGATGGGTGGCCAGCGGGGTCAGAGCTCAGCCCTTCTGGTTTGTCTTTTTGTGGGGGGATGGGGAGTACCGGAGATTGAACTCAGGGGTACACAACCACTGAGCCCCCATCCCCAGCCCTGTTTTGTATTTAATTTTATTTTATTTTGATTCAGGATCTCAATAAATTGCTGAAACAGGCCTCAAGCTTGTAATCCTCCTGCCTTGGACTTCTAAGCAGCTGGGATTACAGACATGCACCACAATGCCCAGACCTGCTACCAGGGATTGAATTCAGAGGTGCATAACCACTGAATCACATCCCTAGCCCTTCTTATTTTTTTATTTTGAGTCAGGGTCTAGTGGAGTTGCTGAGGCTGGCTTTGAGTCACCAGGATTACAGGTGTGCACCACCAGGCCTGGCTTAATTATAACTTTTCTTGGTGGGGGTAGTTCTGGGGTTTGAACTTAGGGGCACTTGACCACAGAATCACATCCCCAAGTCTAATTTGTGTTTTATTTAGAGACAAGGTCTCACTGAGTCGCTTAGCACCTCGATGTTGCTGAGGCTGGCTTTGAACCCGCGATCCTCCTGCCTCAGCCTCCCGAGCCCAGCAGCCCTTCTGTTTTTATGGGGCTGGAAACTGGGGTGCTCTACCACTGAGCCACATCCCCAGCCCTTTTGTTTGTTTGTTTTCAAGACAACCTCGCTAAGTTGCTGAGGCTGGCCTTGAACTTGTGATCCTCCTGCTTCAGCCTCCTGAGTGGCTGGGATGACCGGGGCCTGCCGCTGCGTCTGGCCAGAGATCAGCCCTTCAAGGGTGGCCTTCTCCGTTTCCGCGGAAGCAGGCCCTGTGCTGTGGGGGGGAACTGAGGCCAGATGGGCCTGGGAGAGGCCGCTGCTGGGGAGGCCAGGGCAGTGGGCAAGTGTGATGGGGCGTGGGGGTTGCTAAGTGTACCTGTGGCTGGTGACGAGGAGCATCTTGTGTACCCAGCGTATGCAGAGGTGTGTCTGGAACACATGGGTGGGGCGGGTGGCTCAGATGCAGAGACAAAATATGGAGTCTGTGGCTCCATCCCCAGAATCGGGAGGCTCTGTTCCCTGAACCGAGCTCAGACCGGATGCTGGCCTGGGAGCTTAGGTGGCCCCCGCCACCCCCACCCCAGGACTCACCGCTTGCCCTCAAAACAGGTCCCAATGCATGGACTTCTCCTCCTGGCCCCACCATAATCCAGACCCCAGTGGTCCCCTCCCACATGCCGTCCAAGTCTCCTGCTGGCCTCCTGTCCCTTCCCATCCTGTCCCCCCGCAGCCCCTGCGTCCCACGGAGGACATGGTGGATTCACAAACACAACCCAGATGGCGCCCCGTCCCGGCTCCCCGCGGCTCCCCACTGATCCTTCGCCTCCTCCTGCAGCTGGGAGCCAGTGCGGTCAGCCGCCAGCCCCTTCCCTCGCTCCTGCGTGGGACGCCCTTTCTCTGTGGCTGGCTGCTCTTCCTTCTCAGTGTCTCTGCTGGCCGCGGTGTGATCCTCTCTGAGAGATCTCCCAGCTAAAGCCACCATTGGCCAGTGTGGCACCCGCGCGCTCGCTCTTTTCCTTTCTCCACGTTGGTGTTTGACATAATATTGTTCACTTCCTCGTTTCCTGTTTGTTCTCTGCCACCCCAGACTGGGACCTCTGAGGACAAGGAAATTGTATGACCTGGTCCCCGCTGGGTCTTCAGAGTTCAGCACAGGAGTAGGCATAGAGTAGGTGCTCAATAAATGTTTGCTGAGTGAATGAATGACCGGATACCCGGTGTGTGAACTCCAGGTCTGGGGAGCCTGGGGAAACACCCAATAGGGTGGGGCACCTAGGAGTGGCACTGGGGATAGAAGGGCCCTGGCAGAGGATCTAGGAGTGACTTGTGAAGAGGGATGAGTCAGGACTATACACAGGGCATCAGCGCCCACCTCAGCCTCAGTCTCCTGGTCACAGATATGGAGTCTGGCTTCAGCATCAGACCTAAGCTGAGTTCCAAATGGTCCTGGCCCAGGAAGAGACCGCCCTCAGAATGGCTTCCTGGTTTCCAACACCTGGCTTCCTGGGACTGTCCAGAGAGGAGGAAGGAGACATCCCTCCACCTAGAGTGGCAACACATAGAATCCCAGCCTCGTGCCAGGCCTTCCCTGCCTCTCCAGTGCAACCCCGTGTTCACCCCGAGGCCTGTGACAGACGAGGAAACAGGCCAGGAGTTAGTGTGATGCTAACAGTTATGGGACTTGTGTCGCAGGGCAAATGGGAAGCTCTGTGGGCGCCACCTGCCTCTTGGAATCCTGGTGACAGCCCAGCTCTCTCCCGTTGTCCAGTCGAGGAGACTGAGGCTGGAGAAGCTAACTGCTGACCGAGGCCCTCTCCCATTACACACGGGCATAGGAGGCCAGGTGCTCAGGTTCCCTCTGCCCGACACTCCCCCTGGTAGCCCAGTGGTGGGAGACGCGGGGACTCCTAGGGGCCCCCAGCCAGAAGACGACAGGGCTGCCAGGGAAGGGAAGCTGGGTTTGCCACGCTGAATTCCAAGCAGTGGAGCCAGCACGAGCCGGGCCAGGACGCTTGGGTGGGTCTCGAGTGCCACACCCAGAAGGGCTTAGCGCGCCGGGAAAGAGGAAGGGGACAGTGATGGGATTTACGTTGGGGGAAAATAGGCAAGATCCCCGGCTCCCACTTGTGGAAGTGCCGCCAACGCCCCGCCCCCGACGCCTGGGGCCCTAGCAACGCCCCGCCCTCGCCGCCTGGGGCCCCAACGACGCCCCGCCCTCGCCGCCCGCGCCCCTGGAAACGCCCCGCCCCGCCGCCCTCAACCATAGCAACGCCCCGCCCACTCGCCGACACGCGGGTCCGCCGGCTGCGCTTCCGTGTCGCTCGCCCCGCCCCTCCAGGCCAGGCCCCGCCCCCGCACTCGCCTGGGCGGGGTTCCCGCCGCGCTCCCGGGCGCGCGCTTCCTCCTCGCCGGCCCCCCGCCCGCGGCCCCGCGGCGCCCCCTGCCCGGCCCGGCTCCGCGGGGCTCCCGGGGCTCTTCCCGCCGTGGAGGTGCGCGCCCCGCCGTCGCCGGCTGCCCCCGCGCCTGCCCAACCTCGGGCGGCGGCGGCCGCACAAAGGGAAGCAGCATGTCTGACCCCAGCTACTGGACGGCGGTGGCGGCTCCCGGCCATCGGAGCCGCCTGGCCAAGGGCGCGCTGCTGCAGCGCTCCAAAAGGTAGGGGCACCGTGCCGGCCCAGGCGCGGCGGGGACCGAGCAAGTATGAGTTGCCAGACGTGTGACCCGGCGGCATGGCAGGGGCCACGGAGGGCCATCGTGGGAGCGGGGGCACGTTTTGAGATCAACGTATTCTCTAGGGTCCCAGGCAGCTTCCCTTTGCTGTCTGTCCCTCGGTATCTTTCTGCCCGGGTCGCAGCTGGGGTGGTGACAGAGGCAGCGGCAAGTTGGGACCGAGTCAGGATTCGAACCTTGGACTCTAGGTCTGAGCAGAACTGTGGAGCTCCGAAAGACTGAAGCTGCTCTGTCCCAAGGACCCATTCAATGGAAATGTTGGCTCAGAAGCAAATATTTACTGCAGGAGGCTGGCGTGTGGGTGGGAAGTCAGGACCAAATAGCTGGGTCAACCCAGGCAAGGCTGGGTCTCTCTGGAGGGAGCTGTGGACTCTAAGGATCTGGGTTCAAGTTTCAACTTAGCCATCACCTGGCTGTGTGACCTCATGATGATCCTTAACCCCTCTGGGGTTCCTCATTGGTATTTCTGTTTGCCCAGATAGGCAAAGTCTGGGCAGTGGGACCAGCTGCTGAAAGACCTCAGTGCTGAGTCCAGGGCTCAGACTCTCCTCTGAGATCCTGGGGGCACCCTGGAGTGTGTATGGGCCTGGCAGAGACTGGGTACAGGAAAGTGGCCTCAAGGCCCTGTTTCCTGCCTAATCCTTATTCTGTGGTGTGTCCTGGGCTCCATATGGATAGTTACTGGTCCTGAGCCTTCTCCAGGGAGGGTTGTGTAAACAGTTGGCTTTCAATAGGTGCTCAGGAAGTGAATGGATGATGCCTAGTTCTCCTTTGAGACTCGCATTTGGCTGTGGTTTCAAGGCCTTGCCTGGGAGCCAGAGGGAGGCCAACCGAGTGTTTTTTTCCAAATGCCACTGGAAGCAGCAAAGGACCGCAGCAAGCGCTGTGGGCCGCAGCACTGGGGTGTGAGGATGTGGCGACTGGCGGGTGTGTGTGTACATGGGGGGTTGGCAGGAAGTTTGGCAGAAACCTACCGGTTTCACTTTTGTCTCTGTGCCTCTCAGGCTAGAGGACATCCCTGTGGCTGTTGGCGTCTGTGGGCCTCGGTTTCCCAGTCTGGGAAATGGGTGCAGCTTATCTCTCCTCCTCTTGGCCTTGTCAGGATTGGTAGGAGTTGGTGTCGTGCCCCCTAGGAGTCAGGGACCTCAGAGTGTTGTCCAGAGAAAGGCAACATGATAGGCACCCACCCGCCTGGGGTCCAAAGCTGAGTGCCGTGTGTGGGTCTTATGGAATCTCCCCCCATCCTTCGAGGTACACGGATGGGAAACAGGCGCCAGAAGGAGCTACGCGTGGGTCCCTCTTCCCTGTTGTCGCCTGTGTTTACGGATCATGCCGTCACGTCTTGGCCTGCAAGGGCTGTGCCTCCTGCCTGGGACTCCACCGTCCCTCTAGAGGCCCCAACCCTTGCCTGCCTCCCTGCAGTTCTCCTGCTGAGCTGCGTTGGTGGCTGCGTGGGGGCATCGCACATGGGAGCAGAGCAGCGCCCGTTGCTGGGCGACTGCTGGGGGTGGGGGGCAGGGAACTTGTCACTCCTGATTCCCTCTGCCAAGGCGGGGGGGCTGGGCCAGGGCCCAGGTGGGTGGAGGAAGGCCAGGCAAGGTGAAAGAGGTTGTGCCCGGAGTCTGGTGGCCAGAAGGGACCCCGGGTGAAGGGAGGAGAGAGGGGCGGTGGGCCAAGTGAGGCATGCTCACAGGAAACCAGGTCGCCGTCCTCTGATTCTTTGTCATGTGAGATTGGCATTTTAGGCGGATCCTGGGGGAAGGGGCTTGCCCACAGGTGGGGGCAGTGGCCTGGGGCTCCTGCGCAGGCGCAGTGGCTGTCTCAAGCCAGCGGGGGCTCCAGGCGTCCCCTCTGCCTTATCTGTGGGTCCGCCTGGTGGTGGACGCAGCCTGGGCGGAGGGTGGGCAGCAGCTGCAGGCACAGACGCCTGAGGCTTGGCTGGGTCCCCTGGCCATGCGCAGTGTCCACCACGAGGCCGAGTTCCAGGCCCAGTACCTGGGAGAAGCCACCTGGGTGGCGGGTGCAGTGGGAGTGGCCGGGCCCACTTCTGTCCTGCCGCCAAACTGGCCGCACTCGTGCTCCCAGCTGGACATGTGGTGCCCTGCAGAGGCCTGGGCCTGCCATCTGACTCGTCCCTTGCTACCCCGACAGCTGCCGCAGCGGGAACCGCAAAAGCTTGGTCGTGGGAACACCGTCACCGACTCTATCCCGGCCCCTGTCACCACTGTCTGTCCCAACCGGTGAGTGTGGGACGGGGGCCACAGGCAGGTTCCTCTGGCCTGTCTCTGTCCCCTGACTCAGTGTCCCCACCCCCCTCAGCAGGCAGCAGCCCCCTGGACAGTCCCCGGAACTTCTCCGCTGCATCGGCCATTAACTTCCCCTTTGCCCGGAGGTGAGTGGTCGCCGGCCGCAGGGGACAGTGGCCGCAGGGGACAGTGCCCCGCAGGGCCCGGGCTGGGTGGCTGGATTTGCTCCTCATTCGCCTTCTCCCCTCCCCTCCCCTTGCCTGGTGGTGGTGTCTCCCTCTGGCTCCTGCCCCTGGCAAACAATCGGCCCCAGCAGCCACATCCACCGCGCGGACAGGTAATTGCAACGAGCCCGGGGAGGATGAGGGGCACTGACCCCAGAACCAGGGAGGCCCTAAACAAGTCACCAGTTCACTCATCAAGAGCTCACTGAGCACCTGTAACGTGTCAGGGACTTGAATGTCACTTGTTCATTCAACATTTATTGAGCCCCTGCTGTGTGCGGTGAATGGGAGGCTGGACTCTGGCCCTCGAGGAGTCCTTGATCTGCCAGGGGCAGCCAGCGTGTCCCCTAGCAGCTACAACTTAGAGGTCAAGGCTGAGATTGGGGGCACACTGGCAGCTGTAGTCAGGGAAGGCTTCCTGGAGGAGATGCCTGGGGTCAGGAAGAAAGCACACGCTGTGGATTGGCCAGCCCATGCCCCCGGCTCAGCCTTCCCAAGGTCCTTCTTCCAACGGGAGCCATTTTCTGCAAGCCACAGTACCTACTTGGAGTCCCCACTGGCTACCAGGACTGGGCCATGGTGCCATCTACTGCTGTTCCTCTTTCCAGGGCAGACGGCAGGAGATGGTCCCTGGCGTCTCTCCCGTCTTCCGGCTATGGAACCAACACGCCCAGCTCCACCGTTTCGGTACCCAGGGCTCCTCCTTGGGGGGTGGACAGGCGGGTGCCCGGTGGGGAGAACACACCTTTGGTATTTTTTCAAGGTGTCAGTTATCCAGGAAGCAGACCTCCTGGTTGTCCCCGCAGGCCCCATTCTGGTCAGTGGAGGGGGCCTCTGAGCAGACCCAACATTGACCCCAGGTAGCCCCCAGTCTTGGGGACCCCGAGATTGCAGGCCTGTGAGGCCGGGGTCTGACCAGAGGGAGACTTGGGGATATAGGCAGGGAGGGCCTCCTGAAGGAGGGGGCTTGGGGTTTTGAGGGATGCCTAGGAGGCAGGCAGGGTGTGGTCCCTGAGCGGTGGCACCGAGGGCCCTGGCTCTAACCCTGACCTTCCCCTCCCGACAGTCAAGCTCGTCCTCCAGGGAGCGTCTCCACCAGCTTCCCTTCCAGCCCACGCCAGACGAGCTCTGCTTCCTGTCCAAGCACTTCCGCAGCTCAGAGAGTGTGGCTGATGAGGAGGGCCACCGCTCACCGCGCCTGCGCCCCCGCTCCCGCAGCCTCAGGTGGGCCTGGGCCTCGGGCCCCAGGCCCAGCCCTTTCCTGGGCTGCTGTGGGGACCCACACTGTCCCTCCTCCACCTCTGGCCCCCACCTTTGGCCCAGAGCCAGGCCCCCTGCCTCCTCCTCTGGGCTGGGTCTTGTGTCCCATGTCACGAACTGTCCACCCGTCCCCCTTCCAGTCCTGGGCGCACATCAGGGACCTTCGACAATGAGATCGTCATGATGAATCACGTGTACCGCGAGAGGTTTCCCAAGGTGAGCCGCTTGGTGGCTGGGCCGGCCCAGTGCCGTCCTCGTGTTATGTCGTCCTTGCCTGTCCCTCCGTCTCTGACCTGCCGCCTCCTGCGCACACTGCTTCTCTGCCCATCATCCCCACCGTGGCATGGCTGCTCTGTCCTGTACCATGTGCACATGCCATTCCCCAGCTGCCCTCTGACCGGGTCCCCTTGTCATCCAGGCCACGGCACAGATGGAGGGCCGCCTGCAGGAGTTCCTCGTAGCCAATGCGCCCGGCGCGCGGCTGGCCCTGGCGGATGGCGTCCTGGGCTTCATCCACCACCAGATCGTCGAGCTGGCCCGGGACTGCCTGGCCAAGTCTGGCGAGAACCTGGTCACCTCCCGCTACTTCTTGGAGATGCAGGAGAAGCTGGAGCGGCTGCTGCAGGACGTGGGTGGCCCGGGCGGCGGCAGGGGGTCCAAGGGGCAGGACGGGGCGGAGGGGCGTGGCCTGTGACTGATGCCACGCCCACCTCCCCAGGCGCACGAGCGCTCGGACAGCGAGGAGGTCGGCTTCATCGTGCAGCTCGTCCGAAAACTGCTCATCATCATCTCGCGGCCCGCCCGGCTCCTCGAGTGTCTGGTGCGTCCCCTTTTGCGCAGCAAATGCAAGGTCTTGGGCTGTGCCAGGAGGACCGCAGTTCTCCTGTTGTGCAGGACTTGAAGGGGATCCAGGGTGCGACCTTGCTCGGGTGGGCGACCCGGGGAAGGGTCGGGAATTGCAGGAGCCAAGTGTGGGAGCCCCGCTGACCGCCTCTCCGCACCCCAGGAGTTCGATCCCGAGGAGTTTTACCATTTGCTGGAGGCGGCCGAGGGCCAGGCCCGGGAGGGCCAGGGCATCAAGACGGACCTGCCGCAGTACATCATCGGGCAGCTGGGCCTGGCCAAGGACCCGCTGGAGGGTGAGCCCGGCGGGGCGGGGCGAGGAGAGGGAACTGGCCCAGGGAGCGGTCAGAGCGACCTCTAGACCCCACACAGCCCTGCCCTTTTTGTGTGGGCAAGTGCCCCAGATTCTGGGGTCAGCTCATCTCTGTGTCTTTGAACGCAGCATCAGCTGAGCCAAGGGCAGGGGCGAGGCTCAGTGGTAGGCGCCTGCCTGGCACCGGATGCCCGGTTCTGCCCCAGCACTGCAGGCGGAGGGGGGGTTCCATTGAGGCCACTGCGGTGGTGGGCACCTGGAGTCCCAGCTACCTGGGGCGGGGACCGGGATCTAGTGCCACCACAGCATAAGACTTGGGCCTGGGCCAGGCCCGAGTGGCCCAGGAGACTGGGAGGAGGTGGCAGTGTCCAAGCTGAAGGCTGGAGCTAGGGGAGGTGGCCCGCTGCAGGCGTGGGGGGCGCAGCACAGGCAAAGGCCCAGGGGTTGGACTCTGCCCGGGTGAGGAGGGAAGGGGATAGCAGTGAAGGTGCTGGCAGGGGCTGGACATGGTCGTGACGGCGGCCAGCGGTCATCAGCACCGTTGCTATGGTAACCCTGTCATTGTTCCCATTAAAGCTTGGGAGACTGAGGCGCTGGGAAGATGAGGTCAGGCAGGTGTCCACCCAGGTGTGCCTGGGAGCAGACCACCCGTAGACTGGCCATGGCTGCCCCCTGGACCTTGGGTGTGGTGCTGTGGAATGGAGATGCTGCGGGTGGCAGTGAGGGTCTGCCCCCGTGGGGGTGGCAAAGAGTGGCCCAGGCTTGTCTCCTGAGCACCCTGGAGTGAAAGGCACCGAGAATAAAAAGGAGCTCGACCTGAACCCAGGCCTCGTCCTGGAGACTCAGGTGCCCCTGCCAAGCCCAGAGGCTGGAAGTCACGAGGCCTCCTGTGAGCAGTGCCCAAGTGGACGGAGGGGTCTCAGGCTGAAGCTCAGAGTCCTGAGCCATCTGAAGCCTGGGGTACCCATTGACCTTCTAGAAGGTTCCTCAGTCATTGCTTAGTCCAGCCTTTGGGTTTGGCTCAATGGTGGTATCAGGAGCCTGGTCAGGATGTCCCCAGCCCAGCAGCAGCCCCACAGTACTCTGGAGGGAGCAAGGGGCAAGGCGTGAGGCTGTTCAAGCCTCTTCTCTCCATCTGCAGAGATTGAGCCTCTGAGTCATCTCGACGGAGGACAGCCCCCAGCACCCGAGTCCCCAGAGGTGAGTCATGCAGCACCAGGGTCCCTTCCTATCTGCTCTTTCCAGAGTAGGCCAGGCAGACATAGAGGGCTGAACTTGGGGGGTCTTGTGTGTAGTAGGTGCTTAATAAACACCTGTGACTGGGGAGAGGTGGCAGAAGAGGGCCTGTCCCCCATGAAGGCTGGGGCAGGGCAGGCTGGGTGGGAGGGGGCACTATAAGGTGAGCCTGGAAGGAGGTGTAGGAGTTTCCCACGGGAGGGGACCAGCTCTGCGGGGGGGCAGGGTCCTGACCCCTCCTGTCCCCTAGAGCCGTGCCCTGGTTGGCCCATCCCGGAGGAAGCCATGTGAGAGTGACTTTGAGACCATCAAGCTCATCAGCAACGGGGCCTATGGGTGAGTCCTCGGGTCCCTGACCCGTTTGTCCTATGGGCAGAGGGATGGCTGAGGCCCTGGAAGCCCCTGTCCCTTGTCAGCAAGACTCTCACCCTCATACTGGACGGGCAGACAGGGCAGCTGAGGGCCGCAGGGACACAGAGACACAGGCGCCAGGTGACTGTCTTGGATGGGCTCTGAGCAGCCTTTACCTGCCCCAGGGTAGAGGACTCTAGGGGCTTGGGAGGCTGGTTAAGGAAAAAGATGACCCCATGCATACAGCAGGCATGCAGGTCATATAGGTGACCTGGACAGCTCTGCACAGAGCCGGGTCCCTTGCAGCTGAGACCCCTGGACACTGCGGTCTATTTCCTTCCTTCCTGGGTTGAACCCAGGGGCACTCGACCACTGAGCCACATCCCCAGCTGTGAGACAGGGTCTCCCTCAGTTGCCTAGGCTGGCCTCTAACTTGCAGTCCTCCTGCCTCAGCCTCCTGAGTTGCTGGTGACACCACGCCCAGCTGGATGTGACAGTTTAGGGTGTTACCATGGAAAAAGGGCGGGGGTCAAGGGGACTGGCAGGGAGAGGGGTGCTGGAGCAGGGCCTGTGTGTCCACCTGACACTCTGGGTCAGAGGTGCAGAGAGTGGCAACGGCTGCGGCCTCTGTACCTTTATCTGATCTGTGGTTGGGAGCTGGGCTGGCCACGTAGTTCTCAGTGGCCCTCAGTGGCCCTCGCTCTTGCTTGGGCTTGTTTCAGTCCTTCAGATGTGGACAGAGTCTGAGCTGGTGCCAGTGGACCGTGGGGGAACTGGCGAGGCCTGGTGTGAGAGAACAGCCAGCGGGAGGCGTGGAGGCAGGAGGAGGCGTGGGCAGGTCCACAGGTGCCAGTTAGATAGGAGCAGGTAGCCCCAGGGCCTCTGCACTGTGGGCGGGGCAGCTTGCAGCAGTTTATTATATATTTTATATACATCTAAAGACGGAAGAATTTACATTTACGTATTTAATTTTTTTAATATCTCCATTTTATTTTTATGTGGTGCTGAGAATCGAACCCAGTGCCTCACGCATGCTAGGTGAGCGCGCTACCACTTGAGCCACATCCCCCCAGCCCATAATTTTTTTAAGAGAAGAGTTCTAAGGCTCCCAACACAAAGAAATGATCAATGCGCCCAAGTGCAGTAGCTCATGCCTATTATCCCAGCGACTTGGGAGGCTGAGGCAGGAGGATCGAAAGTTCGAGGCCAGTTTCAGCAACTTAGCAAGACCCTGTCTTAAAATAAAAAATAAAAAAGGGCTGGGGATGGAGCTCGGTAGTAAGCAGCCCTGGGTTCAATCCAGAGCACCACACACGTCAAAATAAAAAAGTAAAAAAAAGAAAAATGCTGGCTGTTCAAGGAGGCTGAAGTGCCCCCATTCTTACATGTCCGTGTACGTGCATCCAGTGATCACACTGTGCCCCATAGTATAAGTACAATTATGTGTCCATTAATTATGAAAAATGAAATGAATAATCCGGGGCCAATACACAGGAGCCACCGTTTGCATGACAGCAGCGGAGGGTGGCAGCTTTGGGAGGGGCGGACCCACTGGGGCCTGGGGCTCAGCCAGCGCCCCACCCCCAGGGCTGTCTACCTGGTGCGACACCGTGACACGCGGCAGCGCTTCGCCATCAAGAAGATCAATAAGCAGAACTTGATCCTGCGCAACCAGATCCAGCAGGTGTTCGTGGAGCGCGACATCCTCACCTTCGCCGAGAACCCCTTTGTGGTCAGCATGTTCTGCTCCTTCGAGACGCGGCGCCACCTGTGCATGGTCATGGAGTACGTGGAAGGTGGGGTTCCCATCCTGCCTGCTCCGGCAGGGGCTCCCCCACAGCGCCGCCCTGCCCCCTGCCGGCTCCAGCCTGCCCTGGGGGACTCTCAGGAGCCCCTGCTGGGAGTGCAGTGGGATGTCGGGAGAGGAGTGGAGGGCACGCAGCTACTGCGCATGTCCGTGCGGCCTGCATTGCTCTGGAGCCCCACCTGCCGGAGGGGTACCTGCATTACAGCGCCTCCGACCCAAAGCTAGGGAGTGTGCGCGTGTGGAGTGGCTGGTACAGAGGGGAGAGCAGCACTTAGTAGGCACCTGCAGTATGTATGTGCACCCCTCCCCCAGGCGGTGACTGCGCCACCCTCCTGAAGAACATGGGCCCGCTGCCCGTGGACATGGCCCGCATGTACTTCGCGGAGACGGTGCTGGCGCTCGAGTACCTGCACAACTACGGCATCGTGCACCGCGACCTCAAGCCCGACAAGTGAGCGCCCGGCCCCCAGCCCTTCCCTGTGCGTGTGTGACTTGACATCTGCTCTGCATCTGGCTTGGCTCTGTGCTCTAAGGAACCCAAACCAAAGTAGGAGGGACTCCACACGCTGATGTGGGGGTTATGAAGCAGTTTTTAGGGCTGGGGTGTCATTGGTGGAGCATTTGCCTATCACGTGCAAGCCCTGGGTCCATCCCCAGCACTAGAAAGAAAAGAAAAGGCACCAGGCGAGGTGGCACACGCCTGTCATCCCAGTGGCTCAGGAGGTTGAGGCAGGAGGATCGTGAGTTCAAAGCCAGCCTCAGCAACTCAGTGAGACCCTGTCTCTGAATAAAAAACAAAATAGGGCTGGGGGTGTGGCTCAGTGGTCGAGTGCCCCTGAGTTCGATCGCCAATATTCCCCTAAAAAGAAAGAAAAGAGAGCAACAGTGGTGTTCATAGTAGGTGTACATAATTGCTTTATAGAGCCAGGGTACCCAGTTGGTAACAAATAAATGCTTCACTAAATGATGAACATACAGCATGAACTTTCCAGAAACTAATTTTTTAAGTTTTTTTAAATTATTGATACATCTTTTATTTATTTATTTATATGTGGTACTGAGACTCGAACCCAGTGCCTCACATGCACCAGGCAAGTGCTCCTCCTCTGAGCTGCGTCCCCTGCCCCAGAACTTTTTTTTTTTTGAGAGCAGGTCCCGCTGCATTGCCCAGGCTGGCCTTGAACTTGTGGGCCCAAGAAGTCCTCCCACCTCGGCCTCCTGAGTAGCTGAGCCTACGGTGGGCAGCAGCACGCCCAGCTCTAGGAAACTGTTCTGAACAGCAGGGCGCAGCCAAGCCTGGTGTCCCCGGGGGCTTGAGATCAGGGTCCCTACAGATACCCAAATCGGCAGAGTCTCTTTTATAAAATGCAGCAGTTTCAAAATAACCCACACGCGTCCTCCTGTCTGCCCCAGTCCTCTCAGGGCCTCACCGGGCCTGCAGGACACCTGCCGTTGCTGTCCTGCCTTGTTCAGGGACCGAGGGCCAGAGCGTGTCTGTGCGTGTCCGGTGTAGACACATATTTTTAAAATATTTTTCAGTCCACAGTCCGTTGTCTCTGTGGATGCGGAACCATGGGTACAGAGGGCCAACTGTATACAGTAGGTGTTCAGCAGTGACACCAGACACACCCTGTCGGGCCACAGAGAGCCTTGTGACACAGCCTGGGACCCGTGCTCTTCCAGTGGCCCTGGCGGGGAGGTGCAGGCCTGGGCGCCCTGGGAGCTGCGCCGGGTGACAGGCAGGTGACTTCGCGTCGCCCACCTGAGCGCTCTGCCCATGCCCACAGCCTGCTCATCACCTCCCTCGGCCACATCAAGCTGACCGATTTCGGCCTGTCCAAAATTGGCCTCATGAGCATGGCCACCAACCTCTACGAGGGCCACATTGAGAAGGACGCCCGCGAGTTTGTGGACAAGCAGGTGAGAGCCGGCGCGGGGCGGCCCCTGGGATGCCGGAAAATGGAGACAAACGACCCCTCGAGTTCTGCCCACCCCGTGGCCAGCCTGGCCTCCCCTGCTCCCTCCTGGGACCCTCCTGGGCTGGGCCACCCTCAGCTCCCCGCTGTGCCCGCCAGGTGTGCGGGACCCCCGAGTACATCGCCCCCGAGGTGATCTTCCGCCAGGGCTACGGGAAGCCGGTGGACTGGTGGGCCATGGGGATCGTCCTCTATGAATTCCTCGTGGGCTGCGTGCCCTTCTTCGGAGACACCCCTGAAGAACTCTTCGGCCAGGTGGTCAGCGGTGCGTTCCCTCCCCAGCCCTGGTCTCAGCCCTCCTGGGTCCCCCTCGGGTTGGGAAATAATGGCCCTGCCTGAGGATCGACCCCTGACAGTGTGCCCTGGGGACACGGTCCAGGGTGAGAGGGATGGACGGCTTCACCATCATGGTGCTCCCTGTCCAGCAGGCAGATGGACAATCAGAGAGAGGAGTCAGGGGCGGTGGAGCAGTCCTCCAATCCCTACAGCTTGGGAGGCTGAGGCAGGAGGATTACAAGTTGGAGGCCAGCCTCAGCAATGTAGCAATGTCTCCCAAAAAAAGGCTGGGGTGTGGCCGAGCAGTAGAGCGCCTGCCCAGCTCGTGAGGCCGCTCCACCCAGCACCGCACAAAAGAAAAGGCAACTCTAGAGGCGGAGAGTGCCCAGGAGGGGAACAGGACAGCCCCGGGGCAGGTGGCTGTTGCCGAGGAGCTGGTCGAGCTGCAGGGACAGAAGACAGAAAGGCTCGGGAGGAGGGCACCGCTGCGGGGTGTCCATCAGGCGTTAGGGGCACAAGGGAACCCAGGGCCAGGAGCACAGAGAGGCGGGGAGGTGGTGGAAGGCGCCTCACCCCTCCCCTCGTTTTAGATGAGATCATATGGCCCGAGGGGGACGAGGCCCTCCCTGCCGATGCCCAGGACCTCATCACCAGGCTGCTGCGGCAGAGCCCCCTGGACCGGCTGGGCACCGGTACGCAGGCGGGGAGGGTCGGGAGAGTGTCCGCTCGGGACTCAGGGCCCAGGGACGGGGAGTGGGGATGAGCCCTGGGAGAGAGCTGCCCTGGGGCAGCTGCCTGGAGGGGGAGGCTGGAGCTGGGGTTTTGAGGGTCGCGTAGGAGTGCACCAGGGCACGTGGCCTCCGAGAGCTGTGGGGTCTGGGGCTCACAGGGGACACTGAGGCTGAGGAAGGATTTGGGCCTGTGCTGTCGTCGGGGGCCGTGTCCTGAAGTCCTGGGAGGGGGGCCGCCCAGGGGATCCAGGATCCAGCAGGGACAGGCCCTGGAGCGGGGCCGGCCTGGGCCGAGCCGGCTGTTGGCTCCGCGCGGTGGCGGGTTCCTGGCCCGGGTTTCCAGTCCTGCCTGGGCCGCGGCACGTTCAGGCTGCGGGGCTGCGGGGCGTGGCCGGGACCCGGGCTCAGGCCGCATGTCTGCAGGCGGCACCCACGAGGTGAAGCAGCACCCCTTCTTCCTGGCCCTGGACTGGGCGGGGCTCCTGCGACACAAGGCTGAGTTTGTCCCGCAGCTGGAAGCCGAGGACGACACCAGCTACTTCGACAGTACGTGGTCCAGAGGGTCCCCGGGGTGGGGGACAGTCCCCGGTGCCCGGCTGTCGGCCAGGACGTCCTCCTCAGAGGAGAAGGGGACACCCTGCTGAGTTTTCATGGAGGGGACTCCTCAGGGGACTGCCTGAGGACCCAGACAACCCTTCTCCCCATTTGAGGCTGCTGCCAGGCACAGAGCAAGGGCGCTGTTTCCTGCGCCTTATCCAGAACTTACTGCATGTCAGAGGTCTTCTCTGAGCATCTGTTTCCTCTTTGGTGAAATGGGGAAAATCCTTTGCATTTGAAAGACAGTTTTATCTAATTCTGGACCCGTTTCAAGGGTGAGGAATCCAAGGCTCAGAGACAAGAATTCCTGCCCAGGGTCCCTAGACCCACCGGGCAGGGCCTTTGCCCTGGCGTGCCCTCCCTGCATCGCCTCCCAGCCCTTGGGGACACCTCTGGGCAATCGGTGGCTTCACGTGCCTCTCCCTCCCACAGCGCGTTCAGAACGGTACCGCCACCTGGGCTCCGAGGATGAGGAGACCAACGACGAGGAGTCCTCCACTGAGATCCCCCAGTTCTCCTCCTGCTCCCACCGGTTCAGCAAGGTGGGCCGGGCTGGGGTGTGGCCGTGGCAGGAAGTGTTGCAAGGTGTCTGTCTGTCTGCTAGCTTTTCTGGGTGTAGGGTTTTTTGTTTGTTTGTTTGTTTGAATCAGGGATTGAACTTAGGGACACTCAACCACTGAGCCCATCCCCAGCCCTATTTTGCATTTTATTTAGAGACAGGGTCTCACTGAGTTGCTTAGGGCCTCGCTTTCCGAGGCTGGCTTTGAACTCGTGATCCTCCTGCCTCAGCCTCCCGAGTGCCAGGATGGCAGGCGTGCACCTCCGCGCCCGGTGTGTGTGTTTTTTAAATTGCAATAAAACACATACAACAAAGCTCACGTTTCGGCCACTCTGAAGTGCACAACTTAGTAGCGTTCAGCACAGTCACAGTGTGTCAACCCCAGCCCTGTCCAGCTCCAGAGCATCAGCACCACCCTAAAGGAGACCCCGTCCCTGCCAGCACCCTCAGCCCCCGCCAGCACCTGTAGCCCCTGATCTGCTTCCTGTCCCCATGGACACACCTGTTCTGGACATTCCACGCCACGTGGCCTTTGGCTGGCTTCTGTCACTCAGCGTCATGTTTTCGGGGTCCATTCACCTTGTGTTCCGTATTGGTGCTTCTGCCCTTTACGGCTCAGAGGGTTCTTCTGTGTGGCTGGACCATGTTCTGTTGGTCAGCCATCTGCTGGAGGACACTTGGGGTGCTTCTTCCTTGTGGTGACAGCCCTGGATGCTGTGCTGGGTGCTGTGCTGAGTACTGGGTGCTGTGCTGGGTGTTATTCTTCACTCCAACAAGCTTATGTTAAATGCCTCCCTTTATTTAAAGTTTGGTCAGAAATCTCTCTGCTTTGGGCTGAGCCCTGGATGAGACTCTGACCCTAGTGGCCAGCCACTCTGAGCCTCAGTTTCCTCATCTGTACATCAAGCTAAAGACCATTGTCTTTGGGGAGATGGCGATGGAGGGAGTTAAACGGAGGCACCAGGCGTCGAGGAGGTGCGCTGCCTGGCCGGGCCCTGGTGCGGCTGTGGCTGCGGCGGCCCTCGCCATCATCATCCCTGTGGTCTTTCGCTGCCTGTCAGGTCTACAGCAGCTCTGAGTTCCTGGCCGTCCAGCCCACGCCTACCTTCACTGAAAGGAGCTACAGTGAGGACCGGGAGGAAGGGTGGGAGCGCAGCAGTGAAGGGGAGAATGGCCGTCGGCCGAGCACTGAAGTCCGGTAGGTGGGGCAAGGGTGTAGGCAGATCCAACCTCCCAGCCTGCTGAGGTTGAAGGAGCTTCCCAGTGGCCCAGTAGAAAAGGGTCAGACACATTGGCCAGATTATCAGACCCCTCCTAACCTCACTCCTAATCGCATTCCTAATCGAACCAAAAATTAAAGCAGCTGTGCACCATCACACTGCTGGGCTTTTGCTTACACTGTTCCTTCTGTCCAGAATGTCTTGTTAACAAACTCCTATTCATCCTTCAAAGCCCAGACCCAACAGAAACAATCAGTGTCTGCTGGAGAATGGGCGTTGGAGGCTGGGTTTTAAAGGTCAAATAGGAGTTCTCCAGGCACTACAGAGGCCTCCCCTGTATTTGCACCTGTATTGCCTCAGCCTCCAGGCTGAGTGAGACATGGCCGGGAGGGGCCACGTATGCTGGGGTGCAGGCACCTGGTCAGAGGGACGCGGCTCTCCCTCCCCGCAGGCTAAGGTCCTGGACGTCCTCTGGTTCCTCCTGTCACTCATCTTCGTCGCAGCCTGAGCGGGGCCCCAGCCCATCCCTCCTGAGCACCATTAGCCTAGACACGATGCCCAAGTTTGCCTTCTCTTCAGAGGACGAGGGAGCAGGCGCAGCCTCTGGGGACCCTAAGAAACCCGTCTTCATCCTGGGGGAGCCGGACCCCCCTCCACCAGCCACCCCAGTGATGCCCAAGCCCTCAAGCCTTTCCGGTAAGGGGGCCCGGGGGCAGGAGGTCGTGAACTTTCCCAGAAGGGGGCTGTTTGCAGGGGGCTTTTGCGGTGCACAGGAGTCCCCAGGGCTCCCACCGACACCAGGAGAGGCCGGGCCCCAGGGAGGCCTCAGGCCCCTGGAGCCACGATCTAGAGGGCGACAGCCCCAGCTTCATAGGGTCAAGATGGGGTTGGGGAGCCCCAAGAAGAGACAGAGGTCCCACTGGGAGGGAGAGAAGATGCCTTCAGGAAAGGGAGGGGACTCCGTGGCGTTCTCCTGGGCGCAGTTCGGGAAGGGTGTGCAGGGACAGGGAACGAGGCGGGGGCCCGGCTGTGTGTATGCCAACCGGGAAGGTGGGGCGCCGGGTGACCTCGCCGACCCCCCTCAGCTGACACAGCGGCCCTGAGCCACGCGCGCCTGCGGAGCAACAGCACGGGGGCCCGCCACTCCACGCCCCGGCCCCTGGATGCCGGCCGGGGCCGCCGCCTCGGGGGCCCGAGAGACCCGGGGCCCGAGAAGTCCCGGGCCTCCCCCAGCAGTGGCGGGGGCAGCGGGGGACGTGTGCCCAAGTCAGCGTCCGTCTCTGCCCTGTCGCTCATCATCACAGCAGGTAACAGCTGAGGCTCCATCTTGGCCTGGTGCTACCCAGGTGTGTGTCACCAGCAGGCCCAGGACAGCTGTGGCTAGGGACTCAGGAGCTGGGAGGGGGTCCCGCGGGTCCCCTTGGGCTGAGCCCTAGAGGAGGAAGCACTGGCGCCTGGGGACCAGCTCCAGGCCTGGGGGTGTCTGTGCTAGGTACCCCGCGGCTGCCAGGCGGCCACCGCGCCCACCGTGGGGGAGGAGGCTGCCCCGTGGGGACCCACAGGGAGTGACCTCTCGATGCCCACAGATGATGGCAGCGGCGGCCCCCTCATGAGCCCCCTGTCCCCGCGCTCCCTGTCCTCGAACCCGTCCTCCCGAGACTCCTCGCCCAGCCGGGACCCGTCCCCCGTGTGCGGCAGCCTGCGGCCCCCCATCGTCATCCACAGCTCGGGCAAGAAGTACGGCTTCAGCTTGCGGGCCATCCGCGTCTACATGGGTGACAGTGACGTCTACACCGTGCACCACGTTGTCTGGGTGAGTGGGGGGGCACCCAGGGTGAGTGGGGACAGCAGGGTGTCCTGCGAGTGTGGCTCCCACCAGTGGCAGAGGCAGCTGGAGTCGGTGTCTGTCTCCGCCCTGCCCCTGGTCACCGTGGCAGGGGCGCACGGTGGCAGGGGCACCGATGCCCCCCACTGCCCAGCGCAGGGAAGCCGAGGCCTGTGAGGGCAGCAGCTGGGGCCCTGGGACGTGGGGTGCCAGCCCTGAGCCTTGTCCCCCTGTCCCCAGAGCGTGGAGGACGGGAGCCCCGCCCAGGAGGCGGGCCTGCGCGCCGGCGACCTGCTCACGCACATCAACGGGGAGTCGGTGCTGGGGCTGGTGCACATGGACGTGGTGGAGCTGCTGCTGAAGGTGCCCGCGCAGCGTCCGCTCTGGGCCTCGCGACCCCCTCCCTCTGCCCCCTTGTGACCTGCCAGAAGCCATCCTGCCCCCTGGCCATCCTGTGTGGCTCGCCCCAGCCCCCTGTGGCCACGGGCAGCCAACCTAGGACCATGCGTAGGACACGGATGAGCAACGGGGAGGGGCCGAGGCGGGCGCTGCTGGTAGCTCCCGGGACCACATGGGGCCGTGGATGGCTCCAGGTGGCGGGGCAGAGACCGTGGGCTGTGTCTTTGACCTTGTGGGTGGCAGGCCATGAGGTGAGGGGTGTGTGGACAGGGAAGGGGGGACACTGGGCAAAGAAATGGATGGATGGGGGGGGGGGGCTCGGTGGCCCACGCCTTGTCTGGTGCGCAGGGCCCCGGGCTCCACCCCAGCCCGGACCGCCGGGCCCTGGGAGGCGGAGCTGGAGGGCCTTCAGTGCTGGGGACGGAGCTGGGTCGCCTGGCGGATCCCAGCGCCAGAGCACAGGGGCCCGCAGGCGACCCTGCCATCTATCCACAGAGCGGTAACAAGCTCTCCCTGCGGACCACGGCCCTGGAGAACACGTCCATCAAGGTGGGCCCGGCGCGGAAGAACGTGGCCAAGGGCCGCATGGCTCGCCGGAGCAAGCGGAGCCGTCGGCGGGAGACCCAGGACCGGTGAGCGGCAGGCTGCGGGGGACGCGGGGCGCAGGCACCCACTTCCCGTTGCTCATCGTGTCCTCCGCACGGTCCCCAGGCGAAAGTCGCTCTTCAAGAAGATCTCCAAGCAGCCCGCCTCCGCGCTGCACACCAGCCGCAGCTTCTCCTCCGGCCTCCACCACTCGCTGTCCTCCAGCGAGAGCCTCCCGGGCTCGCCCACGCACAGCCTCTCCCCCAGCCCCACCACGCCCTGCCGCAGCCCCGCCCCCGATGCCCCAGCAGGTGGGTGCGCACCCAGCCTCCCCAGAAGGCTGGTCCCCAGGAAGGAGGCAGCAGGACTGGGGACAGGGGTGACCACCTGGAGCCTTCCCGCCTCCTAGGGCCTAAAAGGCAACCTGAGGTGGCCAGAGACAGATGTGGGGGTCGGGGAAGGGGTGCCCAGCCGAGGAACACCCTGAGCCGTGGAGCAGAAGGGGAAGCAGGAGGCAGCTGCTGGCGCTTTAGGGAACAAGATCCCGCCAAAAATCTGAGTTTAAAATGGGGGGCGACAGGGGGCCATGGAGACTGAACTGGGTGGGGAGGGCTGGTCTGGGTGTTGGGAAGATTGTTGGCTTGACCTGAGAGCCCCTAGTCTTCAAAAGGTAGACAGATCTGGGCTAAGTGGCTCACACCTGTAGTCTCAGCTGCTCAGGGGGCTGAGGCAGGAGCATCACAAGTTCAAGGCCAGCCTGGGCAACTTAGCAAGACCCTGTCTCAAAATAAAATTAAAAAGGGCTGGGGGTATGGCTCAGTGGTCCATCATTTGCCTAGCATGTGAAAGACCCTCGGATCAGTCCTCAGTACCATTTTTTTTTAAAAAGCCTGTGCGGTGGCACCTGCCTATAATCCCAGCAGCTCTGGCGGCTGAGACAGGAGGTTCACAAGTTGGAGGCCAGCCTCAGCAATTTAGTAAATCCCCATAAGCAACTTTGTAAAACCCTGTCTCAAAATATTAAAAGGGCCAGGGATGTGGCTCAGTGGTAGAGCACCACTGGCTCAATCCCCCAACCACCCCATACCCCCCACCCCCCCCCATTCCCCACCAAAAAGACACAGACGCCACTGGGAAAGGGTCAGACCTGAAGGAGGGAGAAACTGAGGCAATTCAGAGGGGAGGCAGGGAAGGCTTCTTGGAGCAAGGAGCGAGAGGGCTGGGCTTTGATGGTTGAGTAGGAGTTCCCCGAATCTAGGCCAAGGGAAGGGCCCTGTGCAGATGGGTGGCAACGGTGAAAGATGTGGGCTTTGGCAGGTTTGGTCGGTCCCAGGGCCCCACCTGCAGGCTGGGGACATTGAGGCTGGTGGCTCTGACCTGTGCCTGTCACCCACAGATACCGCATCCCCACCCAGCGTGTCCCCGAGCTCCAGCAGCCCTGCCTCCCCAGCCGCTGCTGGCCACACCCGCCCCAGCTCCCTGCATGGCCTGGCTGCCAAACTGGGGCCACCACGCCACAAGACTGGCCGCCGCAAGTCCACGAGCAGCATCCCTCCGTCCCCGCTGGCCTGTCCACCCGTGGCTGCAGCCCCACCGCGCTCGCCCTCGCCCCTGCCGGGGCACCCCACCCCCCGGTCCCCGCGGCTGCGTCGGGGCCAGTCAGCCGACAAGCTGGGCACAGGAGAGCGGCTGGATGCGGAGCCCGGGCGCCGCAGCCGCGGGCAGGACTCGGAGCTGGTGGTGATGCGGCGGCTGCACCTGTCCGAGCGCCGAGACTCCTTCAAGAAGCAGGAGGCGGTGCAGGAGGTGAGCTTCGACGAGCCGCCGGAGGAGGGCGCTGTGCTGCTCGCCGCGGTGCCGCAGATCGCCGTGGAAGGCGCCGAGAGCGCGCCCGGAGCCCCGGCCGCGAAGGACTGAGCCCAGCCGCCGCTCCCGGGCCTCGAAGCCACGCGTTCTTCGTGCTGTCTTTTTCCGTCAAGTCACGCCTGGATGGAGACTGACACATCAGCCTGCGACACCTAGAAGGCAGAAGCCATCTCGGTCCTTGCTGGAGGGTGGAGACTGCGCCTCCCTCCCTCGTATTCTGGTGGCCGTGGGGCAGGAGGAGCAGGGATGGGGGCCGCGGGCGACGTTGTAAATAGCAGCGAGTCCTTGCAACTAATTTATTACTTTTTATAAGCAATAGTCAGACTGGCCGTTCCTCGGAAGCGGCTGCCAGGTCTGGCCCCAGGCACCTGAGACCCCGACTACAGACCCTGCCCTCTGGGCTGAGAAGGAAGCACTTTGGACAAGTCGTGTGTGTTTGTGTTTTCTAGTTTGTCTGTACTTTCAAAGTGTGTGTGTGTGTGTGTGTGTGTCCGTCCTGATCCCATTTCCAACCCAAGATTGATTTGAGAGGATGCAACCAAGCTCACCTGTCCAGGCCGGGTTTGGATATGACCTGGAGGGTCCACAAATTGCGCTTCCCCCAAAACAATCTAATCTCAGTGATGGACTGGACTTCTGAGGGTCACTTCCCACTGTCATAGCTGCCGTCCCCAATCCATCCTTGCTAGAGTCCGCCTCCAATCCTGCAGGCTCCAGCCTGGAGGAAGTAGTGGGTGTGGGAGCTGGGGCTTTGATGGATGAGTAGGAGATCACCAGGTCTAGACAGAGGTCTCCTACTCCACTGGCAGGTGTCCCCAATGCCCTGGGAGGCACAGGCCTCAAAGGCTACTGCCAAGGAGGGGGTGTCTACTCTGGACAAAATCCCATGTGTTCAAGGTCCACCAGAGTGAGCCCTTGACCATGATATGTCTGAAACATCCGTCAGCAGGTCCTTCAGTGTCAGAGCCTCCCTGGGAAGAGGTTCCATGAGGAAGGCCAGCTGAGGGCAACAAGACCCAGGTTTGAATTTCAGCTTCACTGTGTGGCTCTGGGAAAATGGCTTTCCCACTCTGTGCCTGAGTTTCCTTGTGTTTACAAGACTAATCCCAATGACTATTTATTAAGCACCTACTGTGTGCCAAGCGCTTTTACTCATGGCTTCTCCCTCTGCCTGCCTCTAGAAGGCTGGAAGTGGTATTGTTATCTCTATTGTACAGTCCAAGCAGCTGAGGCCCAGCAAGGGGCAGAGACTTGGCCCAGGATGGCCCAGGGAGGGTCCTGGTAGAAGAGAGCATCTGCCAGGCCCTGTTGCAGGCAGTATCATCAAGAGAGCTTGAACGGTGTCAGCTACAGCAGATTCTAGCCTCAGTTCTTTCCCAGTGATGCTGCGGGTGACCCGCTGGGCATCTGGGAGGCAGCTGGTGAGACTGCTCCACACCCCCTGGTGAGGGAGATTCCCGCGCTGCAGCCTGCTCTGCATTCCTCCCTGAGCCCTCGCGCTGCCTGGTGTTGAAGGGCAGACCTCGGCTGTGCATGACTCGCCCCTCCGTCCATCCTGGAGCTGGCAGTGAATAAAAGCCACACTTACAAAGAGGAGGTCTCATGTCTATTTGTGAGGGGCTGCAAAGGGGACGAAGGACGGGAATGGGGAGAAAATTTACTCGGTTCAAAGTCATGTGAAATGGGTTATGGAGACTGAAGATGCCCTTGATTCTCTCCCTGGCATCTTCTCTGACCCTGGCCCCCTGCTACCCTTTCCCTAGGAGTGCCCATCATGGGAACTACCCTTAAAACCTTCAGCCTGCCAGGTACGAGTAGCCTCTGCTACTCTAAGGGGCTGGGGCGGAAAAATCCCTTGAACCCGGGAGTTCGAAACCAGCCTGAGCAACACTACGAGACCCGCCGCCTTTTCCCCAAAACAAACAAAACCTTCAGACACTCGTCTGGAGTCCTGAGCTATGTTAATAAAGACAAGCCATCGTCGTGTCCTTTGTATTCTGATCTTTGCTTGGGCTGTGCCATGCACTGTGCCCCACCCCGAACCCAGCCCGAGTGCTATCGGCTATTTCCGGAGCTCTGGACAGTCTGAGAAACATCCTTGGTCACGCCCCCAGTTCCGAGTGTCTTCAGCTGTTTCCGGAAACAATCGTGGATGTGTGCCCAAGTCAGCCACGTTCTTGCTCCGGCCGGGACTCGAGATTTTTCGGCTGTTTCCGGACGCTCCTGGTTGCCATGGAAACGCCTCCAACTCGGCTGTTTTCGGTGGCAAGCCCTTCCCCCGTTCCCGTTGCCCACTTTCCTGAACCTGAGTCCCCCTCACCCGCCGTCTAGAACCGTCCATGCTTCGGAAACTTCCGGAATTTGACGGTAGCCTCTGGGCCTAAATTCCCAGAGTCTCCGTTTGGGACGAAGCACGCTTGGTTCTTTCCAGCAACTCCCGCGGTCTCTCAGCTCAGCCTCTGTTCCACCAAACCAGCTGGAGCGTGTTCGGCTATTTCCGGACCCGCTCGGGGGTCTTTTGCTCCTGCCGAGTCCAGCTTCCACCGACCCGATCTTATTCGGCTACTTCCGTAACTGTTCGGCTGTCTCGCTGTAACCTCCAGCCGGCCAGTCCCGCGGGAGTACGTTCGGCTCTTTCCGGAATCACTCAGGCGTTCTCCCCGCCCCGGCTCCGCCTAGGTCTTGGTGAACTCGCCGGCCCGAATGCGCTCGTCCATTTCCGCCGGGGGCGGGCCCGGCCGCTCGGAACCGCGGCGGCGGCTGACGAGGGGATCCCGCGGCTGCGGCGACGGCGGCCGCGGTGGAGCCACGGGGCGGATTCGGCTCAACGTGACGGCGGCCGCGGCGGCGGCGGCGGTGGCGGTCGCGACCAGGTGAGTCCCTAGTGGCCGTCGTGGCAGGAGGGGCTGGGAGTGCACTGAATGCGGGGCTCCTAGGCAGATTACAGGGCCCCTGTGGAAGCCGGACCAAGGGCGCGGGCTGCATCGGGCCCCGCGGGAATTGGGGGGCCGCAGGGAAGGGGTGGCGTCGGGCTCCCTCCGCAGCCGTGCAACCTGCCCGGGACGGTCGGGACGGAACGGGGGATTTCGCGGCGGAGATCCGGGGCCTGAGCCGCGGTCCCCCATGCAAGAAGGCCCCGTCTGGAGTGTGGCCTCGAGCGGTAACGAGGGGCGCCCAGCACTGGGGCACAATGGGGTGCAGGAGGGTCTGGGGTCGATCCCACTTCCGGTCTCCTGGCTGGGCTGCGGGGTCCACGCAGGCCCGAGTGTGCGTCTGCGTGAGCACGCAGGCAGTGCGTCCACCCGCGGAGCCCCCAGCCCTGCGGGGGCTCCCTCGCCTCTCGAATTCGGGGAGCGCCGGGGAGCGCCGTTTCCCCAGCGTGTGCAAACGCGTGCACACCGGGGCGCGGGGGCGGCCAGGCAGGTGGATCCAGGAGGTTTCCTGGACATTTCATATCCGGGCCTCAGTTTCCCCACCTGTAGAATGTGGGTGACCAGGTTCAGAGAGCTGGTTTATTCGGGCACCTGAGAACGTGGAGCCCCGGCTCTGTGCTCGGACACCTCCTGACAGTCTCTGTGGCCTGGGGCAAAACCCCAGACCCTTGGCACGAGGCCGTTGTTGGATGGCGCCTTTTCTTCTAGCCACCTGAACTCTTGGCAAGCGACTTGCTGCTGCCAGGCCTTCGCATGTACCTTTGCAGAGGCTGGGAGGGGCCTGGTGCGCCCTCTTAGCTCTGAGGCAGATTCTCTAGACTGCACACCCCGCCCCGGCCCCATCCTCACAGGAGAACCAGATCTGCAGGGCTGGGGCTGGGAACATGGCCCCATCTCTGCTCCTCCAGGCCTGAGCTCCTGGGGGACGGTCATCACTCAGCACCTGGCATCTACCTCCCTTGGCGGCCACAGTGCCCTCCTCCTGTCCACCCTCTCCTGGCTCCCTGTCCTACCCTGCAGCCAAGGTCTGGCTGGCTCTTTGCCACACCTCCCCCCCTACTTTTTGCACCTATTGTGGGCCCCAGATAGCCAAGCTAGGGACACCCCCAGCCCCCTGCCTGCTCCCCTGCAGAGACTGGAAGTCCTGTGCTTGGACTTACTCTGCAGGTGCCAAGGGCTTTCCCTGGCCCTCCCGCCCTACGCTGTGCACCCTCTGCTGCCTCCTCCTCTGCTCCACCGGCCCCCAAGTACTTTGAGTGGCTCCCATTTCACCCTGCTTGCTCTGAGCGCCACTGGCCATGTGACTGCCACCGCCTCAGCTCCATCTGGGCCTGGGTGTGAGTCCCTGCTGCTCCCTGGCCCACGGAGTGGCCATACAGAGACCTCCCTGCTCTGAGCCTGGTTCCCATCTCGAACGAGGATGAGGAGCTCGCTCAGCTGAGCATGAAGTTTTTTTTTTTGGTTTTTTTTTTTTTTTTTTATAGAGAGAGAGAAGTTTAATATTTATTTTTTAGTTCTCGGCGGACACAACATCTTTGTTGGTATGTGGTGCTGAGGATCGAACCCGGGCCGCACGCATGCCAGGCGAGCGCGCTACCGCTTGAGCCACATCCCCAGCCCCTGAGCATGAAGTTTGTCCAGCTCCACTCCCCACAGCCCTGAGGGAGGGCTGCTAATGCACCCATTATACAAACGGGGAAACTGAGGACAGGAAGGGCACCCAAGGCCACCCAGCGATTCAGGGGCTTCCGGCCCAGGATTTGGATTTGGGCCCATCTCTGTGTCAAGGGTATGCATCATCTGACTATCACTGCCCTGTCCACCTGCAGGTCAGCGACCCTGGCCAAGCATGGTGGCAACCTGTGCCCTTGGCTCCCCCGGCTCCCTCACCTGGTACAGCTGGAGGAGCTGCCAGCCTCGGGCACTGATGGCCCCTCTCCTGAGGGAGTGATCTGCCTGCTCCAGCGCCCCTCTCCCATGGGGAACGCAGTGGCCAAGTGAACTGCAATCACTGCACCAACCCCCGCCCTGCAGCTGGCGCATGGTGGACACAGCAACAAGTGGCCGTCACGGAGTCATGGAATGATGGTGCGGAGCCAGGCATGAGCGGCCCCCAGGGTCGCCTTTGACTTCTGCTGGAAATCGAGGCCTGAGCACCCCAAGCCCACCCAGTGGATGGGGCCGTCAGGGCCCCGAGCAGCTGCCTGACCATCCCATCACACCGCACCCAGCATGGCCGACGGCTTCCAGTACCGCGCACTGTACCCGTTCCGCCGGGAGCGGCCAGAGGACCTGGAGCTGCTACCCGGCGACGTGCTGGTGGTGAGCCGGGCTGCACTGCAGGCACTGGGCGTGGCGGAGGGCGGTGAGCGCTGCCCACAGAGTGTAGGCTGGATGCCTGGCCTCAATGAGCGCACCCGACAGCGAGGTGACTTCCCTGGCACCTACGTGGAGTTCCTGGGGCCTGTGGCTCTGGCCCGGCCAGGCCCTCGACCACGAGGCCCCCGCCCACTTCCTGCCAGGCCCCGGGATGGGCCCCCCGAACCAGGTGAGCAGCAGGCAGAAACTTTAGGAAGAGGATGTCCACTTGGACCCTCAGTCTTTTCTTCTCTGCAAGGAGGCACTGGAGTCTCTCTCAGGGGCGGAGGAATAAGGATATTGGTCGTTTATTAGCTGTGTGTATGGGGTGCTGCTGTCAGTCAGCACTGGACACAAAGCCTGGCCCTGCCCTCACAGGACTTCTAATTCAAGACATGATGGGAAGGTGATAATTGGTGGCAGAGGCTGTGCGGAAGGCTTGCAGGGAGGAGCTGGGGTTAGAGGAACCCAGGCAGTGGGCACAGCAAGGGTGAGGGTGGTGACATAGCGATGGCAGGTTCAGGGGACGCTGGCAGGCTCAGCACAGTGAGGAGTGCTGAGGAAGGTGGCCCACAGGGGGCATGGACAGTGAGTGTTCATAGGATTCAGAGGCCTGATCTAGCTTCATCCTACAGTTTGCAGATGGGGTTCCTGGTAGAACCCCTTTGATTTTACTTGGTTTTTAAAATCAAGGGAGCCAAAACCCAAGAGGTTGGGGTGCTCGGTAGAAAGGAGCCATCCCCACTTCCCAGGAGGGTGCCCGGAGCAGAGAGGCCGGGGCACTGAGGAATGTGGGGCAGGCAGGGGCTGTGGGTTCCGGCCAGGAAACGGAGGCCCCCGTTGTGGTGAGGAGGTGCTGAGGACCAGCCTGGCCTGATCCAGCCCTCCCGCAGCCAAGGAAGCCCATGGACAGGTTGAGACCAAAGTACTCAGGGTCAGTCCCCAGGGAGGCCAAGGCCCCAGGGGGCGCCAGGCTGCTCTGCACTGTCCCCAGATGCTCAGGACGGAGTCCCACAGCAGGGGGCAGAAGGGGGACGCAGAGGTTTCCAGCTTGGCTTGGGCCTCACAGCATCTGGCGTCTCCAGGGCCCAGGCCTGAAGGAGCAGGAGGCGGCCCCATCCGGGCTCCAGGCCAGACTCTGCCTCTCCCCCTGGTAACAGCCGCCTCCCTCTGCCTGGCCTCACTCCAGCCCCCACACCGTCTCCACTCGGGGCAGCTGCCCAGTCTCACCCTCCAAACGTCCAGGGCCGTGACGTGCCAGGCTGCCCTCCGCAGAGCTGGGCTTCCCCTCAGGAAATGGCAGCTCTGGTCTGTGCGCCCTGTGGCCCTGCTGCTCTGGGCGGCTGGGACCCCCCGGGAGCCAGTGGAGGCAGGTTTCCACCATCAGCCCGATCAGGGCCTCCTGGGCCTACCTGGCCAGCGTCCATGGGAGGCCCGGCCTCTCTGAGCCCCAGTTCCTCATCTGTAAAATGGGGGCAGGGCCTGATCTCCGGGTGCTCGGGCTCCACTTGCACACGGGTCCCTGGTGGTCTCTGGGTTGAATTTGCAGAACCAGGGCCCGGCCAGTGCCCGCCGCCTCTCCTGCTGTTTTTTTGTTTTTTCCTTTTCTTTTTCTTTCTTTCTTTTTTTTTTGGCACATTCCACGCAGCTGGGCCTCTGCCGGCTCCAGGCCCCACCTGGCCTGTCACTCAGCAGCCCCACAGGCCCCAGCTTGCCCCTGCCCTGTGCCAGGGCGTCCTGCCGAGGGCCAGAGCCGCATCAAATGATGGCGCAGCAGCAGGAGCCTGCTGGGGCGGGAGGCCAGCGCACAGAGGACCCCGCGGGAACACAGGGTGGGGGGTGTTGGCCCCAGACCCTGGCGCCCGCCCACTGGGAGGGGTTCCAGCCTTTTCTAAAAGGGAAGAGAATTTAGAAGCACAATGACTTAGGAGGTGAGGAAGGGTCACTGGAATAGCGGGTCAGAGGCATGTTTCCTTCTTTTCTTTCTCAATCACTTTTTTTTTCCCATTTATATCAAAAAAGGAGAGACGGGCTGGGATGCGGCTCAGTGGTAGAGAGCTCCCCTAGCTCGTGTGAGGCCCTGGGTTCCATCCTCAGCACCTTCAAAGAAAGAAGAATCCCCTAAGGGCAGCCACTGAAACTAACAGCAGGTTTGGGGCTCTGCCGCAGTTGCTGTGCGACTCTGGGTGCCCGACCTGCCTTCTCTGGCCCTCGGTTTCTTCGAGGGAAAACAGGCAGATGGGGTAGGCTGCTTTTCTTTCTGTGACTCTGGACAGTAGAAATGCCCTCTGTCATGTTTCTAGAACCCAGGAATCCAAAATCAGGGCCTGCTCCCTCCGCAGGAAGTCGGGTGGTCTCTTCTTGCTCTGCCGCCTCCTGGTGTCTGCAGCCATTCCTGGGCTAGGCCTGGCTCACTCCAGTCTCTGCAGCTGTCTTCACATGGCCTTCTTTAGACACCAGCTGGTGGCTTAGGGCCACCCTAGATCCAGGATGACCTGCTCTGGGCCAGATTTCCCTTTATTCTACCTGTAAAGACCCTACTTCCAAAGAGCTGCAGGTCCTGGGGCCAGGGCTTGGACATATTTTGGCATGGCCACTCTTCAGCCTGGCCTCTGAAGCGGTGTGACCTCTTGATGTCTCTTACTCCAGAAAATGGCCTCCCATCAGTTCAGCCCTCCTGGCGCCTCTTCCCCTCCGGCCTCCCCGGGGTGGTCCAGGTGCTGGGTGCTGGTCTGAGCCGGGTCCTGCCTGGAGCCATTTGAACCGAGCTCCACTGGGCAGAGGGACAGGGTCCTTCCAGGGACCTCACCAACCTGCTGTCCCCTACCAGGCCTCACACTCCCCGACCTGCCTGAGCAGTTCTCCCCACCTGACGCGGCACCCCCCATTCTGGTGAAGCTCGTGGAGACCTTTGAACAGATAGGTGAGCCTCAGCCTGGCCCGGACCCCTGCTTACAAAACCCCACACAGGGCTGCCCGGAGGCTGCGCTGAGGAAGCTGAGCCTGGGAGCACTGGGCTGGGGGGCGCCTGGGTGGCGCTGGACCCGGAGGTGGCGCATAGTGCCCTTGGGAGGTCTCCCTCCTTACCCCCTCTCCTCCTCTTAACCGTATCTCTGGGCTCCAAAGCCAGTCTGCTGGGGTTGAGTGGCCACCCGATCCTTCCGTGGGGTCGGGCAACATTTAAGACCTGACTCACTTGTCCCCTGACCCTCCAGGGCTGGACAGCGAACCCCACTGCCGGCCCGAGCTGCCCGCCCCGCGCACAGGTGAGGGGAGCCTCCGTGGGCAGGGATGGGGGCAGCCGGCGGCGGTATCTCTGCGGGGCCCCCACCCCGGTAACAGCCGCTGGCATGTCCCCTGCACCCGCAGACTGGTCCCTGAGCGACGTGGATCAGTGGGACGCTGCTACCTTGTCGGATGGCATTAAGGGCTTCCTGCTGGCCTTGCCCACGCCCCTCGTGACACCTGAGGCCTCAGCAGAAGCCAGCCGGGCTCTGCGGGGTGAGCCTGCCGGGGAGCCAGGGACAGGGAGGGGACTGGCGGAGGGTGGGTAGGCGGTCGCCCGCCCCGGCTCACCCAGCCCTGGCCGTCTGTTCTCAGAGGCTGCGGGGCCCGTGGGGCCGGTGCTGGAACCCCCGACGCTGCCGCTGCACCACGCTCTCACGCTGCGCTTCCTACTCCAGCACCTGGGCCGGGTGGCCCGTCACGCCCCAGCCCCGGGCCCTGCCATCCGCGCCCTGGGGGCCACCTTTGGGCCGCTGCTGCTGCGCACGCAGCCACCCTCACCGCCGCCAGGGGGCGCGCCCGACGGGTGAGCAGCAGCGCCATAGGGGCGGGGCTGAGTGGAGCAGAAGGGGCGGGGCTGCGCCTGAGCCTGCGGGAGGGATCCAGAAAAGACCTGGGGCGGGGGCGAGGAGACAGGTCTGTGCGGGGTCAGGTGCCCTCTCTTGGTCTTCTCTGTGTCCTTGGGGACTGCACACACTAGGCAGGACTTGGCCTCGCCTACCTGCGGGTGTCACCTACTCCTCTTCCCTGTACATACCTTCGTGTATAATGACCCCCAAGTGTGCCCACCACCATGTGAAGCCAGGACCGACCCTCCCGGCCCTCACCATGCTCCCGTTCCCCCAGGAGTGAGTCCAGCCCCACCTTCCCCCCACTGCTGGTGGAGAAGCTGCTGCAGGAACACCTGGAAGAGCAGGAGGTCACACCTCCAGGTAACACCGCCCCCCCTTTTAAAAAATGATTGTCAGTTGTACTCCTGGGGGACCGTGATTGCGGATCTGGGGCCCTGCCGGTATGAACAGGCCCCATTGCAGTGGGAGACGGCTGCAGTATACAGTTGGTGCTTACTCTGCATTTGTTTTCCTGTCCCCCAGCACTGCCACCTAAACCATCCAAGGCAAAGCCAGCCCCCACAGGCCTGGCCAATGGGGGGAGCCCACCTTCCCTGCAGGACGCAGAGTGGTACTGGGGGGACATCTCCAGGTAGGGTCTCTGGGGTGGGGCTGGGGACCCAGGAGATGCCACTTGGGGTGTAGGGTGTCCAGATCGGCAGCTCTTCCCTGGATGTCCCCACAGGGAGGAGGTGAACGAGAAACTCCGGGACACCCCAGATGGAACCTTTCTGGTTCGAGATGCATCCAGCAAGATCCAAGGGGAGTACACGCTCACCCTCAGGTGGGCCTGTCCCCTCGGGCTCTCTAGGGGTTGCACAGGGGCTGTGCGTGGTGTTGGCTGGAGGGCAGGGGGCTTGGCCAGGTCCTGCTGGGTGCCAACGGCCCACCCTCCCTGCTGTAGGAAAGGCGGTAACAACAAGCTGATCAAGGTGTTCCACCGCGACGGCCACTACGGCTTCTCAGAGCCGCTCACCTTCTGCTCCGTGGTGGACCTCATCACCCACTACCGCCACGAGTCCCTGGCCCAGTACAACGCCAAATTGGACACGCGGCTCCTCTACCCCGTGTCCAAGTACCAGCAGGTCCGTGCCAGGCGGGGCCAGGGTGGGAAGCGCCTGGCTGGTTCCAGGGCCTCTGGCCCCAGGGGTGGCCTCGCCCAATCTTGGGTCTCCCCTGACCCCGTGGTGTCTCCAGGACCAGGTGGTCAAGGAGGACAGCGTGGAGGCGGTGGGCGCCCAGCTCAAGGTCTACCACCAGCAGTACCAGGACAAGAGCCGCGAGTACGACCAGCTCTACGAGGAGTACACGCGCACCTCCCAGGTACTCCTGCGCTCGGGAGCCAGGGCCCCGGCCCAGCGAGGCCAGGAGCCAAAGGGACGACCCGAGGCCATGAGGACAGGTGGCCTGGCGCATGTGGTTAAAAAAAACAGAGTGGCCGTAGCAGGACCTGGAGGTCCCGCCGAGAGCCTCCGTGCCTCTCTGGGACTGGGTTTCTTTCCCCTCTGCGCTGTGGAACCCAGGACCTGGGTTACTTCTCGGTGCTCCTTAGCCAGGGTGTGACTCTGAACGATAACAACCTGATGAAGACCTGGGCCCGAGGGCAGGAGGTCACAGGAATGGGGGGCATTTTTTTAAAAGGAGGTTTTGTCACTCAAGGACTGTATCGGTGGGGGAATACTAGGGGTTGAAACCAGGGGCACCTTGCCACAAAGCCACTCCTCCGCTCTTTTTATTATTATTTTTTGAGACAGGATCTCACTAAGTAGCATAGAGTATTGCTAAGTTGCTTAGGCTGGCCTCGAACTTGCAGTCCTCCTGCCTCAGCCACCCAAGTTGATGGGGTTGCAGGCATGCACACGGTGCCCAGCCCAAGGGCTGAATTAATATGCCTCTTTCTGCAAGTTGAGAGACAACGGAGTCAGAAAGAATGTCCTGTCTCTGCCAATTGAAAGACATGCATAGAAAATGCTTAGTGTCTGGGCTGGGGCTGCGGCTCAGCGGTGGGGCACTCGCCTAACATGCGTGAGGCCCTGGGTTCAACCTTCAGCACCGCATAAAAATAAATAAGTAAAATAAGTAGATTGTGTCCAGCTACAACTAAAAAAGTATTAAAAAAAAAAAAGTCCAGGGGTTTTTAAGGTGCCCAAAGGAAAGGGGAAGTTGGAGAGTGGGGGCTTGGTTTTTGTTTTGTTTGTGGTCTGGGGGTGGAACCCGGTGCCTGTGCATGGGAGGCCAACTGAGCTGTCTCCCCAGCCAGGAGGAAGGTTTTGAAGGCTGAATAGGAGTTCGTTGTCTTCCACTAGACTAAGTGTTCCAGGAAGGTGTCCCGGTAGAGAACAGTTTGAGCAGGGTCTCTGTATCAGAGATGAGGTCGCCCTTCATCCTCCTGAGGAGTCCCTAGGGGTACTCTGCTTTGCCCCTCTCCAGGAGCTGCAGATGAAGCGCACAGCAATCGAGGCCTTCAACGAGACCATCAAGATCTTCGAGGAGCAGGGCCAGACGCAGGAGAAGTGCAGCAAGGAGTACCTGGAGCGCTTCCGGCGCGAGGGCAACGAGAAGGAGATGCAGCGGTGAGGCGCGCTGCCAGGGGGTGGCGGCGGCGGGCTGGTGGGGTCTGCTGTGCGCAGGCTTAGAGGCTCGCAGTGTAGCCTGGCGCACAGAAGGTTCTCGAGAGCCCTGGAGCCACCTGACGCCACTGACCCTTCCCCGGCCCACCCCCAGGATCCTGCTGAACTCGGAGCGGCTCAAGTCCCGCATCGCGGAGATCCACGAAAGTCGCACAAAGCTGGAGCAGGACCTGCGGGCCCAGGCCTCGGACAACCGCGAGATCGACAAGCGCATGAACAGCCTCAAGCCCGACCTCATGCAGCTGCGCAAGATCCGCGACCAGTACCTCGTGTGAGTGCAGTCCCCGGGCCTGGCCTGTGCCCTTGCTCACCACGCGGCCCCGCCTAGCCCCTGAGGACCCCTCGCTGGCCCCGGGGTCCCCTCCCTCTCGGCCAGCAGGGCTGCTGCTCCCTGGGCCTCTGACCCGGGAGCCCTGGTCTCGCAGGCGCTGCGCTCTGCCCCCTGGCGGCAGCCGCAGCCTCTGTCCACCTCTCCAAGTGCGCGGCCAGGCGCCCTGCCCAGCGCGCGTGCATATTAGCGCATTTATTCCTTTCCAAGCTCTTTGCCAAGTTTGCCCTTAGCTGGGGAAGCCGAGGCACAGGGCAGACAGACAGCTTTGCTGGACAAAGGCCAACAGCAGTGCGGCGGCCCCCAGGACTGATCTCTCCGGGCGTGGTGATAAGGCCTTCCCCAGGCTGGGGGGGTTCAGGGCCTCCTAAATGTGAAGGTCAGTGGACAGGAGAGGCGGCTAGCAAGCAGCGCTCGGGGAACCAGCGGCCCTTGACCAGGTCAAGGTCACCTTGTTTTGGGATAGAATTTATCCCGCCTCCTAGCCTAGCTGCCTCCCACGGGGCTGCCCGGGCCTGCTGGGTGCCCTCCCTGTTTCGCCGCGGAGCAGCAGGTGCCCACCGTCCTCTTTCTTCTTGGTCCTCAGGTGGCTTACCCAAAAAGGTGCCCGGCAGAAGAAGATCAATGAGTGGTTGGGGATCAAAAACGAAACAGAGGAGTGAGTGACTACCTGGAGGAGGAGGGGAGGGTGCTCCTTAGACCAGGGACCTGTGGCGCGGGCTGTGAAGGAGGAGCGGGAGCTCGCCAGAGAGGAAGCGCTGCCCGGGCGGGGGCTGCAGATGAGTGACCAGGCCCCGTCCCTGCCCTCCCCCCAGCCAGTACGCTCTGATGGAGGACGAGGAGGACCTCCCCCACCACGAGGAGCGCACGTGGTACGTGGGCAAGATCAACCGCACCCAGGCCGAGGAGATGCTCAGCGGCAAGCGCGACGGCACCTTCCTCATCCGTGAGAGCAGCCAGCGCGGCTGCTACGCCTGCTCCGTGGTGTGAGTGCCTCGCGCGGGCCGGGAGAGCCCTTATTGAGCACCTACTGTGCGCCGGGCCCTTAGAGGACAGCCCCTCAGCTTCCCAGGAGGAGGCTGGCCGGGGGCGTGGGGGGAAGGGGCCCCGAGGCGACAGGGGAAAGGCAACGGCGCTTCTTGACCGGCCCTTGTCCCTCTCAGGGTGGACGGTGACACCAAGCACTGTGTCATCTACCGCACGGCCACCGGCTTCGGCTTCGCAGAGCCCTACAACCTGTACGGGTCGCTGAAGGAGCTGGTGCTGCACTACCAGCAGGCGTCCCTGGTGCAGCACAACGACGCGCTGCCCGTCACCCTGGCCCACCCCGTGCGCGCCCCCGGCCCCGGGCCGCCGCCCGCCGCGCGCTGAGCCCAGGACAGACCAGCCCCCAGGGTCCCCACCCGCTCGCTCTGCCCTCTTCCCAGCCTCCCCTCCGTTCCTGGTCTCTGTCTCTGTTTCCACGTTGGGGGTCCTGCCCCTCCACCCCCTGTCCCTGGACGGCGCCCCTCGCCCCGCCCCCGCAGTCCCTGGAGCCCCTCCCGGCTGCACCTCCATGTTTACAGAGGCCCCCGGGCTGCGCGGCCCCGGCCTGGGCGCCCCGATTTTTAAGCCATAGACCTGGGGTCAGGGCAGGAAGGAACTTCGCTCGGCTGCTCCCAAGAACCTCGGCCGCGACCCTCGGGGCCGGGCGGGACCCGCCCCACGGACCCCAACTTCCCCTCCCGACACTGAAGTGAAACCGTCGCCTGACAGGCCGCGACAAGAGTCAAAAATAAACTGGTGAGCGCCTGCCCCGAGCCCAGGCCTCCAGGGCTGCGCCCCCGGGTGACCGCTGCGACACTGCCCACGGTACCTCCACTGACCAGGTTCAGGCTCCTCCCGATCATGTTGGGTTTCGATTTGTTTTTCCTCGACTGTAAGCTCCCCCTCGGTCTCTTGGGACGAGTGCCCTGTTTTCTACACTGCCCGGGACCCCGCTGCCCGCCCGCCAGGCTGGGCGCAGCTTTTGTACGGTACGTTGTTACGACATGGAGATAAAACATTTGAACATGGAGCCGAGTGTGTCCTTGATGCCTGGGATTCTCTGCAGTCCCCACATGCAGGGGGACCCTGGCATGCGTGGGTCACAGTGGCCAGGACTGTGGGTTTAACCTCAGGCCACCTCCGAGTGCCAAGGCCTTCACTCCCTCACACTGGGCCACATGAGTCCAGAGGACTCCACACCCGCCTAGTGTCCCTCGGGAGAGCCACCGGCTCAGCCCCCAGTTCCTGCTCAGGGGCCCCCGGGGCCCCCTCTGGCTCTGACCAGCTTCCAGGTTTGAGTCCCTGCTGGGCCACCAGCTGTGCCCTCGGAAGAAGTCACCTCCCTTCTCTGATCTGCAGCTTCCTCCTTGTCGAGTGGCATCAATAGTCCCCACACTCCTCTTGCCACCCAGAGGGTGCCCCATGTCCTCAGATGCAGCGTACAGCTACTGTGAGGCCCTCCCTGGTCCCCTCTAGACATTTGTTCAACACTCGGGGACCATGACCCAGGGCAGGTCCCAGGGGTCCTGCGTCTCTTGGACCTGGACTTCTAGTTGCCACTCTCCGGGGACCAGAGAACCCCCCTGGCTGCCCCCAAGACCTCACATGCAACCGGTGGCCCACGCCTATCATCCCAGCGGCTCAGGAGGCTGAGGCAGGAGGATCTGGAGTCCAAAGCCAGCCTCAGCGACAGTGAGGCGCTAAGCCACTCAGTGAGGCCCTGTCTCTAAATCAAAGACAAAATGGGGCTGGGATGTGGCTTCACGGTTGCGTGCCCCTGGGCTCAATCCCCACTACAAAAACGAAAAAGAGAAAGAAAAGCCCACATGCCTGGGCAGCTTGGAGGAAATGAACCAGAAACCCCCGCCCAGGCTACTGCTGCACTCTCAGGACAAGACAGCTTCCTCTGAGTCCCCAAGCCTTCCCAAGCACCTTCCTGTCACATACCCAGCTGGAGATGTTCCATAAGTAACTCCAGCCTGTAGGATGCCTCCTGTTGCTTGTGGTCACAGGACAACAGCCCTCTGCCCACGCCCCAGCCAGACTGGGCCAGGAGTAGGAGGTGCTTGGCAACAGCCTATGTGGTCTTTACACTCAAATCACCATGCAGCTTGCTGTGCATCTTTGGCAAAGTTGCCTAACCTCTCTGATCAACAGCTTTCTCAATACCAGATGGAGTCTGTAGTTGCTATCCCTGGCCACGACTAGATGCCTCTGAGGGTTCAGTGATACATTGAGTTGTGGCCCCAACCTGGGCCTGACACCAAGCATACAAGTTAAATGATGAGGGTACTTAACATGACTTCTTCCAATAGGGAAGACACCAAGGAACCACAGGAAAAATTGTAGCAGAACTTAAGACGTAAATAGCAGGCACAGTGGCCATGCCTGTAATTCTGACGGGGGAGACTGAGGCAGGAGGATCACAAGTGTGATGCAGCCTGTGTAACCTAACAAGACCCTGTCTGAAAATGAAAATGGCTGGGGTGTGTGTGGCTATTTTAGAGCACCCTGGGTTGGATCCCCAGTATCACACACCAAAAAAAAGGAAATGGAGGGGCTCAGGTGAGGGTCAGTGGCTGAGCAGGTGCTCAGCCTGGGCGAGGCCTTGGGGTCCATCCCCAGCACCACAAAAATGAAGAGGAGGAGCTAGGCTTTGTGACTGGCTTGGTCCTCCTGGGGACAGGACACGGGGTCTCTCTCTGGGGCTTCAGGGAAACTCCAGCTCCTGAATCTGCCACTGCTTCATGTAGCACGTGGAGGCTGGGACCTTGGGGCTGAGGACCTGCACGCTGAGCTTTGTCCCCTAGCAGGGTTTGGTGTTTCTTCTTGGGACTGGGCTCCGTGGCTGGCCAGGCCTTGGGAAGCTTGCAGCACCTGAACCTGTTATGCTCGAATTGGGGACCCCCAAAGACCACCAGAGACCAAGACCGATGTAAACAAACAGCAACGAGGTGTTTATTGCGAGCTAGCTCGGGCCTCCGCGCACACACAGAGCAACTGGTGACGCCGATAGGCCCCGAGCCCAGGGTTTGCAGCAGTTTTATACATTCTTTGGAGAAGGCAGGGACTTCACATACATCATAGCATCTCTCAGCAAATCATCACACACCGCGGGAAAATCAAATAACAACTCTAAAACATGATTAGCACATTCACTGGCGGGAACAAGTTGGGGAGGGGTGATTGGTCAGTACAAGAGGGGGATTCGTTTGAACTGACTGGTTTAAGCCAAGAGGGATGTTCCTGCTGAACTGCATGGTTTCCCAACACGTTATCAACCGCCATAAACTACTGGGAGGGTCATCTGGCATCCCAGGTATTTCCCTTGTCTCATGCTGATTGGTGGCTGCTAGGGGCTTGCTATGGGTCCCCACCTAGCCTGACTGAGTCAGGGACACCTGTCGCAGTTGTAGATAAACAACTTAGCAGGGTGGGAATGTGTCTAGGAGCGCTCTGTGGGTCTTTCCAAGGACAAAGGTGATGTCCCTTCCTTGGACAGGCTGTGCTCTGAGGTAGAGGCTGGTTTTTCAAACCTCATGGTTATTCCAAAAAAAAAAAAAACAAACCCTCCAGCCTCCATCCAGGCCTTTTGTGGAGGCCACACTTTGTCTGCATTGCTGGGGCCGCTGGAGTGGCCATCCTGGATGGCCCCTTCCCAGGGTCACAGGACCCAGCTGTACCCTCCTGAGGCCCAGCCTGGGATGTGTTCTTCCTGCCTCTGAGGGCTCTGTGGTGGCTTTATCCCCCAAATCTCTCTCCTTCCCGTCTTACAGATGGGGAAACTGAGGCTCCCTTTCTCTAAGGGATCAGTGGTGTCCCGGGAGCAAAGCGGGTGCCAGACTGACTCCATCTGCTCTGCGGCCCCCCCCAAGTGCAACCTCCTCCACCCACCCACCTTGTACATGGCAAACCGCTTCCCTGCCCCACAGGGCCAGGACATCCCCACCCCAAGCCTTGCTCAGGAAAGAAGGAACCCAACCCTCCTGTCCCTCACCCCAAAGTAGGGGTGGAGATCCCACTGGGTCCCGGCTTCTGCTTTTTGTTGAGCTGTGGCCAAGCCTGGATCAACTGGTGGCGGTGAGTCTGGAGCCCAGGGCCCGAGGCGGGAGGGGGAGGGGCCAGTCCCAAGGGTTAGGCGAGGAGAGGGGGTCATCCTGGGCCTGGCCGGAGGGAGGGGACCCAGGCTGCGCAGCCCCTGCTGGCTTCAGGCACAGAATCTCTTCAGAGCTCAGGAGCGCCCTAGAGTGGGACCCAGAGGCCATGGACAGGCCTTGATTACCCTGGGGATCCCCAGAGTGTCCCTGACTCACCGGGCTCACAGGGCTCCGGACCCCGGGCCCCCGCATGACTGGGTGCAGCCAGCGGCCCAGCAGGAGCTAGGAGGTGACCGACCGCCTTTTCTTGATCTGGGGCGCAGCGTCTGGCAAGGTTGGTGGCGTGGGCAGGTTGGAAAGCAGGCCCAGAGAAAGAAGGAAAGATCCCAGCGACACTTGGCCTGGGCCCCGAGGGGCGTGGGCACCCGAGGGTGGCCTGGCCTGGGGGCGGGGCCACCGCCGGGATAAAGACGCCTCCTTCCCGCGGGCGGCCGCTCCAGCCGCTGCGCCTTTGTCCCTCCGGTATGGCCCTGTCACCACTCCTGCCGTCCCTACCGCTGCTGCTGCTGCTACTGGAAGTCCCCGCTGTGACGCGGGCGTCCACATTGGCCTCCCAGAGGGTGGCCGCCTGCAAGGTAGGGTCGGACGGCGACACGGCAGGCGGGCCAGAGGGGACCGCGCCCTAGCGGGGCAGGCGGCTCCTCTCCTCTGCCCGGACTTTGCTTGGGAAGATCAGGTGGGGACTCCCGAGGGGACGCCGTCCCAGCTGGTGCCCGCTCTCCCGCCCCATTCATTCCCGTCACCGTGGTCACACACTGGCCGAATCGTTTTGCTTCCCCATCGCGTGTCTGAGACCCGCAGCTGTCACCCGCCCGCCCCTCCCGATTGTTCGCTAAGCACCTACGGTATACTTCTCGCCTGGGAACCCGGGCCTCCTCCTGGAGGCAGAGGTGACCCGATGATCTAAGGGCTCGCGCCGCCGCCGCCGCCGTAGGCGCTCGGGCCAGTCGGGCGCTCATTCCAGCCGGGAGGAGGCCTGGCGCGCTTCTGCTAGGGAGCAGCAGATGCCCCGAAGGCTGAGCGACTTGCTCACGGTCCCGGAGACCAGACCCGCCTGCCACCCTTCTGCTGAAGCCGGAAGTCAGCACATATTAGGCGCCGCCTCTGTTTAGTGGGGCATGGGTGAGGTTCACGTGGATCCCCGGAGAGGAAGGATAAATAAGTCCGCATGGGAGTATATCCTTGCTTAGCTCAGGGCCCAGGATCTGGGGAGGGAAGGAGTGATAAGAAATGAGCATGCATTAGGCTCCCATGATATGCACCTCCAAAAAAGTGGAGCTGGTGGCACACGCCTGAAATCCCAGGCTGAGGCAGGAGGATCATAAATCTGAGGTCACCTCAGAAACTTAGTGAGGCCCTAAGCAACTTAGCGAGGCCCTGGCTCAAAATAAAAAGTAAAAGGGGCTGGGGTGAGCTCCGCGGTTAGCGCTCCTGGGTGGAATCCCCAGTACAGTGACCAGGAATACAAGTGCCTGACCCTTCACTGTATCCAGCCCTTATGAGTGAGGGGGCATTACCTCACTTGGAGGGAAGCAAGGCCTGTGCATACACTGAATGCCTACTGTTTGCACGACTGTTCTGCCTGATTTGTAGACAAACTGAGACTGAGGACCGTTTGAGGGTACAGTGAAACTTCTGATGGCTGGAGGAGGGGCTCGGTGGTAGAGCACTTGCCTCGCCTGTGCTTGACCCTGGCGTCACCCCCAGCCCTGCAGAGACAACAGAAAAAGAAAAAGCCTCAGAGGCAGGGTCCCCCACCCCCACCCAACCCCCACCCTGCAAGACCTGGCCCAAGTTCAAGGTGCATCTCTTGCTTGCCCTTTCCCTTCTCCAAGAATCCCAGCGCGGCCCCAATACACGGGGAGCTGCCCCGGGGGCTGCGCCTGCTCACACGCGCCCTGCGCCCTGCTCCTGGCAGGTCCATGACCTGTGTCTGCGGGAGCCCCTCAAGAAGTCCCCGGAGCTGCTGGTCAATGTGAGCCTCTACTACGAGTCCCTGTGCGGAGGCTGCAGGTACTTCCTGGTTAGAGACCTCTTCCCAACGTGGCTGATGGTCATGGAGATCCTCAATGTCACCCTGGTGCCCTACGGAAACGCCCAGGTGGGTAGGCGCGCCAGGGAAGCCGCGGAGGGGTCGCCGGTGTGGCGACCAGGGCTCACTGGGCTCTCTGCTTGCAGGAGCGGAATGTCAGCGGCACGTGGGAGTTCACGTGCCAACACGGGGAGCGGGAGTGCCAGCTGAACAAGGTGGAGGTGAGCGGGGACCGGGGCGCGCAGTGGCTGCGCAGCCTGGGGCGCCCGTAGGGAAAGACGGCTGCCGGCTCCATCCTCGGCGCCGCCCGCCTCGGCGCCATCCCGTCCGCCTTGCCCGCATCCTCCTCTAGGCACCGTGTTTGTCCCCAGAAGCCTTGGGGTGTCGGGACCCCTCCTGACCTTGGCCGCCCCCTCTCTGGTCCCAGGCCTGCCTGTTGGACCAGCTGGAGAACAGCGCTGCCTTCCTCACCATTGTCTGCCTGGAACAGCTGGACGACATGGAAAAACATCTGAAACCGGTGAGCAACACGGACCCTGGCCAGCCCAGGTTCCAGGCCCAGCTCCCTTCTCTGGGTCGGGGGGACACAGGCAGGTCCCTTGGGGGTGCAAGTACATCAGGGAAGACTTCCTGGAGGAGGCATCTCTGAGCTGGGCATGGAAGGAAGCGCAGGAAGGTGCAGGGACTTAGATGCTAGGATATGGGGACAATGGATAGGAGAGGCCCTACCTATTTATTTCCCTGGGGGATTGTAAAACAAAAATAATAATTCCCCAAAGGGTGATCCCCCACCCCAATCATGTATTCATTCATCAAACATCCAGGACACCCAAGAAGCGTCACCCCATCACTCCCCACCTTGCAGGATCAGAGGGGGGCTGGGGAGTGAAGAGGACGAGGGAGCACTGGGGAGGAGGGAGGAGGAGGAGGAAGGGTGTTCATGCATGGGAACAGCATGCACCAAGCTCTGAGTAGAGAGAGCGGCTGGTCTTAGCAGGGAGGGAGAGCACGAGGGGTGGGAGGCAGGAGTAGCCTGAACCCCAGCCTCAAGGGCCTCCATTCAGGCACATAATGAGCACCTACTGTTTATGGGCACTGTTGCTTCGCTGTGGAACCAACTGTCCCCTCTTGCCAGTGAGGAAACAAGCCTGGGGGGGGGGGCAGAGGGGACCGTTGGGGAGATAACAGGGAGGAAGCCGAGCAACACGCTGGCCCACCCCTTTCCCCAGTGCCTGGAGCTCTATGCCCCCGAGGTGTCCCCAGACAGCATCATGGACTGCGCAACCGGGGCGCGCGGCACCCAGCTCATGCACGCCAACGCCCAGCTGACAGACGCGCTGCAGCCGCCCCACCAGTATGTGCCCTGGATCCTCGTCAACGGGGTAAGACTGTGTGTGAGCGGCCGCGGGACCCTGGGAGGGGATCCGGGTGGTGGAAGTGCCCACTGGTCTGAGCCAGTCTTGGGAACCCTGGCAACCCCTTGGGGTCCCAGACCAGCAGAGCAGGATTGCGGGGCTGGTGGTCAGTGGGGCTGTTTGCTTTTCTCTGTGCAGAAGCCCCTGAAAGACCCCAGCCAGCTCCTGAGCCTCGTCTGCCAGCTGTATCAGGTAAGATGCGGGGAGCCGGGGATCCCGCTGGTGGGAGCAGCACCTCCTGCCAGGATTCCCACACCGACCCTCCACTCCAGGGTGAGGAGAAGCCAGATGTCTGCTCCTCCATGGCCACCACCCCCAGGGAGGTCTGCTACAAGTGACCAGGAGTTAGTGTCCCAGGACGGAAAGGACAGGAAGAGCCAGAACCCAGCTGCCACCCTTCTTCGGATCCCCAACCCTGGGCAGATACGACTCACCAACTGGGGGACTTCTAGACATCCCACAAAGCCCAGACCCAAAATTCCACCCCGTGATCCAGGGTTCTGCCTCACTGAGAATGGTGCAAGATTGAAATTCAATTAATACATAATAAATCCATCTGGTTGTGATGATTTATTTTATACCATTTTTTGCAGCACTGGGAATGGAACCCAGGGCTTTGGGCAGCCACTGAGCTACACCCCAGCCCCTTGGATAGTTTTCAAAAGTGGAAAAGTCAAGCTGGGCGCCGTGACGCACACCTGTCATCCCAGTGACTTGGGAGGCTGAGGCAGGAGGATCACAAGTTCAAAGTCAGCCTCAGCAATTTAGCGAGGCCCTGTCTCTAAAAAATAAAAAGGGCTGGGATGTGGCTTAGTGGTTAAGCATCCCTGGGTTCAATCCCCAGTACCAAAAATCAGCAGCAGCTCAGGGCTTGGGCTCGTGGCTCAGGGGCGAACGGTCTTGTTCTAGTCTGTGTGAGGCCGGGGATTCCACCCACAGCTCTGCAGAAAATAAAATAGTAATAATAAATGCAGGCTCTGATTTTTCACTGTGCAGACCTGGGGATGGAGCAATGTGAGGACTAAATGCATCCTAGAGAGACTCTGGCCAAGTTAACATTTTAATCATTAACTGAATTTCTGGCTGCTAATGGACTATTTTCGCCTAACATCGCTTGGAATACTGTAAGGACTCTGAGAAACAGCATGGAACAGAGAGGCTGCTGCAGCCCCGTAGTGGGGCGTCTGCCCGACATGTGCAAGGTCCTGGGCTCCATCCCCAGGGCTGCAAAAGAAAGGTAACAGAGACATGAGGGCACTGGCCCAGCTCCCCTGTGAGAGCTCAGATCAAGCCATTAGACATTTTCACGACATGTAAAATCCCAAACAGGAGCCAGGCACAGTGATGGGTGCCGGGAGTCCCAACTACTCAGGAGGCTGAGGCAGGAGGATCCCTGAAGCCCAGATGTGGTTCCTGGAAAGACCCTTCTAGTTGCAAAACAAAAAGAAAAAATGTGGGCTGGGGTTGTGGCTCAGTGGTAGAGCGCTCGCCTAGCATGCATGAGGCACTGGGTTCGATTCTCGGCACCACATAAAAAAAATTTAAAAATAAAGATATTGTGCCACCTAAAACTAAAGAATAAATAATAAAAAAATGTCGTGAGATATTAGATGTATAAAAGGAGAGAAAATAAAAACTGAAACAAGCTGAAGAAAGTGGCCCTGCACAGGTTCCGTTGGTGGCATGGAGCTCTGTACTGTGAGAGCCATCAGGCTGGGTTGGGGGTGGCAAGGCTGGACTCAGGTGCTCTACCCTGAGCCACACCCCAGTTCCATCATGCACTTCACCAGGATTATTTCTACCAAAACAAAGGAACTGCCAAGCAGCCAACATGACTCACACCTGTCATCCACGCCTGTCATCCCAGCAGTTTGGGAGGCTGAGGCGGGAGGATGGAGAGTTCAAGGCCAGCCTCAGCCATTTAGGAAGGCTTTAAGCAACTCAGCAAGATGCTATCTCTAAAAGAGAAAGAAAGGGCTGGGGAGGTGGCTCAGTGGTGAAGCACCCCTGGGTTCAATCCCTGGTAAAAACAAAAACAAAAAAACCCTGAGTTTAATGATTAGAACCAATGTGGTGGGTTTGCAGAGCTGGATAGAGCCCAGGCCAACACATACTAGGTAGGAAAGCACTTTACCACTGAACTACATCCTTGGCTCTAAACTCACATTTTTAAATCCACAGGGCAGTGAGCAGGGATTTTTAGTCAGTCATAAACATCTTTAGATGGTAGTGAAGATCCAGTGGGGGGTGGGGAAGCAATCCAACAGGCTGCTTGGTTTGCGGCTCCAATGTCTTTATGATGATGACATTTGGTATCCACTGAACTTTTTTTTTTTTTTTGCACTGCTGGGGATTAACTCCAGGGACACTTGACCACTGAGCAACACCCCAACCCCCTCTGTTCCTCTTCCTCTTCCTCTTCCTCCTCCTCCTCCCCTTACACCACCCTCCTCCTCCTCTTTCTTTTTTTTTTTTTTGTGGCGCTGGGGTTTGAACCCAGGGCCTTGTACATGGGAGGCGAGCTCTCTACCAACTGGGCTATGTCCCCAGGCCACTCTTCCTTTTTTTCTTCTCCTGTTTTCAGAAAGGGTCTTGCTAAGTTGCTGAGGCTGGCCTCTAACTTGCAATCCTCCTGCTTCAGTCTCCCTGGTCACGGGGAGTGCAAAGTACTTACATGGGTCAACTTACATGGTTCAACTTGGTATAGATCAACTTACAATTTTTTGACTTCACAATGGTGTGACAGCGAAACCCACATGGCCATTAGGGTTTTGAATTTCAGGGCTGTAGTCAATGAGTACAGTGTCGGTGTTTCCCCTCCTGATCACGGGACTCACCGGGAGCTGCCTGGCATTCAGAGAGGATTGGACCTCACACCACCTGCTCCAGGAAACAGCCGAGTTCAAAGTCCAGAGAACTCTGAGTGACCCACCATGTTTATACACGGTCCGTTGTGATGATTTCTTTGCCATTTACATGAAGTTGTTCAGCCTGCGCTGGCAGAGCATTGGGAAGGCGCAGTCCTAGTTTTCAGTGATGCCAAGTCAGGAGGGCGGGAGGAAGAGTGGAGTGTTACCAACAAGATAAGCAAAATGATTGGAGCTGTTTCTAAAGAGGCCCATAAAGACCAGGTGCAGAGATGCGTGCCTGGAACCCCAGCGACCCTGGGAGCCGAGGCAGAAGTGATGAGGGACAGATGGATGTGAGACATGGGAACTGGAGTTAAAGGAACAAGTCTGTAACATGGAACCCCATGACCCCAGCGTGATTTCACTTAGCAATTCATCTTGTACAACCAGAGACATGGAAAATTGTGCTCTATATGCATAACACGAATGGAATTGCATCCTGCCGTCATACATAACAAATTAAAATAAATAAATAATGTAAATTTTTTAAAAAGCCATTTATCTGCAGCCCTGCTTGACTGAAGTCAACAGAGTATGTTAAATTCCTCAGCAAACTACCTGTTGTCTGTAGGGGAAAGGCAGACCAGGAAATGCCAACAAGAAGAACACGAGTTCCCCTGAAGAAGGGACGTAGGACTTACAAGGAACAAATCCCAGAATTCAGGCAGATCAGGATAATTCTACGTAGCCGTAATATCTGTAAAAAGAGGTTCAAATTAGGGCTGGGGCTGTAGCTCAGTGGCAGAGCACTTGCCTCGCATATGTGAGGCACTGGGCTTAATCCTTGGCACCACATAAAAATAAACAAATAAAGATATTGTGTCCACCTAAAGCTAAAACTAAAAAAAAAAAAAAAAAGTTAGTTGGGGATGAGTCTCGGTGGTAGAGAGCTACTGATTTCAACTCCCAGGATCAAGGAAAAAGAAATGTAAGAAACATCTTTACTTCGGAAGCCACACAAAACCAGGCAGGAACAGGATTTGGCCGGTGGTCAGTTTTCTGCAACACAGATGACATTTTCCCCTACAGAAAACGAGGAGGTCACGGTTTCTACAACAGCACAATGTCGCTGTGATATGATTCAGCCCAGAACAGTGTCTAACGTTTATTTTTAGGCAACTGAGGTCTAAGACCCGGGAAAGGTCAGGACCAAGGTCAACATCTGGATGAGGTGCAGAGCTGAGGCTTCTTCCCCACGTCCAACTTCCAGAAGGCTCTGCAGGACGGGACTTCAGTCTCCTGTAGCGGTCAAGCCCACTCTTGTCACCAACTCCAGGAGAATCTGGAAATCTGAAAGGCACTCAAACCCAGACTGTAGTACCTGCCTAAGATTGGCCATCTCAACGCGGGAGGCGGGGCAACAGGCAGCGATTGGCCAGTAGTGGCATCCGGGGGTGTGGTTACTGTTATCCATAGGCCGGCTCAGAAGGGGGCGGGAAAGGGGGTTTAACGTTTCCCCAGGGCACGCTGGACGTCAGGGCAACACTTACTTGCGATTGGTCCGCTAGTTCGGGAGGCGGTACACAGCTGCTTTCAACGACCGACCCTGGGAGAGCTCGGCTGCTTATTATTGGTCAATACTGCCAGGGGCGGGAAAGTGCAGCTCCGTGAAGATCAGCGATTGGTCGGGGGCTACTTGGGGCGGACACGAGGGCTGGGAGACAGTGTGGATTGGTCCGCGGAGGCGTAGGCGGGGATTCGTGGAGGCGGGGGGACTCATGGTTGGCTGGCGCAGGTCGGGGCGGGGCAGAGCAGCGCGCCGGTTCCTGCGCCGCGGGTGGCGATGGCGCCGGGTGGCTGGCGGTGGCTGCGCGGTCTGTGGGCAGCGGGGCAACCCCTGTTCCAGGGCCGTGCGCTTCTCATCACCAACACTCTGGGCTGCGGCGCACTCATGGCAGCTGGGGATGGCGCACGCCAGTCCTGGGAGATCCGCACCCGACCTGGCCAGAGGTTTGACCGGCGGCGCTCAGGTGAGGACGTCGGCGCTGCTGGCCCTTCACCTCCGGGGACCTTTGTTCCTACCTAAGATTCGGAGATCTTCGTATCCGGCCAGTGGTCATTCATCCCTGATCCGTAGCCTCCGTCTCTGTCAGAACACAACCTCGGCGTGCACTAAGTCTAAGGACTCCGATGATCCCTCCCTCAGTCTCTGTCCCCTAACACCCCCAGGTGTCCGTCACCCCCAATCCCTGGGATCTCTGCTATCCACCGAGGAGCCTGGAACGGCGTCTGTCTGGCGGTGGGGCTTGTAGTGGAGGAATACACGGTTGAGCTCGCCCGATTTTCTGGCCGAGGCTTGGGGAGGGCATTGGGCTTACCCACATCTTGGCCCGGGGGCGGGGGGAGGGTATTGTGGGGCTTGCTGGCCTGATCTGGCACCCTGCTTCTTATGCCACCTCAGCCAGCATGTTTATGGTGGGCTGCAGCATGGGCCCCGTCCTGCACTACTGGTACCTGTGGCTGGATCGCATACTCCCTGCATCGGGCCTCCGAGGCCTCCCAAACATCCTCAAGAAGGTCCTCGTGGATCAGCTCGTCGCCTCTCCTATGCTAGGCGTCTGGTACTTCGTGGGTAAGGAGCCCAAGATCTTGGGTTTTGCCCCTCATAGTTTGGGATTGGTGGAGACAGCATGTGTTAAGGATGCTGAGGTGTGATTCTGATGCTCCTCCTGTGTAGGTGGCCCTGGGTTGGGTGACAGAATAGACCCAATCTGACCCTCAGGGAGACAGTGGGGGTTGGTGTGAATGGTGGTGAGTGTGGGGGAGATGAGGACATTTTCTGGAGCTGCTTTGAATGGGAGGTTGGACACTCAGCAGAGACTGAGCTGCCAGACAGGAGGGTCAGCCTATGCAAAGGCCCTGAGGCCTAAAGGGAGAAGAGTGTGATTGGGATTAATGGGGTACAGTCATCCCAGCCCCAGGATCTGTGGAGAGTCTTGGCAGAGCTGCTCGTCCCCACCCTCCAGGCTCAGAGTTTCCTTGGCTGTAAAGAAGAACTAAAGCCAGATTTTACCTCAGGGCATCTCCTTTGGAGCAGGTGTTTATTTTATAAATGATTTGTTCTGTGTTGTTCCCCTCCACCAGACATCCTGCTGTTCTGCCCATCTCACCAGACTGTCCCATACCCTCTGCCTGGCTCGCTCTGTCACTCAGAGGTCCAACCCCGCCCCACCATCATCGTGGGTCTCTTTCACCTCCACGCTACGCTGTGGCCTCTGACACTCATTTCTTGGTTTCCTCCCAGGCCTCGGCTGCCTGGAGGGCCAGACACTGGACGAAAGCTGCCAAGAGCTGCGGGACAAGTTCTGGGAATTCTACAAGGTGCGCATCCCCCAGGACCCGCCCACCTGCAGCGCCGCCTCTGACGGCTATCCTGCCCCGCCCCTCAAGGCTCTGGCCCCGCCCCTTACCACACTCCGCCCCTCCCCCTAGGCTGACTGGTGCGTGTGGCCCGCTGCGCAGCTGGTGAACTTCCTCTTCGTGCCCCCCCAGTTTCGGGTCACCTACATCAATGGTCTGACGCTAGGCTGGGACACATACCTGTCCTACTTGAAGTACCGGGTGAGTGTGGTGGGTGGACCCACACCCGGGGATTCCCCTGGGGCCATCTCTGTGACCCTCAGTGGCACTACAGCCACTGCAGAGGGTGAGGGCCCCTGACAGTTGGGCCCAGGGAGGGCAGGCAGGGAGCTCCTCAGCCATGGAGAGGTAGCTCTGCTGTCTGACGGACCAGGCCAGGTACAGGTGTGACCACCAGGTCCCTGCTATGCCTGTTGAGCAGAGCTGACCCCAAACCTGAGGACAGATAGATGTGGGCCCAGGGAGCAGGAGAAATGGCTCGGAGAGTTCCCGGCCCGCTTGTGCAAGGCCCTGGGTTCCATCCCCAGTGCCCCCCACACAGAAGCAATGCATGTGACCAGACCCTCTGTGCTGACAGGTCCCCGGCCCTCTGACACCCCCAGGCTGTGTGGCCTTGGGCACTCGAACGGACTGAGCTGCCTAACACCCAGGACTAGATCCCTGCTCTAGACAGGGCGACGGCGACTAGGAGCTGCCACGCCTCCCGTCAGAAGGGGAGTGGACTCCTGAAGCAGGCGGGGTCCTGGGGCCATGTCCCAGGCATCTAGCTGAACTCCCTTCCAAGCTCACAGCGGGCCATTTCCCATCTGGAACACAGCCACCAGATGGACAGTTGTCCCCCAACCCTTTTCACTGGAAGCCTAATAAGACCTGTGACCAAGATGTCCCACCTGCAGCACAGGGCCTCAGCCAGCCAGCTGGTCCCAAGCACCAAACCCTCACCACTGCCAAGGCCTGGCTCTGGGCCACACAGCCACACTGGGGCTTTTCCAGGCCCCTGGGGACCAAGGCAAGGACATGGCCGATCCCCTTGGAGTAGGGTCCAGCCTGGAGTCAACTCCAAAATCTTCAAGCAGGACACGGAGCCTCCAGGTCGCTTCTTTCGTCGTGAACAGGGAAATTCCATTAAATTCTCTCTGTAATTGAAATCTTGTGATTGTCCAAAGACAGACGGGGAGGGCGGGACCCTCTGCAGAGGGACAGGGCATGGTCCATTCACTTTATTGGATTGTGTGTAGTGTGTCATTACATCTCCTAGGGGACTGAGGGGCACGTTTGACACTTGTGACGTCAGAACAGGTCCGGAGGGGTGGTCCCAGGGTGGAATCCACTCCCAGCACCCCACCCACCCAAAAGATAAAACTGAGGGAGAGGAGTCCTGGACTCCTCCCCTGTGGTCCACCAGGAGAAGCCTGAGCAGGGGACCCGGGGCGCTGCATCAGGAGGGGCTGGCGGGCCTGGCCACCCCATCACCGCATCAGCCTGCTCTGGGGTGTCATCTGGTCCCCTCTTCACAACCAACAACTGCTGATGAGGATGAATTTAAAAAAAAAGGTGAGGTCTCCAAAGGAGGGTGAGCAGTGACCACGACACGCCACAGCAGAGCAGGGACAGGGCTGTATGTACACGGGGGAGAGGGCGGGGGAGCCCGGGCCCCTGGGGGACATCTTCAATAAATAAATAAATAACTACGATAATAAATAAGGATGATGGGCTACGTCAGGGGCGGGTCCCAGGCCCTGGGGGTGGGGTGGGGCGGGGCTGCTCTCAGCAGGCGCAGTCCTGGTGCGGGGGCGCCTGCTGGTCAGTGAGCTGCGGGCCCTGCTTGGCGCCGGTCACAGCGGGGTCTGCCGTGTCCAGTGACTCGGACATCTTCTCGCAGATGACGTCCACCAGGCGCTCAAAGGTCTGCTTGACATTGATGTTGTCCTTAGCACTTGCCTCAAAGAACTCGAACCCTGTGGTCAGGGAAGGGAGAGTAAAGACCCTTCTTTGCACCCAGCTCCCAGAGCCGGAGGACCCATTAAAGACACGGACAAGTCACCCAGGAAAGCCACACTGTGAATGTCCAAGACAGACGGGGAGGGCGGGACCGTCCTGCGTTTCCCATCCTTTTTATTTTTTTTAATATTCATTTTTTAGTTTTCGGTGGACACAACATCTTTATTTTATTCTTATGTGGTGCTGAGGATCGAACCCAGCACCCTGCGCATGCCAGGCGAGCGCGCTACCACTTGAGCCACATCCCCAGCCCCCTATCCTTTCTTCACCCTGAGATTGTCTCCAGGGCCCTAGCAAGCACCTCTGATCCCCACTGTCCAGCCCACATCCATGCACGGGCCCTGGAGACCTCCCACACTCAGACCCAACTGTGCCCTCCCCTCCTCAGATACCCTCCATGGCTCCCTATTGTTCTAAGAAGTTCTGGCTCCTCGGCTCATGGTCGAGGCCCTGCACAACTGACTGTGTGTCCTCCAGTTAACCCCCGTGTTCCAGCCTCTTGAAACTGTGGCCTAACACAGGATCATTTTCATCTCTGGCCTTGGCCCACCTGTTTCCTCTACCTGAGGGACCGGCTAAGGCCCACCTCACTCCCAGTGAGGCAGAAGCCTGTCATGGCCCTTAACACCCGCAGGAAGCCAGACGGTGAGAGTGTGGGAACTGCTGAGCCCTCCCAGTGGCTCCTGGGTCGAGGCCAGCTGGCAGAAAGCGCTGATTGCCTAGATTTGAAGCCATCCCTGTCCTGATTCCGCTGTGAGACTTTGGGTGTGTGTCCTTCCCTTTTAGGGCTTCAGTGTCCCTTTTCTCACCTTGTGGGTCCCCAGTCTGCTGGTCACTCACCAAGATGGTCGGCCAGCTGCCGGCCACGTTCCGATGACACCACCCGCTCATCCTCCATGTCACACTTGTTCCCCACCAGCAGCACCTGGGCATTGTCCCACGAGTAGGTCTTGATTTGGGTCGACCTGCATGAGGCAGCAACGGGGTTGGTTTAGGGGTTTGAGGACCCCAGCCCCATCCCCAGGCTCTAGGGCAGGGCCTGTCCCCTTGTCCTGGGGAGAGAGACCTTGAGGTTGGCCCACGACCTTCCTACCCCAGGTCTCCTCCAGCCACCATGGCCCCATAGTCCTCCAACATGGCAGGCTTAGCCCTTCCTCCCTGCCGGGTATCCACTGTCCTCTCTCCATCCACCAGCCTCTTCCTCCAGGAAGCCCTACCAGGCCCCATCTCTGCCCTGCCAAGAACTCATGCTGTTTCCTGCCTGTAGGTATTTGCTCCAAAAGCTGCCTGTGCTTCAAAATCCAGCTCTCAAGCAACCCCTCCCACTGTTCCCAGCACCCTCAGAGAAATTACTTCCTCTGCAACAAATTCAGAAATTCTCTGAAAGTTTACCATCATGGCTAGGCAGATCATTTATTTATTTGTTTGATTACTTATTTATTTTGCAGTACTGGGACTTGAACTCAGAAGCACTCTGCCACTGAGATACACTCTCAGCCCTTTTTAGTTTGGGGCTTTGTACCAGGGATTGAACTCAGGGGCACTTAACTACTGAGCCACATCCCAGCTCTTTTTTATATTTTACTTAGAGACAGAATCTCGCTGAATTGCTTAGGGCCTTGCTAAATTCCTGAGACTGGCTTTGAACTCCTAATCCTCCTGCCTCAGCCTCCCAAGCAGCTGAGATTACAGGCATGTGCCACTGTGCGCAGCCTCTTTTTAGTTTTTATTTTAAGACAGGATCTCACTAAGTTGCCAAGGCTGGCCTCCAACTTGAGATCCTCCTGCCTCAGCCGCCTGAGTTACTGGAATTTTATAGGTATGCACCAACTGTGTCTGGCTATCTTATTTATTTATCTATCTATTTATTTTTTGTTTAGTGCTGGGGATTGAACCCAGGGCCTTGTGCATGCGAGGCAAGCATTCTACCAACTGAGCTATATCCCCAGCCCTATTTTATTTTAGAGATGGGGTCTGGCTATGTTGCCCAGGTTGGTCTCAAATTCTTGGGCTCATGTAATCCTCCTGTCTCAGACTTCCAGCACCTGAGACCTTAGGCACCTGCCACCATCCCTGGCCAGGGAGAACATTCAAATGTGTCCAACCTCAGGTCTGGGGATGTGTGCAGTGGTAATGCATTTGCCTAGCATTTACAAGGCCCTGCATGTGACCCCAGAACCACAAAGAAAAAGAAGAAGAAGAAGAAGAAAGACAAACAAATGTTGCTGGGGGCACACGCCTATAATCCCAGCAGCTCTGGAGGCTGAGGCAGGAGGATGGTGAGTTCAAAGCCAGCCTCAGAAACTTAGTGAAGCCCTCATCAGCTCAGTGAGACCCTGACTCTAAATAAAATACAAAAAGGGCTGGTGGTGAGGCTCAGTGATTAAGACCCTGGGTTCAATCCCCGGTACTGAGAAAAGAAAAGAAACGTTTACAACCTATGTAAACTGCTCTTATAGTCTGTGTTCCCAACCTCATCAGATCCCAGATTGTTTCCCCTTTACATTCCTATAAGGATTTCCATCTGAAGTGAAGAGATGGTCTGAGAGGAGGGGAGGTGCTCACCAGTCCTGCACAGCGTTGAAGGACTCCTCGTTGGTGATGTCATACATGAGGATGAAGCCCATGGCGCCCCGGTAGTAGGCGGTGGTGATGGTCCGGTACCGCTCTTGCCCTGCTGTGTCCTGGGAGGAAGAGACGGGAGCCATAGACCCACACGTGAGCTCCTCACAGAGGAGATCTGCTCTGAGATCATCCAGTCTGGTCCCTTCGGGGCCCAGCAAGGGGACAGGCTCTCACCCAGGGACTCCATGGTCCAGGAAAAGCCCTCTGGGTCACTAGTATCCCAAACTTTTAGTACTCGATCATCCTACTGCAGAATCCATCCCTATTTATTCAACAAGCGCGTACTGGGCACCAAACCACACACCGTGTGCTGCACCCTGTCACAGCACGGAGCTTATAAAATGGACAGAAATTCCCTCCCTGTGGAATGCTCAACACTGTGGTGGTGCCTGCCTAACCAGTGACTCAGGAGGCTGAGACAGGAGGATCACAAGGTAGAGGTCAGCCTAGGCACCTGAGCAAGACCCTGTCTGAAAATTAAATGGGCAGTGGGTGGAGCTCGGTGGTCCAGCACTTGCCCAGTACACGTGAAGCCCTGGGATCCACCCCATTACTGCAAAAATAACATAAAGTAACTACATAAGCATAGCCGTCGGAGGGTAGCAAGGCCTGAGGAGAAAAATAAAGCCTGCCCAGGATGGGGAGTGTCGGAGGGGGACAGTTTAAAAACCTGAAGGAGGGGAGGGAGGGAGGAGCATCCCACATAGAGAGACCAGGCAGGGACTCCTGGCCCCAGTGAGGGGTTCCTTTTATGAGGAGTGCGATGGAAGCCATGAGCAGAGAGGACAGGCTCCCTCTGGCCTCTGCAGAACTGAATGAGGAAGGTAGGAAGCCCTGACAGCATCCGTCCCAGGAAATGAGGACAGGAGCCAAGATCTGGCTGAAGCCTCATACGAAGTTCCAGAAAGAACTGCAAGCTGGGGAAACAGCCACTGAAATTAGACACTGATGGAACAGGGGTGCTCTATGATCCTCCACCCCCAGGTATACAGTAGGCATCTGATAAGTGCCCTGGGTGTGAATGCACGAATCTAACCAGGAATGCATGAATCTAACCAAATGGGCTCTTTTCCAGTAAGAAGAGGAGCCCTCCTGCCCGACCCACCCAAATCTGCAGCTTGATCCTCTTGTCGTTGCGGTAGATGGTCTTGACCTTGAAGTCGATGCCCACAGTGCTGACGAAGGCGGGTGTGAAGGAGTCATCCGCGTAGCGGAAGAGGAAGGACGTCTTGCCCACGCTGCTGTTGCCAATGATGAGGATCTTGAACATGTAGTCGAAGTTCTGATCCGAGGACTCCTTCTGCCCATAGCGGGAGTCTGTGGCGGATGCCATCTGGGGGTGCGGGTTGAAGGACAGCATGAGGGGGCTCTCTCCATCCCCAACTTCCCAAGCCCAGGATGGAGAGTTGCAGAAGAGTACCACAGTGGTGTTGGGAGACCACACTTAAATCATCAGGGGCCCCAGTATTAATGGGGTTGCCCCAGCAGAAGCCTAGCTGTGACCTTGAAAGGTCCAAGATTTCAAAGGAGGAGAGCGGATGGGGCCACCCCTGCAGCCCCTCCATCAGGCTTGCCCCAGGTCAGAACTGTAACCCTAAACCCTATGGCTCTACTCTGAGGGGTGACTGTTGCCGGCCCCGCCCCCCCCCCCCCCCATCAATCTTTCATGGTCCTCAGAACCGGGCTGCACGTGCACAGGAATGTATGGCCCGCGGGTGGCGGGGTGGCACGTCTGCAGCTCCCCTTCCCCCAAATGCCAAGGCAGGGAGAACTCAGGCCAGAACAGTTGCATCACGTGACCGTGGCGGGGCGTGTACAGACTCAGGTGTCCACAGTCCCGCACACATCCGCACACATTCGTCCACGCTCAGACATAAATGAGTGTGCCAACACCAGATACACAGGGCAGAGCCGCAGGCACCTGTGTGCACACCAGTTCACATATAAAGATGTGCAAACCCACCCCGGCGCACGGCCCCCGGTTCCCCTGCAGGTGTGTGCACATCACCCACAGGGACACAGATCTTTATGCACCTATGCACAGAGCCCAGCGCGAACACTCACAGTCCGTGAATTTCCCTCCGCACTCGTGCGGCACGCACATACTTAGACCCAGATCACACGGAGTCACGTGAACGTACCCAGGAACACACGCAAGTGTACACAGACCCGCTGACACAGTCGGGCGCGCACACGCGTGTGCACACCACGCGCACGCGCACGCAACAGCCTCCCGCGCGCACAGCTCCCGCAAGGCACTCGCCTCCCCTCCCCCTCCGCCGCAGCGCCTGGGGGTTGGGGGTACTGTGAGGATCGGACAAGTTGGGGGACCCTCGGACCTACCCCTTCCCAGGCCCCCCACCGCCGCTCCTATCCCCCCATTCAACCCTGGTCAACCCCCTTCCCCTCCGCCAGCTCATCAGTCAAATGAAGGTTATGCAGGTGCTCAGAGCGGGAGCACAGAGGGACGCCCGGGAGCTCACCTTGCCCTGCACCAATGTGGCAGCGATCCGAGTGGCGGTGACTTTTGGGCGGTGGCGGTGACGGGGACCCCCAGTGAGCTGATGTGGGGCTGCGCGGCGGCGGCGGCGGCGGCAGCGGCAGCGGCTCAGGCCCCTGCAGTCCTTGGTGACGTCCTGCAAAGAGTGGGGCGGGGCCGCACATGCAGATACGGTCGTGACGCCATCGGGGCGGAGCCGCGCATGGAGATATGCCCACCGAATCTTGCAGAACCAGAAGGGGCGGGGCCCCGCGCAGATTGACGCTTGAATGGGGCGGGGCCAGATGTGTACATGCTGTAGGGGCGGGCGCGGTTCCAGCTCCTGCTCCGCCTCTTGGAAGGCGGGGCTGATTAGAGTCCTCTCATTGGCTTAAATACTTGAGCGACGGACAATACAGCCAATCAGTGACTGTTGACTCCCTTCTCCTGTCCAATGGAGGCTTTTAGGTTTTTGAAGGGCCGAGAAGCTGAGGCCTTGACTGAGCCCTGGTTTTGGGGGGCGGTTCTCTTTTCCTTCAACGCCCACCCAGCTCCGGGTCGCCTACAGCCCCTGCCTCGTCCCAAGTGCTGTGATTTCCTGTTAACTGTCCCCTACTATCATTTTCAGAAAAGAGGAACTGGGATCCGAGAGATGCTCCATGGCCCCTCAATTTTTAGGGTTCAAATTAAATAAAAAAGGAAAAAAAGGAGGAGGATTTAAGAGAGACCCCAGTCCAAGTCCCAAAGTGTAGGACCTCTACTGAGGACCGGGCTGTCAGGGGCGCACCCCGCCCCTGTTTACGAGATTAAAAGAAGAAGAAATAGAGTCAAAAGAGCCACCCCTCCCCACCATCTCCCAGAAAAGGAAGGACCGAGGACGCTCCGACACTCTTCCCTTCCCTGGGCCCCATTATCGAGAGAAAAATTCGAAGAAAAGACAAAATAGGGTCAGAGACGTGTCCTGTCCCCTAAACCTCCAAAGCCTGCGGTTAAAAACAAAAAACAAAAACAAAAACAGAAAGCGGGGAAGGTACGAGAGGGTCTTCCCCAGCCCTTCACTGACTCAGGTGCTCAGACTTGGGGGACTGGGCGACCCCTGCCTCCCAGGGGAGATGCAGAATAGGGAGGCCAACGTCTCCCTCGCGTGTCCCTTCCAGTCTTCAGGGGGGAAAGTCAGGATTTCGGGGAGGGGAGCCCCAGCCCCCACTGTGGGTCTCCTGTCCCCACTCACTCTGGTCCTCAAACAGCAGGGGACATGTGGCCCCCAAGAGAGTCCAGATCCCCTGGATCCCCACCCCAGGAGGAGGAGCTGGGGAAGGGGCGGGGTGGGGGCGGGGAGGACTCATCCTGTTTATAAAAAGCTCCCAGCTGCTGAGGCGCCGCGACCAGAATAACTTCGCGCCAGGAGGCTGGGGGGGCTCCGCCCCCGAGCCCAGCCCGCCCAGCGCCGAGGAAGGACTGGGACGACCCTCCCCCTCCGTTTGCATTTGGGAAATTTATTTTTCTCCAAGGGTAACGTGTGTTTGTCCCCCTCTCCCACTTGGTCTATGAAACTATCACAGACCCGCTGCAGAGAACTGGGAAAATACAGAAAAGTAACAACAACAAAAAATAAAGAACAGTGAATCCAGCTCTCTGCTCCGCGGCTCCCTGCCCACGCGGAGACCCTCAGTCAAGTCCGCCCTCTGGGTGGGGACGCGGTGTGGGAGCCCCCGGGCTGGAAGTGAGGACAGCGAGGCTGCTCAGCTTCCAGACTTCCCGGACGGACGCCGCTGCGCGCTGCCTACACGGTGGCTCCCAGAAATACCCGTCCGCAGGAGAATGCGCACTAGCTCCCGCACTGACTTTGTATTTTAAAATAACAGCCGGGCATGGCGGCGGGGCCAGGAATCCCAGCGAGGCAGGAGGGTCACATGTTCGAGGCCAGCCTCTATAACTTAACGAGTTCCTTAGTGAGACCCTGTCTCAAAAGAAAGATAAAAAACACTGGGGATGTGACTCAGTGGCCAAATGCCTCCAGGTTTAATCCCCAGAACTAACAACAACAACAACAACAACAACAAGATCTTTATATTGAGGCGCATTCTGGGGCTGGGGATGCAGCTCAGTGGCAGAGCGCCAGCCTACTGTGTGAGCCCCTGGGATCCAGCCCCAGCAAACATGAAAGGGAAGGAAGAGAAGAAAGAATCAGCCCTTCCTGAGCTCTGAGCGGCAGAGGTTGGGGTCCCCAGCAGTTAGACTGTGACACTATATTATACTGTTCAGGGAGGTTAGGTGAAGAAGGGCCCCCTCTGGGAGAGCTCAAAGGACACCCCCTCTGTCCCCGAGGAGCCCTCTCCAGCTCTGGGAGGGAAGGGGGACAGCGATGTTTTCTCTCTTAACTGAGGCCCTGAGAGTCGCCCCAGGAGTTCACAGGGCTGAAATTCCAGGGGCCCCCCAGCCCTTCTCTGACCCTCCTCTTTGGGTCTAGGATGGGCCATAAAGGCAAAGACTGTGACCCTTGGGAAGAGTCCCAAGCAGGAGCGAGACCTGGGGTGTGAGTGGTTTCATCTGCCTCCTCTGTGGGCCTCGGTTTCTACATCTGTGATATGGGAGACTGAGGCCAGTTGGTTTGTCCTCTGGGGATCACTGTGTACTGGCTCAGGACACATTCTCTTCAAAAGTTGTCTGTTATAATTACGTGATCCTGGCAAAGAGATCATTTTACCGGTAAAAGACTAAGACCCAAGAAGTTTAAAGGACTTATTGAGGCTGGGCACAGTGGCATATCCCTGTAGTTGCCGCAACTAGGGAGGCTGAGGCAGGAGGATTGCAAGTTTGAGGCCAGCCAATGCACGTTTGTGGGACACTGTCTCAAAATAAAAACTAAAAGGGCTGGGGTGGAGCTCAGTGGTAGAGGCCCTGGGCTCAATCCCCAGTGCCATAAATAAATAGATAAAGCCCTCCCGGAGTTGCAGAGCACAGCAGCAAGGTGGGCAAGGCAGACCTGGCCAAGGCCTCTGGGGAACACAGACTGGAGCATAGCAGGCTCGAGTCAAAGAGTCAAAGACCTGGGAGGGCTTCTAGGAGGGGACCATGAACAACTGAGACCCAAAGAGTGAGGGTGGGGACTAGGAGGGTCGCTGCTGGTGGTAACTACTGAATATGCAGAAGCCCTAAGGGGGACAGAGCCAGGTGTCTGCGAGGCAGCGGGAATTGAGTGGAATCAGTAAGAGCGAGACAGAGGGATGCCCTGGGGCCCCAAATTGGAAGAGAACATATGATTTTTAAAATTTATTTGTATTTATTTATTTAGGTACCAGAGATGGAATCCAGGGGTGTTTAACTACTGAGCCACATCCCCAGCCCTATTTTGTATTTCATTTAAAGACGGGGTCAGTTGCTCAGCACCTCCCTGAATTGCTGAGGCTGGCTTTGAACTCGAGATCCTCCTGCCTCAGCCTCCTGAGCCACTGCACCGGCTTCAATTTATTTATTTATTTATTTATTATTATTTTTTGCGATACTGGAGATGGAACTCAGGGCCTCCAGCACCCTAGGCAAGTGCTCTGCCCTTGAGCCCCACCCCCAGCCCCATGTGCGTGTTGTCATAAGCAGGTGGAGAAAAGACCAGAGGGAAATAAGTAGAAATACTAAAGGAAGACTATCGACAGCTTTGGGATTGTGGTAATACTTTATTTTCTTCTTTATGTTTCATTATTCCCAAATTCGCTGCAGCAGAGACATACTACTTTGTAAGGAGTGTGGAGAGAGAACATTTTGAAATCAAAGTCCCCTAAGTCTCTGCCTTTGGAAAGTCTGGAAGGAAGCGGGTGGAGCTCAGCGGTGGGGCGCTTGCTGGGGAGCCCTGGGGTCCATCCCCAGCACTGAAAGAGAGGACAGAGGAAAATCTGCAGGGACTCCTACCAAGTCCACGACCCCAGATGCCTTTTGGTTCTTCCTGGGTGGAAGCCGAGCGCTCCTGGGTGCTGGAGAGTCGCCAGTGGTCATAATATTTACGAATGAAGCCGCTGTTCCCCCCGCGGGGGCTGCGGCGATGACGCGCATCGTGTATAAATTTGCAGGGTGGGGGCGGGGAGGATACTGGCTGCTTCTGGAAGGATTGCAAGACAGGCCCCCACCTGAGCCCTGAGCACAAAGCCGGTAGGACGCCCGCTTGCCCAGGACGAGCTGGTCCCCGCCAAGCTCGGAGGACCGCGGAGCTCGCCTGCCCCGCCCGGTGCACCTCCCGCTCCGACCGCCAGGGGGCGCCGCTGGCTACTCGCTTCAGGGCTGTGTGGCCTTGAGCAGGCGACAGGGCTGCTCTGTGTCTCATTCCCCATTCATGAAATGGGCCATGCGCTTTTTTATGGTACTAGGGATTGAACCCAGGGGTGCTCTACCACTGAGCTGCACCCCCAGACCTTTTTATTTTTCTATCTCGTCACAGGATCTCTCTAATGACCCAGTCTGGCCTCAAACTCACAACCCTTCTGCCTCAGCCTTCTGAGTCCCTGGGATTGCAGGCGTGGGCCACCACACCTGGATAGGACACTCATTTTGTAAATTAGGGTGTCTTAAAGTCTGGAGGGTTTACTGAGCCCCAGAGAGATGCTCACTGCTGCCCGGGTCGGAGATCTTTTAGGAATGTCACGGTCACCACACCCTCCACCGACCTTTAGCAGGGGCCCAGAAGGAGCTAACAATTGCAAGAAAGCAGCACAGGACTCCCTCCCTCTGGGGACACAGGATCAGGAGACACAGAGGCGAGCTGTACAGGGTGGAAATTCTGCAGTTCTGTTGTTGTCAAGAAAGAGACCATGGGTTGGGGGGGACCCAGCGTAGGGAAGCAGAGGGAGCAGGAGACACGCACACCCGGAGGCAGGGAGTCAGAGAACCCAGAGGCTGAGGGGCGGGGAGGAGCTGGGTGGTAGAGCGCCTGCCTGGCCCGAGCAAGGCCCTGTGGTCCATCCCCAGCAACAGGAGAAAAAAAACAACAACAACAACAAAAAACAAATACAGCAACCTTTTGAACAAGTGCTATGCAGCTTAAATCAGCCTTCAGAGAGGGTCCCCAACAAGAGCCTCCCTTTTCCTATGCCTCCACCACAGCTTCAGGGCCAGAATTGGGTCTCTGTGGGGTGCTGACTCCCTCCCTACCTTGTGCAGGGCTACCCCAGAAGCACAGAGCAGGCACAGGCCTGACACATAGTAGCTGCTCAATAAATACATGGAAAGAAAGAAAGAATTAAGTGATAGATGTGGTTCAAGAATGACTACTGGAGAAGGTGGACAAGGGCCTGGCAGACCCCCTTTTCCATACTAGGGATAGAGGTCCAGAGGGAGAGCCAAGGGCGCTGTAAGAGGCTGCCCCCGTCCAGCCCCGTAGAGCCATTTCAGCCGAACCTGAGGTCAGAGTGGACCCCAGCCTCCATTGGACCCTGAGACCTACCTATCACTAAAAAGTTGGTTGTCTGACTCAGCAGGTGGGAACATGAAGCAAGGGCCCCCTGGAACCTCCTTCTGGAAAGTTCACCCACCAGGGCCGTCGGGTGCCAAAGGGCTTGGTCATTACTTTGCCCCGTGGTCACGCAGGGCCTGCCTGGAATCTCCTGGCTGTCGAGGGGCAGGGCCCCCCAGGGCCTGGGGTACTGGCGCTAAGTGTCAGGTGACCCCGAGGGCTCCCTCTCCAGGGCTTCCTCCTCCTCCTCCTCCTCCTCCTCCTCCTCCTCCTCTGCTTCCTCCAGAGCGAGCTGGAACTGGAACCTGTCGGGGGCCCCCCGCTCCGAGCTGACTGCGGTGTCCACGGGGCTGCGGGGGATCTTGCTTTGGTACCACTCTCGGTTGTCCTCCAGCGTGTCCAGCAGGTCCTGTGCGTCGGGGTGGACCAGGTCAGCCCACGTCTCCCACAGCGGGTGGGCGATGTAGTCGATGAAGCCCACCTGGGGTGGCACAGGCAGGTGGCAGTCAGGCCTTGGGCCGTGTCTGTCCCTCTTCCTGGACGTCCATTCCCCACTCCTGGTAAGCCTCCAAAGCCTCTTCAGACGCCCCCCGAGGGCAGGACGGAGCTGTGCCTGGTCGGGGACCCCAGGCTGGCCCAGCTCCGGCTTTCCCTCCCCCACCCCTGCGGGCCAGGCTCGGCCACCCTCAGACCTGGGACTTCTCCACCGAGGCCGTGTGCTTGTCGCACATGGGGCTGATGTCCAGGCCCGACTCGCGCTCCCGGTCACCCTGCTGGAAGAACTCTGCCATGATGCGGTCCGTCCACTGGCGGTACAGGGGCAGCGGCTTGGTGGGGTTGCTGAGGTCAGCACAGTGGACAAGGTTCTGTAAGACCTGGGGGGTCAAGACAGGAGGGCACTGGCCGGACCCGCCACCTCCAAACCTGCCCAGGCCCGGGCCTGACACGTAGCAGCTGCTCAATAAATACATGGAGAGAATTTAAACTTAGGTGATAATTGATTCTGTGGTTCAAGAACGACTTCTGGAGAAGGCAGACAAGGGACTTGTGGGACCCCCCCATCCCTGTGCTAGGGATAGAGGCCCCTGAAATGCTCCGAGCCACAGACACCATCTTGCAGGTGGGGAGCAGTCCTGGGAGGAGAAGTGGCCACAACAGAGACATGTGACATTATTTCTTCAGATTTGGCATACAGTTGGTGCTTCATAAATGCAACTAAATAAGAACTTCAGAAACGGAGGCCCCAGGGCTCACCTGGCCACATACCTGGATGCGATCGGAGTAGTTATCCAGGAGCAGGACACCGAGGCTTGTCACCTTTTTGGTTTCTACCATGGTCTTGAGGTCCGCCAGGAGATTCATGTGTTTGGACATATCTGTGGCCAGCACCTGGGGACAGGCCAGGGAGGGTGACAGCATGAGGACCCATCTGCCCTGCTTCCCACCTGTAGAGGCCACCCCCACTGAGACCTCTCTACCATCAGAGCCCCCGGGTCCTCATCTGTGAAATGGGAGGGTATGATGAAGGATTCATTGCAAAAACGGCTCAGAAGAGGGACATGATCAGTGGCCCCTTCTCTGGGCTCACTGGGCTCAGCCAGGCATCCCTCATGTGTGACAGGGTATGGGGAAGGGAGAGGACACTCAGCAGCTGAGATGACTTGTACCAGAGGGTAGCCCCAAGGCTCCGCAGAGGCCGTGTCCTGTGCAAAGGCCCTGGGGTTGAATGAGTTGGGTGTGAACATAGAGGAGGTTGGGCTGGAGTCGGTGAGCACAAGAAAGATGGAGTTGAGGGGGCAAAGAACATGGGGGTGGGAGGTGGAGCACCTATGGAGAGGGTCATGGGATCTATAGGAGGGTTTGGGGTTGGGGACCTGGCGTGGCCACTGTGTGCCCTGAAGGACTATTTTCAGCCTTTTGTTGGGAAGTTCAGCCCTCAGCACAGCTGTTAAACTAAGTCAAATGAATGGGACCTGTGGATCCAGCTCAGGAGTGAGCCACACACGGCCACATTCCGAGACCTGAATACAAGTCTCAAAACTTCTCCTCAAACACTTGATCGGTACCAAATGCCACTCCTACTGTGGCTCCGCCACCAAGTCCCTCTTCACCTCGCCAAACCCCAGCCGCTCCTCATCCCAGGCCCTGGCTTCCTCTAGACCGTCCACACATGCTGTTCCCTCTGTGGGGAACACACCTCCCCATCCACAGGGGCCTGGCTCCTGTGTTCCCCACACTAGAGGCCCTCCTTGGCCCCTCCGCCATCTGCACCTCTCAAATGCTATATGGCTCTGCTATGATCCATCTCCCCCAGGGACCATGAATCTCAGAAATTAGGCCAGAACTGTCAAGGTGATTGGCACAGGCCAAGCACACAATAATAGCTCAATAAATGCTTGTTAAATGAATAAATGAGAAACAGTTTCCCAAAACTCCCCAGAGTCCTCCTGGCTAAATAAAGTCCAATGGATGGATGTTACTGTAAGGCTGAGAGAAAGCCGCCGCCCCAACGCCCAGGAGCGCGGTCTCCACTTGCTCACACACAAATGGCCTGAGGAGCCAGACGGATGGTCCCACCCCACCCAGGGCTCCGATGTCATCACCCCATTTCACAGATGAGGAAGCTGAGGCTCAGCGCGGGGACCTGCCTGGGTCCAACTGAACACCGGGCCACACGACTCCCCCCCTATTGGGCGCAGAGGATAAGGGAGCCCCCGCTCCTCCTGCCGCCCAGCCACCGTGGCCCCACCATGTCGATGACCATCCTGCGCAGACTCAGCCGTTGCTTGGCGCCGAGGTTCTGGAAGATGTCGCAGTTCGGAGCCTGCAGCAGCTTGAAGCCCACGGCCAGGTGGTGGTTCTCCAGCACCGAGGCGTCATTGTACATCAGCGCCAGCTCCGAGTCTGCGCGGAAGCCGGGAGCCTGAGACCCGAAGGCGCCACTCCAGTGCCCGCCTCCCCGAAGCCACCCAGGCCCCGGCTCCTCTGGCCCCGCAGGGCTGGAGGTGTCTTGTCCCTGGCTGAATGACGGCCGAGTGTTGGTCTTAATGGAACACAGGGTAAGTGAAAGGCTCCGCTCTCAGCCCCAGCACACCACGGCCTGCATACAACAGGTGCCCAATAATTGCTTGTCACAGCCTCCTCAAAGTTCCCCAAACTTAAGGTTTAAAGCAGGGCACTGTGGTGCACGCCTGTGATCCCAGCCACAGGGAAGGCTGAGGCAGAAGGATCACAAGTTCAAGACCAGCCTCCACCATGCAGCCAGGCCCTCAGCAACTCGTGGGGACCCTGGCCCCAAATCACAGAAAAGGCTGGGGGTGGGGCTCAGTGGTAAAGCGCCCAGGTTCAACCTCTGGTATCGCAAAAAAAAAAAAAAATCAGTGGGCCCAATGGGCTCTGCCTCAGCTCATTCTCCCACTTATTGAGCACTTACTGTGTACCAGGTCCCTGAGCGCTTGTGCAAGGGAAGGCTGGGCTCAGAGCAGAGCTGGGGTCAGCCTGAAACCACCCGGCGGTCGCTGTGGGGCAGGCTCCACCCCTCCCCGCAGGCCCTGCCCCTCCCCTGCAGGCCCCTCCTCTCCCTGCAGGCTCCGCCCATCATTTCAGGCCCCGCCTATCCCTGCAGGCCCCGCCCTCTCCCCTAGTGTCCCCCCCACCCCAGACTCACTGGTGTTGATGAGGAACTGGTTGGAGACCCCGGGGTGGTCCACGTCGTGGATGGCACTTGCAAAGATGGCAGCCAGGACTTCCAGGTCTGTGAACACGGCCTGAGAGGCCCAGGGCGGGAGAGGTGACCGGCGGGCACTCGGCACCCTGCACCTGCCCAGCCGTCCCAGCCGCGGATACCTCCAGGGCAGGCGTGGCCAGCAGCACATGCGCAGACTGGGCCACGTCGGCGGCGTGCAGGCTGTTGTGGTAGGCCACGTCGGCGTGGTAGTGACCCTCCAGCGTCAGCAGGTAGGTGGCCAGGGTGTCAGCCGGGATCTGGAAGGTCTTGAGCAGGTCCCGTTCCTGGTCCATCACAGGCCGGTCAGGGCCGCAGGCACAGCCCCTGCTCCTCCTCGGACCCCGCCCAACCTCACATGTGCCCCCGTCCTCCCCTGAATCCCTGCCCTCTCTGTCCTTGTCCCCTGCGTCACATCCCCACGGAACTGCTGGTGTCTGTGTCCAGATGCCCTCTCCTGATGGAGTCCCTTCAGGCCCAGGCCCAGGCCCGGAGCTGGGCTTGTTGAGGATAAATCGTTGGCCCAGTGAACTCCTACTGGTCCCTCAATACTCTGCTCACATTGTCCCATTCAGGGGGGTCAGATTGGAAGAGATGAGTGTCCCGGCGACGTGGGGCAGGATCAGGGGAAGGAAACCCGAGGGCCTGGGGGGCAAAGGCAGGACAGTACCTGAAAGATGCTGAATATGACGGCTGTCAGCGGCCTGTTCCCGCTCAGCTCCGCCACCTTGAACACATCGAGGCCCCACCTGTTGGTGTCTTCCAGCTCCTAAGATGTGAGGGACCCAGCTGACCCCTCTGGCTCACCAGGCGTGGCGCCCACCCCCAGGGGCACACTGGGCTCACCGCCCGGCACAGGCCCGGGAGGGAGCACCCGCACGGAGCCAGGGCTCAAGCCTGGGCCTCCACCTCGCGGCCGGGGACCCACCTTGGCCAGCTGCCCCTCCTCGTCGGTCTGGACCCCAAAGCGTGGGACAGTGGCTGCAGAGAGGCTGGCGCTGTGGGGGAGCCCACGGAGGCCACTGATCTCGGACATGGGCCTCTGGGATTCCTCGGGGGCCGCCCTGGGCAGCTCGACCTCCGTCTGCTGGTCTGTAGGGGCAGAAACCGGGTCACCAGCTGGGACTGTCCCGTCTGGCCTCCGGCTCTGCAGCGAGCCAAGCCCTGGGTCCCCCTCGTCATTTTTTTTTTAATATTATTTTTTAGTTCTCGGCGGACACAACGTCTTTGTTTGTATGTGGTGCTGAGGATCGAACCCGGGCCGCATGCATGCCAGGCGAGCGCGCTACCGCTTGAGCCACATCCCCAGCCCTCCCCTGGTCATTTTTATCTGGACCACAATAAGCTAGAGGAGTAGGGTCCCGTCCAGCCCTTAGCCGCCTTCTCTGCCAGGGCGCGTCTCAGTGAGCTCCGGGCTGGCCTGGTTCCTGAGCACCTGGGCTCACGTTTCCCAAACACACCAGTGTCCTTTACATGTCCCAACCTGCAGCTCCAAGTGTTGGGCTCCCTCCCGCTCCTCCTTGGCAAACTCCTACTGATGCTTTAAAACCCCAGCTGCAGTGCCCTTTCCTTCTGGAAGTCCCCCGGTGCAGCCTTAGTCCCATGGGGCCACCTGGCGGTCCCCTGCATGTTGGGGTTGGTGACAGCAGCCTGTCTTCCCCCTCCTTCTTACGACCTCTCCAACCCTGCGCGGGCAGTGACCTCGCAGCTCACCCAGGAAGGTTCTGGAGATGTACTCGGACACCTGGTTCCCAGAGCGGCTGGATTCGGACAGGTGGGTGAGCTCCCGGTTCAGCATCCGCTTGAACTGTGAGCGGGGGCAGGATGTGAGGAGGGCCCGTGGGCGGGGCTGCAGTCACGCTCTGGCTCGGGTGGCCCTCTCACCTTGTTGGAGGCCATCTCCCCGACCGAGTGCCGCGTCTGCAGCGTCTCTAGCTGATCCAGACACCAGTCCAGCTCCTCCAGGGTCTCCAGGGCCAGCTTCTGCCCAGAGTCTTCTGAGGGCCAAGTTGGTCAGGGACCTGTCCCACCCCTACTAGGGGACCCAGTGCCCTTTATGCCTCCATCTCTGCTCTGGACCCTGGAACCCTTCCCACTGGGGATGCTCAGGACCCCAGTTCCAGATCTATCTGTAAGTGGCTGTGTGACCACGGGTAGGTCTCTTGCCCTCTCTGGGCCTTAGCCTCCCCATCTGTAATATGGGAATGGTGGACTCCATTTGCCAAGAAGTTTCTTTGCAGGAGGGGGAGGGTTGTCAGGGTTACACCAGCCACAGTGCAAGAGCTAGTGGGCTGGGGAGGTCACTGCAGAGAGGAAGTGACAGCTGTCTCTCAGTGGGGGAGGGGTGGGAACAGGCATTACCTGCAGGTGGAGGGGGCTGACTGCTGGGTGGAGGGTTCCCGACAGATGCCTGCCTGAGGTTACAGTGGGCTCAGGGGTAGCCCCCACCTGGCCCCGCCCCCACGCCCTCCAGGCCCCGCCCCTCAACCCCACCTGAAGGTGCCTGAGCCCCAGCCCCTACTTGTCTCCCCTTTTTAAAATCTCTTGCTTTCTTGCGGGGCTGGGGGTTGAACCCAGGCCCTAGCGCATGCCAGGCAAGAGCTGTCCCACTGAGCTACAGGTCCAGCCACCTGTCGCCTGCTTTTCTGCCTCCGCCCTCCCACCTGCCCCACCCCTGCGTACTTGACTGCACCGTGGACTTGGCCTTGGGCAAGGGCTGCCACGTTGCTCCGAACTGTCTTCAGACTGGCGAGGACCTGTCGGGTGACAGGTGGTCAGAGGTCGCCGGGAGCTGAAGCCTGAACGTGGTGGGGGTGCGGGAGGAACCCACCTGGGCAAAGGGCGTCACTATCATGTCTTCTCCATGTCTGCGGGGGATGGGGGGACGGGCCATCAGGAGACCGTCTTCAGCCTGAGCGCACCTCCCCTGGAGACTCCTCCCGACCTCATCTGGCCCCGGGCCTCCTCCCCCACTCTCCCTGGGAACCCCGCAGCCCTCCCGCCAGCGCCTCGCTTTATCCGCTTTTCCCCAGTGGGGAAACCGAGTCCCGGGGGCAGTGGGGATCTTAGTAGAGTCTGGACAGAAACGGTCGTATTTCTCTTTTCATTACCGGTACCAGGAAGCTCAAATCAAAGTATTTGTTCACTTGCTGATAATTGGCCTTAATGTGTCCAGAATGCCACCCCCGCCCCCAACCCCAGGAGCACACAGATCACCTGAGATCCTCTGCCGCACACTCCACTGAATAAGGTAACGGCCTGGCGAACTCCTACTTAAACTCCAAAATCTAGCTCAAATGGCTCCCAGAAGGAGCTGGCTGGGTGGAGAAGAGGAAGGGTGGGAGCGGTCACCCCAGCAGCCCTGACTCACAGGTCGCTGGCCACGGAGGAGTTCCGGGACAAGGCCTTAGGTGACAGTTCATAGTCGCTGTCCGAGCGGTACAGGAAAGACTCTCGCCGCTGGCTGTGGGGGGCCGGGGCCTGAGCCCCACGTCCAAGGCCAGCCCCGGACTGAGGGTCCAGGACAGTCCTTCCACGCGACAGCCCATTTTCCAGGTCAAAGCTGAAGGCAGAGGAGGTAATGGTCAGAGCACAGGACCCTGGCAGCTGGGTGCCTGGTGGCGGTGGGCGCCTCCCTGGGTGGCACTGTGGCCACCTTCCCCCCGGCCCCGCAGGGACCGGGTAACCCTCACACCTGCTCTGCGTGTCCACCCGGACTCTTCCCACTTGGGCCTGGACTCCAGGTCCTGGGTTCCAACATTCCTCAAAGTGGCCGTGTGACCCTGGGCAGGTGTTTTCCCTAGACCTAGCCACCCTGTCCCTAATATGGGCGTGTTAAACTCGGTCCCCAAGGGCTCTAGGGGGTCACATCTGAGCGCCCTAGAACAGTGACTGGGCATCTGTATAGCAAAGATGCAACTAAGGGTAGGTCCCAGGGTAAGTCCACCTGGAGTGAAAATGGCCCTGGGCTCTTCCACCTGGAAGGGTCAGATCCGCCTACATAGCACACTCCCCAGGGCTCCTCATACCAGAGTCCCCACCCAGAGCAGCCTTGAGCACACCCTTAGGCCACCCAACGACTGTCCAGGCTCCACCCTCATCCCTCACGGCCCCGCCCCCTGGCCGTCGACCACGCCCCATCTTCAGTTTGCACTCATCCTGTTCCTTACAGCCCCCGGACCTTCGCACAAGCTGCTACCTCTACCCTGAGCACCGTCATCCCCAACACCCCCTGCTCCATTCAAACTCCAGGTCTTTGTTTTCCCCCACCACACCTCCCTGGGCAGAGGGATCTATGCCCTTCCTCTTGGGATCAGAGGTCCGAGAAAGTGCTGAGATGTAGGCGACCTTGGGGGTCAAGGGCTTTTGAGAAGATGAGGACCTGACAGCTGAGAGGAGGAGAAATCGGCACCGCCCAGATTCCGAGCTCCTACCCAAGGGCCTGAATCCACCTGGTCCCTCACTGTGACTCTACCCTGGTCGCAGGGCCAGACCGACACCCATCAGGAGGCTCTGGGCAGGGGGCAGCAACGTTTGGCTCAGATAGTGGGGGCGTGGGGGATTCTGCACGATTCGGTTCTGCTGGGCCAGATTCGGTCGTGTCTGGTTGGCTCCGATCACACAGGGTTGGACCTCTTCACAGGGAGTTGGGTGGAATGATTTCGATCAGCTTCGGATACTTCCGGCAATCCTGGCAGGTTCGAATGAGTTCGTGTTTCTTCGGCGAAGTCCGGACACGCTCGGCTGCTTCGAGTAAGTCCGGGTAGCGCTCGGGCCAGGTCGGGAACATTCGGCTCAGTCCAGTCGCACTCGGGGAATTTCGGCTGCCCTCGGCTTTTTCCGCCAGATTCCTTCGGGTTCCTGCGCTCCGACAGGTCCCCCAGGGCTGGGGAGACCAGAGTCTCTCCGTGACGTCACGTAGGGGGTGGCTTGTAACCCCTCCGAGCCCTTGGCACCCGCGCGTGGTGGCGGGCTGGGAGACGCTGCTGGCTGGCGGCGGATACCCCAACTTGTCCTCCGAGCGGGGAGACCTGCAGATGGCGACCCCCCTGTCCCTCTTTCACCGATCCCCAAAGGTTATGGGAAAGCGTGCCTGGGGACAAATAGAGAAACTGAGGCAGGGAACAGCTGTAGGGTGCTGTGTTCGTGTCCGAATCCCGGACGCCGAGGGTTAAGGGCAGCGCCTGGTCTTTCCTGGGGCGGGGGGTGGCTGTTTTTCTTTCTGCTCTAAACTTAGCCGGGGGCGGCGGGGTCAGGCGGTGGTTCCATGACGCGGGAGGTGCGGGGTGAGGTCGCTCTGGCTCTGGGAACTGCGCGGCTGCCCATTGGTCAGATCGGTAAACCGAGGCCTGGGGACTCAGGGCTCCTGGACCTCGGAGGTTTGGGGGCAGCCTAGACGCCCGGGTCCTGCTTCAGCCTCACTTTACCCCCCGGGGGTACCCCGGGTGCCCGCTCTGAGCCCTCGGAAGGTACCGCTCTTCATTGGTGCCTGGTATCCTGATGTCGCTCTCTGGGACCCGGGACCCCATGTCCAGTCTGAAATGGCACCATCAGGGATCACAATCACACCTCCCTCTGCCCAGCTTGTCACTCTCTGGCGATGTGACCTTGAAGGAGACCTCCTGTCTCCGAGCCTCTGGGTGCCAGATTGCCAAGTGGATATGAATTGGGTGCGAAAGGAACGCAGGGTGCCAGCCACACTCGGCGCCCACAAGACCCAGCCTCGACCCACTGGCCCACGAGGTGACATTTGCTTGGCGAAGAGCGGGATTTGAACCCAGAGCCGTGGACCTCCTCAGAGCTGCAGCTGAACCGGGCTGCAGGGAACCGGGCTGGGAGCGGACGCGGTCCACTCTCAGCCTGGGAAAGGGACACTCGCCCTCCTTCTCCTTATGTCCCGAACATCCTGCCCGCATCAAATCGAGTCTTGCTCGGTGGACACCCCGGGTTCATTGTGCGGCCCCCAGATCATCTTGTTGCTGGCGCTGGGATGGCCGCGGGGGTGGGGAGGCCAAGGACGCAGCCTTCCTCTCCTCCCTCCCCAGGGCGCTCAACCCTCCGGTCCCAGGCCAGCGAGGGTCAGGAGAGCCGTGAGCCTCCGCCCGTCCTGCTCTGGGCCACACAGCTGGGAAGGGACAGTCGGCCGGTCCCCTGGGCGCGTGTCTAGGCGGTGGGTGGAGGGGGGAGACAGAGATGGGGAGGGAGGGGGGGGGAGAGAGTCACAAACTGACGGAGAGCGAGGGCCGGGGGACAGAGACGCTGCCCTTGGATCTGCCCTTCAGGCCTCCGCCCCGCCGCCCGGTGACCCCCCAGCCCCCGTCCCGCCTCACCACAGGGGATGGGCCACCGTGAAGCGCCGCTGCAGGCGGATGCTCTGGTTCACCAGGAGCTTCCTGAAGAGCCCGGGGGAGCCTCGCGGGGAGCCCCGAGGGGAGCCGGGCCCAGGGGCCGGGGCTGGCGCAGGGGGACCCTGCATGGCCAGGACCGCGTGGAGGCTGGAGCGAGCGGTCGCCGCTCGGGACCTTTTCTGGACAGCCCCGGGGGCGGGGCCCAGCGGGGAGGGAGAGAGGGCGCAGCCACCCCGCCCAGTGGCTGAACCGCTCGCTGGTGACCCATGGGACAAACGGAGAAACTGAGGCACGGAGTCCGATAAGACTCTGCTCCCCTGCTTAGGAGGTGGCCCCTTGGGGACAGAGCCTGGTCTTACGCCACTTCCTTCTGCACGTCCCCCCTGCTGCGGCTGGCGCGCGCTAACCGCGGGGTGTAAGATGAGGAAGTGAGAAAGGGATGTCACAGATGCCGGGGCCCTGCTCGCCATCAGGAGGAAGGTCACTGAGGCTGGGAGTTCAACAGGGGCTGGGCAGAGCCACTGGCCTGTCCAGCCTCCCCCGTCCATTTCCCTGATGGAAAGGGCTCCCAAAGGCTGCTGGAAATACAACCCTCCATCCTGGGGCGCATGGGGAAACCGAGACTGGAGAGAGGTGGCAGGGCACAGCCTCCCCTGCAGGGCCAGCTCCGCTCCCCCGCACCCCCCAAGTCCCCGCATGACCCCTGCCTGCTCTGACATTCTCCAGGCCCCTTCTCTGGATGCCTCCTTCTCCCCAGGACAAACATCCGCAGTCCACCTCCCGCCAAGCCTTCCGCCCCGTGACGCTTCAGCTCCTGTCCCCATCCCAACTGCAGAAGGACCCCACTAGCATGAGAGGGTGGGGCCTGGTGTCTGGGGCGATCCAAGCATCTGTGCTGGGTGTTCTGCCCTGGGGACATTGGGGCCAGACTGGTCCCGTTCCATGCTACACAAGAGGAAACTGAGTCTCCACGGGTGTCACAGGCATGGGAGAGACAAGGAACAGCCACGTGGCAGGCAGACACCAAGGTGACCTTCCAGCTGAGGCCACACAGAAGGCCGTGGGCCTCACGGAGCCCCTTGCTGAGGGAGGAACCCCAACCCCTCAGGCTAGGCCCGGCCCTGGCTGTCCCCAGTGAAATGGCAGCCTCGGTCCTCGCATCAGAGACCCGATTCCATCAATCACCGGGAGAGGCCGAGGAGACCACGCCACACTGGGAATGTTATTCTCCCCATTGCACAGATGAGAAGACGGGGGCCAGCAGCCCTGGGGGATGGAGAGTCGCAGGGGTTTGGCCAGAAACCCCCTTCAGGCCACCAAGCCCTGAAACCAGACACCTGGCAGAAACCAACCTCACTGACCCCAAGACAAAAATACCATCTGTACCGCTGGGTCGGACCTAATTATAGCCAGTCCCCAGGGGACAGAGGCCGCCAGGCTCCGACTGGTAGAGATGCTGGGTCAGGGGCCAGGGGCCTTGACACAACCCTAGCCTGTGGAAGGGGCTCACAGGGCTTCCACATCCCCAAGGAGAAACTGAGGCTCAGAGTGACTCAGTCCCTTCCCTGAAATCACACACAAGTGGTAGATTAAGACTCATTGTAATCTGACAGCCGGGCGAGGTGGCACCAGCCTATAATCCCAGCGGTTTGGGAGGTTGAGACAGGAGGATCGCAAGTTCAAGCCCAGCTTCAGCAACTTAGCGACTCCTAAGCAACTCAGCCGGTGACTGAGTGGTTACGTGCCCCTGAGTTCAATCCCCGGTATCAATCAATCAGTCAATCAATCAAGAGTGAATATAATCATTGCGTTTCTGATGTACCCAGCACAGAGCCAAGAGCTGTGAGGCCCAGAGAGGTGTGGTCTCAGGCCTGAAGTCACACAGCCAGAAGCAGCAGGGAGAGGTTATTTGAGCCAAGCCACTGGGCTCCCCAACCTCTCCCCTCTCCCACTTAATTTGTTAATTGGCTTTATCCTCTCCACAGTCCCATAGGCTTCCCTGTCATTAATATTTTATCAATAGTTGTAATGTTAATGTTTTATTAATAGATTTGATAAATATTTCATTAACAGATTGACTCATGTGTGATTAATAGCCTTTAACATAGAGAAACTGGCTAGTGCTGTGGCCACACCTGTAATCCCAGCTATTCAGGAGGCTGAGGCAGGAGGATTGCAAGTTTGAGGCCAGCCTCAGCAACTTAGACCCTGTCTCAAAAATTTTAAAAAGGGGGCCATGGGGACTGTAGCTAGGTGGTAAAGCACTGGCCTCGCACGAGGGAGGCTCTGAGTTCTATCCCCGGCAAGGGGGGGGGCAGAGGGGAGGAGGGAGACAGCCACAGGGTGGTCTCTTCCACAGCACATAAACTAAAATTGGGATGACAGCCCCCAAGGGGGCCTGGCCCACCTGAGGTTGGATGGCACCCAACCTTGCTGGGTAGGTGGCCAAAGCTGCTGGGTGGATAGGAGGCCCCCAGCCTGACTCTGTTCCTGTGCCGTCCACTGAGGAGGTGCCCAATGGTGTCTCGTGCCCTTAACACATCACTACCTCCATTTCTCCCATTTGAGCACTTTTCTCCTCGGCTACCAGGTGGCCCCAGAGAGAAGGGGCACTGAGGTTGGGGGAGGAGAGGTGACTGCCCAGCTCCCTGTGGAGGGTTCAGGCAGTTCCAGGAGGTGGAGGCCGGTCAGTGGGCAGATCAGCCCCTTCCCTGCTCTGGATGCTTCCGTGGCTCCCTGTCACCCTCAGATTTGATTCCACGCCTCCCCAGAGGCCCCGTGTAACCCCCTCCGCTTAGCTCCTTTCTGCCCTGCTTCCCCGGCCCCCGCTGCCCCTCGCCCCCCAGCCTCATTCCTACCCTATGACCCTTCAGCTGTCCACAGCTGGGACACCATCGGCTCCAGGAAGCCCCTCCCGGCCAGCCAGAGATGTCTGTCGGCACGCCTTCCTGTTCCTGTCTCGGGACGATCTCACATTTCTGGCTGTGATTATTTGATCTGTGTTTGTCCCCTTGCCCAGCCTGTGACTCCCTTGAGGGCAGGAATCGGTCTGCCTTGTTCTCAGCTCAGTCCTCAGCACCTGGCATTCAGTAGGTGCTCAATAAATGCTTGTCACAAAAACATAAAGCCTCCCCTCCACAGTTGTCTGTTTTCAGCTCCTTGTACACACGATCCTCTTGAGTCTGAGGCTTTGCACATTCTGCTCCTTCTGCTTGGCACACCCTTCCCTGCACTCACCTAGTTGACCTCTTTCATGCTTTGGGTTAAGCTTAGATGCTGCTGCTTCCAAATAATCCTCCCTGACTCCCCCTCCTGCAGGCTGGGGTCACACACAAGTCTACTTCTGGTGTCGTGAGTGATCTCGCCGGATCACAGCACAAATCACCCAGTGAGGGCTGGCACACAGTAGGTGCTTAATAAATGCTTTTCACGAAAGATGTTCGGACCTTCCAGACCCTTGTGATTCAGCAGGAGCTGAAGGAAGGCACAGCTGGGAGCAACTTCGGCCTAGGCCCTGGGCAGAGTGTTCACCTCACAAGGCGGAGGCCAGTGCAGACCACCACTTGCTCAGGGGCACCTAGCAGTCGGCCTTGGGCCTGGCCTTGAACTTGATTTCCCTGGGCCTCCCTCAGGTCAACACTTTTATGTACTGACAGGCCACACAGGGGCATGTAGGCACGCCACATCCGCAGGACCGCAGAGCCAGGATTGTAGCACAAGGCGGGTGTGTACACACACACTCACACGCTGACACGCTCACACGCTCACACACACACTCACACACCCCACACATTGACACTCACACACCCACTCACCCCCCCACCCCCCACACACCCTCACACACATTCACACACGCGCACTCACACAGCCCCCTCACACTCACCCCCACACACTCACACACATTCACACTCACCTACCCACAACACACCCCCACACACACATTAACACTCACACACACACTCACCCCCTCCACACAGTCACACACACATGCACACACCCACATGCACTCACACTCACACACTCACGCGCACACACAGACTTTCACACACCCACACACACTCACACACACACACACTCACACACTCACACACACACGCTCACACACACGCTCACACACACTCACACACACACACTCACACGCTCTCTCTCCCAGAGCCATACAATCCGCCATTCAGATCTTCAGAGCCACGTGGGGTCTCCCCCTAGACAGGCTGTTTGTTCTTTCTTGAAAATGGAAAATCATGAGTCACAGGAAGGGTGGGGAGGGAGGAGCCGGGGGCTGGGGAGGGGGCAGGGCCTCGCGGTCACCTGGAAACAGCTCTGGGCCCTGGGACCCATCTGGCCCAGATGCTTCCCAGGGTCCTTGGAGGGTCAGGCTGGAGGCCTGATTGATTAAGAAACCCATGGCCCCAGGTAGCCAATGGATGGCACAAAACCAAGCTCAGAGAAGAGAGTGAGCCACTCAAGTTCACAGCGAGGACTTGAACCTGGAAACCTGGTCTGGCCTGGTTTGGCTCCTCCAGGAATCCAAAGAAGCCGGAGGATCTGGGCCCTCTTCCTGGGCCTTACAGCCCCCCCCCCCAGCGGGTGGACGCCCCCACACCTACCCCGGGGGGTTCTCACCCCTCCCTGTCTTCCTTCCCTTCTTCTCCACCCCGCCTGCCTGCCGTCCCCAGCACCAGATCCTGGAGCAGGAGCCGGCCCTCCCTTCTTAGGTGGAAGAAACGTCCAGTGCTCTGCTCCCCAGGGGCTTCCCTCCTGCTGCAGGAGGGCAGGGCGGAGGCCACAGGGGCCACAGAGCTGCGCCCTGCCCAGCACGGCCCACCCTGGCCTCCCACACTCGTTGGAGCACCTAGGGCCGTCTTAGATGCTCACAGTGGCCACATTCCCCCCCTGCAGACACCTGCAGATATCCCAGGGCCTAAGGAGCACTGGGACGCCCAACTAGAGCACAGCAAGGACTGCCACCCACCCAGACACCCCAGAGGGCAACTCCGGCACCTATCCAAGTTCACAACGGCTGGTGGCCCCCGGACTCTCCCCCAAAGGCACAACCCAAACACATGGGGGTCACCCAAGGTGGCACGGGTGACTGTGGACTCACACAGCAGGTCTCACCGGACACGAGGGTCACAACTGCTGCGACTCTGCACACCTACATGCCCGGGCACACTGGGACCCAGCCCCACCTGGGCGCAGGGTGTCCCACAAACCCGCTGGAAATCCCGGCCCGCGCGCCCAGCCTCAGTTCCACTTCGTGCAGGACAGTTCTGTCCCCGGAGCGCCGCCTCCCGCCACCCGCAGCGAGACCCCCCCGCCCCAGGAGCAGGACCCTCCCCCACTCCCACCAGGCCCCGCGCGCCGCGCCCCGCCACCTACCGCGGGTGCGGGGAGGTGGGCCAGGAGCGCCGCGTCCTCCCGAGCCCGGGCCGCCGGTTCCGGTCCGGCTCGAGGCGGCCCGCGGGCTTGTCCGGGTCCGAAAGGAAGCGCAGCTGGATGCGGATCGGGCGCCGCGGCTGCCGCCACAGGTGCTTCGGGGGCCTGGGTGCGCCCGGGCGGCTGCGAGCGCGGCTCGGCCCGCCGCACGCCTCGGCCCCGTCGCAGACCCCCGGGGTCTCCATGCGCCCGGGAGGGACGCGAGGAGGGCAGGGCGCGGGAGCTGTCCCCGCGAGCAGGCGCCCAGGAGGTCCGCGCCTGGGTCCCGCCAGGGCCAGGGGTGGAGGCGACAGCGAGGAGCTGTCCGCGCCGGGGGTGCTGAGGCAGGAGAAGGTGGAGGCAGGGGCTCGAGGTGGGGTGGGTCAGCGCGGAGAAGCTGCCGGTGTCCAGACCCTACTGAAAGGGACAGGGCGAGAAGACCGCAGGGTGAGGGGGTTGGCGATGGGGGCTGGGGGACCTCGGGCGCCAAAATCGGTCTGTGTCCCCTCTAAGGTTGGATGGAAGAGCCGAGACAGGACTTAGAGTGGAGGGACGGAAATCGTCCTCCTGGAGGACGTGGAATGGAGGCCGGGAGGCAGGGGCTCCGGACACCCCCAGCGCCAACGCGCTGTCCCTTCCCCAGGGCTCCGGGAGGATGAGGCAGCGAGGAGCTGCCCAGGGCCCCAAGACAGGATTCCGAGCACCCCAGGACAGGAGCTGAGCTTGGCGGGTCCTCAACCCTCCCGGGCGACAGCGGCAACGCCAAGTAGAAGCAGTCAAGGGTCTGGCCCGCGGGGGACGTCCAGATGGCGGTCTTCGTGCCAAGCTCAGCGAGGTAGGCTGAGGCGCCCGGCTGCTGCGGAGCCTTAAGCCCGCGCCCACGCAGGGCAGGGATCCCAGGGGACAGGGAAGTCGGGAGGGCTGTGGCAGGGCTCTTCGGTGCCTGGAGTGGACCCGCGGAAGCTGCCTCTGTCTGGGAATTCAAGGAGCCACCCGCGGGGATGGCAGAGAAGGGAGTGGGTTCTCTCCACACCCACCCTGGGGATGCCTCTGAGACCCCGTACTCCAGGGCCCCTAGGAGCTAGGACCCGAGAGCAAGCAGGAGACCCACCTTCCCGCGGGGGCCCAGGCAGGCAGCAGGAGCACTCTGAGACCCCCAGGCTTTTATAGCCCTCAGACCCTCAGAGGAATCAGCGGGATCCCATTGGCCGCGAGTCGCCACCCCAGGGCCCACCTCACAGCTATGATTCCTGCCCCCAGATCGCAGCCTGCCCCTCCCGCACAGTTCTAGAAACTCAAGTGTCCACCCACCAGGCAGCTGAGTCTCAGGGGTAATTCCCGGGAAGTGGCAGGGAGGAAGGAGAACATTTCCATCATGGTTAACCAGAGTAGATTTGCACAAGAGCAGGGCTGGGCCATGGTGCGGGAGGAAGGAGGTGGGACTCTGTAGTCCTGTTCTCAAAGCCTGGGGAGGTTCCCTGTGGGCTCCCTTAGGGCAGGAAGGCACTGGGAGCTGCTAGTGATTTGGGGGACAGGATGAGCCCCGACATTTCCAGAGGCTCAGAAGCTTTTGAGGGGGATATTTCCAGTCAGGTGCTGTGGCACACGCCTGTAATCCCAGTGACTCGGGAGGCTGAGGCAGGAGGATAGCAAGTTTGAGGCCAGCCTTAGCAACTCAGCGAGACTCTGTCTCTAAATAAGAGCTAAAAAAGGCTAGGGAAGTGGCTCAGTGGTAAAGTGCCCCTGGGTTCAATACCCAGTATGAGAGAGAGACAGAGAGAGAGAGAGAGATATGCCCCATGGAGGCTGTCTCCCTCCCCCCATGTCTCCAGGTGGGAGAAATGGAATGTGTCTGGACAAGGGACTTAGAAAAATTGAGCTGAGGCCCCAGGACCCCCCCCCCCATCTTGCTGTGAGATGCATAATGAGGGACACCCTCTCTGTTCTCTCCTTGGTTGACTCTCTGTCTTCTGTCTCCCAGAGCTGACAGTGAGCCACCTGTGTCCCATGCCACTGACTGGCTCTGTCACTTCTACTCACAAAGCCTCTTTTTGATTGTGGACGATGGAAATGAGGATGGCATCTCGGATTCAAAGCGAAATCACACACCAAGGACCAGAGTCACGCACACCAGTCCCTGGCCCCATCTCTGCTAGTGTCCGCCAGTGAATCTGGTAAATATCCGCCAGGCCAGCCCACTTGCCCCTGGCCCAGGGCTCCTGCCAGGACCTTACCCAAGCCTCCTCCTGGGTCTCTTCCTGCTTCCTGCTTCCCCCCTGGCTCTGACAGTCAGTTCTCTCCCGTGGCAGCCACAGGGAATTTAAAAAATTCCACTATGACCAATTCCCTGTCCTACAGGACACCCGTGGCTCCCCGTGTGCCCTGTGAGGTCCTGAGTGGCCATCCTCAGCCCCCTCCCTGAGCTCCCTGCCCACTCTCCTGCCATGTTGGTCTGTTTTCAGCTTCTCACCACCTGATTTTCTTGAGTCTGAGGCTTTGCACATTCTGTTCCTCTGGCTTGGCTCACTCTTCCCTGGTTGACCTCTTTGATGCTTCAGGCTAAGCTCAGATGCTGGTCCTACCAATGCGTCCTCCCAAAGCTGCCGGGTCAGAGGCCTCCGTGGATCTGAGCAGAGATCACCCTGCACTGTCTACACCGAGTAGGACTCTGTTCTCGCACCAGCCTGTGAGCGCCTCTGTGTGCCCAGTATAGAGCCTGGCACATAGTAGGTGCTTACTTTGTAACTGCTTTTTGAATACGGTAAAGAGAAGTCCCACTATGTGCTCTCCCTTTCCTGGGACGGACCCTCTTGACCCCCCTCTTCCTTCTCACCTGCCTGGGGACAAGCCATGGATTTTGTCCACCCCTTGAGCGTCAATGGTGAACACCACGCAGGCACTGGACTCGACCTCTCCGGGGCACCCGAGGCGGCTTGACAGTGGTGGCAGCAATGGCGTCCCTGAGAAACGTCTCCGAATGACTCCACAGGGGCCCATGGGGGCCAAGCCAAAGTCTGCTGACTCCCGGACCCGCTGGGGAGACAGACACCGGCAATATATGAGCAAGTTCCTGGACAGGGGTTCTCACTAGGACCTAGGGGACAGAGGGGCTCTGCCGTGTCCTCACCCTGGTACCTGAACTCGTCCAGAGAACTCTATTTCAGTTCTACTTCTACCCTGAGTGAATTTGCCTCTCTGAGCTTCAGTTTCTGCATCTGTGGAATGGAGATGTGGATCTCAACCGTGGGGATGCTTGTTTGTTTTGGGGTGCTAGGGAGGGAACACAGGGGTTTGCATGTGCTAAGCAAGAACTCTACCACTGAGCTGCACACCCAGCCCAGCCTTGGGGGAATGCAATAGTTCCTGACCCCCAGTAAGATTTGCAGAAATAAGCCAGGCTCGGTGGCACACGCTTGTAGTCCCAGTGGCTTGGGAGGCTGAGGCGCGAGGATTTCAAGTTCAAAGCCAGCCTCAGCATTTTTGAGGCCCTAAGTGAGACCTTGTCTCAAAATAAAAAAAATAAAAAGGGCTGGGGATATGGCTCCGTGGTTAAAAACGCCCCTAGGTTCAATCCCCAGTATTTTTTTAAATAATTCCTCTTAAAAATGAGGGTACTGGGGTTCAGAGACGAAGGAGCTCAAGCTTGCGCTGGTAAAACTGGGGCAATTCTGGGTGCTGAGCTTCAGCGCCTCATTTCTCAAGGGACTGAATTGGAGAGTTTAAGAAACATGTGCGAGCAGCTGGGGGAATGCGGGACACTTTGTAAAAGCTCAGAGAATCAGGCTGAAGGGACAAGTTGGGGGTGAGCCCCCCAGCATGATGGGCCTGCGTTCAGTCCACGCCACATGGTCTAAGGGTGGCCTCAATGTCCCCATCTATAAAATGGAAATGAAAACTAACAAGTGGGGCACGGTGGCCCAGCCAGGCCTGTAGTTCCAGCGACTCAGGAGGCTGAGGCCGGAGGGTCACTTGAGCCCAGGAGGAAGGAAGAATCAGTTTTTGCTTTTGGTTTTTTGTTTGTCTGTTTCTGTACCAGAAATTGAACCCAGAGGGCTTAACCACTGACCAACCCCAGCCGTATTAAGATATTTTATTTAGAGACAGGGTCTCACTGAGTTGCTTAGCACCTTGTTTCGCGGAGGCTGGCTTTTAGCTTGCGATCCTCCTGCCTCAGCCTCCTGAGCTGCTGGGATGACAGGTGTGTGCCACCGCGCCTGGAGGAAGGATCCCTTAGGGTGGCTGGTAGTGATGGGGTCACCCTCAGCAGGCAACATGGGGATCTGTCCACGGTGCTGACCGCAGGGTGGTGCATAAAACCGGAATCCGTGGCCTTAAGATGGGGTGTGGTGGGGACCAGAGGAGACAATTTGACCGGTGGCCCAACCTGTCACTGCCCTGCTCCTGAGTCCCACAATGCGTCCATCTCCACCCTCAGACTGAACATTCAGAGGGGGAAACTGAGGTCCCCACCATGCTTGGAGGTCCCAAGCTGGAGCCAGGGAAGGCGGGAGGAGGAGGTGGAGGAGGGACATTGGTGGGTTCTCCGCTGTGCGCCCGGCCTGCGCCTGCAGGTCTTCTTACTGCCATGTCCTGGCGCAGAGGCTAAAACTCAGACAGGAAATGACCTATGGCATTGGAGGGGGGGGTCCCATAGCTTGGGGCTGAGGGTCACTTAACTCTTTGCAAGATCCAGTCCTTCTAGGACCCAGAACACTTGACAGTCGTCCCCATTTGAGCATAAGTGTCCCCACCCTCTCCCAGGGCGCCTGAATTCTCACGCGGAATCCCAACTCCTCAGCTGAGGCCTCCCCTGGGGGTCAGGAGAAGCAGAGGCCGTGCGTGGGGACAGAGTCCCCCGGAGCAGAGGCCAGCTAAGACGGCACCTGACCATTTTCTACTTGGGGGGACAATTCCAGGTGGGAGAGGCCCCCCCCACATTTGCTCAGTTATTCAACAACTGAAAAGAGAGCTCGGGGAGTTCTAGAGAGAGGAAATGTTGTGGAAGGGCCTGGGGAGATTGGGCAGGTGATATGTTCCCAGGGGCTGTTGGAGACTTTGTCCCAGGTTGACCTCAGAGGCACTGGACCATGAGCCACATCCCCCGCTCTTTTTATTTTTTACTTTGAGACAGGGTCTTGCTAAGTTGCCCTGGCTGACTTTGAATTCGTGATCCTCTTGCCTCAGGCTCCTGAGTGGCTGGGATTACGGGCCTGTGCCACTGTGCCCAGCTGTTAGGGACCTTTCTGAGGAGGTCCCTTTGAACTGAGACCTGGAAGAGAAGGAACTGGCCAGGAAAGAGCTAGGGGAGTAGCAGGCCTGGCCGAAGGAACAGCATGTGCAAAGGCCCTGCGGAGAGCAAGTTGGTGGTTCCGGAACAGAGAGGAGGCTGCTTCGAAGGCAGGAGGTGGCCACGGGCAGGATCTGGCCATGCAGGCCTCGGCGGGCAAGGAGCTGGTGTTGGATTCTGAGACAGTGAGCTCTCGGGGGATGTAACCTGCTTCGGGGGCGGGGACCATCAGGGTTGGGCAAAGGCTGGGACAGTGTCTGTGGGGTGCGTGGACCAAAGTAAGGCTCATGCATGGATTGGGGGGTTTTTCGGTGCTGGGGCTGGAAGCCAGGTGCTCTGGTGAAGCGCTGCTCCCCAGCCCCGGGGCATGTGTCGGAGGCTGAGAGAGACAGACCGTGGCCCTGGGGTGCCCAGGAGGGGGGTTCAAGGGTAGCTAAAGGGGATTATGATTGACAAGTCATTTCCCAGTGTCACAGGCCCCTGGGTGGGGGCATCTTTCCCTGGCGGGGTTAGGGTGGTGGAGGAGGGAGACACTGAGCCCCGGGGTTGCTCCAATTTAGTTTGAGGGTCATGTGACTTGTAGGGGGAGCCTGTAGCAGCAGCTGGGTGTTTGAGTCTGGGGTTACTATTAAATCTGGCTCGTGCTGGGGGAGGCAGACAAGCAGGTGCCCGGGAAGAAATCAACTGCGTCTGTTAACGGGTCAGGAGGAGGTTCTTTTCTTTCTTTCTTTCTTTCTTTCTCTCTGTCTCTTTTTTTTTTTGGTTACTGGGGGTTGAACCAGGGGCACCTACCACTGAGCTATATCCCAGACCTTTTTATTTGTGAGACAGGGTCTCACTAAATTACCGGGACTGGCCTCAAACTGGTGATCCTCCTGCCTTGCCTTCTGAGTAGCTGGGATTACCTTTATCTGTCCCTAAGCCACCCCTAGAACAAAATCCACACCCCTCAGGTCAGCCCCCAAGACTTAGGGTGTCTGGGGACCTTCCCACTGCCAGCTCTCACCCCCACCATATCCCTAGGTCACGCTGCTTCAGCTGCACCAGCCCCATCAATCTCCTTAAGCCTGCCTCAGGGCCTTTGCACGTGCTGGGCCCTCTGCCAGGGATCTCTTTCTCCCACCTCTCCCTGGTGGCTGCTGGTTTACATCCATTCTTCAGCTCACATATCACCTCCTCCAAGAAGCCCTTCTTGCCCAGCCAGGGGGCCTGATGCATGCTCACCCACCCCCAAATTTATCCCCTTTCCTGGTTTAACATCCATCTCTCCCCCTGATGGGCCCGAAGCAGGCCCACGGCCAGCCCAGACCCGGCACACCACAGGTGCTCTGCGTGTGGGAACGTTCCGTGCCAGGAACCGGGTGTTTGGGGAGCCCTAGGAAGTTCCCACTTTAGAGAGGACGTCCTGGGAGGGGAGATGAGACCAGTCCCAGTGGTAGCACTGAGGGTCCCAGCTCGGTCCCAGGAGCTCAGTGTGGGGTCACACCTGCTTGGCCTCTCACAGTGAGGGAGGGTGGTTTCTCTCTGCCTTGGTCTCCTAATCTGTAACCGGGGTCCCCTGTTCTCCCCCTGTTCCCTCTGCTTTCTGCACACGGCTGGGGGGGACCCTGGGTTGGCATGTCCCTGAGTCCCTCTTTCCACGTGGATCCAGCCTGTTCTTGACACTCCTGTCCTCCAGGCCTGCTGGCGGCCTCCTGGGCGGACCTGGCCCCCGCACCCACCTGCCTGCTGGTCTTTTCTCCCGCCTCGGTTCCCCAGAATGGTCACTGGTCCTGCTACGGAGGTGTGGCCTCGCCCCTGCCTGGGGGACGGGAGAGCAGCCTGCCTTTCCCTGCGTGGACACGGCCCTGCCCCCAGCCTGGGGTCCCTGTTCCCAAGGCAGTCCAGCTCCTGGGTGGCCCTGGGCTCCCTGAGGCCTCTCTGGCCTCAGCTCCTCCCCATGACCTGGGCTCCAGACCCCAGCCACCGCCTGCCCCACAGCTCACCTCGGTCATCAGGAAGGACAGGGACGTCCTGCTGCGCCTCATGCTGCGGCTCCGCCTGCCCCGCGGCCGCTCCTCCCCGTGGCACTCGGCCCCTACCGCTGCCCCTGGGTGCCCTGGACAATCAAGGTAACTTGAGTCACACCGCGTCACCAGTGTGGGGACTCTGTCCAGGGACACAGCCCCCCCATGCTCCTCCCCAGCAGCCTGACAGGCGCTGGAGGGGTCTCCCCCCTCCAGGCCCCGTAGGGACACCTCCAGCTCCTGGGGTTTCGGGGGACTTGGGAGGCCCCGCCCACCACTGGGACCCCTGCAGATGCAGAGGCACTTGCTCTGTGTGTCCCCAACAGGCCTGGTGCTCGTCCCGGCCACCAATCAAGACCTGTGACTTCCCAGGGGGCTGGGAGGCGAGGACGGGGCCTGCCCAAGAAGGGTCCCCACACCCCACAGCCCCTCAACTGTGTGAGCACCTGGCTGCCAACAACCCAGAGTGACAGGTGCGTGACCCAGGGGGGAGGGCAGAAGGCAGAGGACGGAGCCAGAGAGGAGGAGGGGAGGAGGGAAGGCAGGGGGTGGGCAGGGTCCTGTTCAGCAGGTTGTGTGTTTGCAGGTGACAAGGACAGATGGGTGACAGTGACAGGGAGAGACCCAGGGAAGGGGGCGGGAGAGGAGGCAGGGAGAGGTGCCCCCCAGGGCAGGACGGGAATCTTACCAGCTGGTGCCCAGGAGATGTGGCCTCAGGAAACTGGAGATGCCACTGGGTTCCCTGGGGTCCCCAGAAACCTGTCCACTCTTGGCCGGCCACACCAGGCCGATCAGCAGCTCTCACTGAGACCAGCCACAGCCAGAACCGGGGCCCCTGACGGGGTGGGGGCTCTGAGACTGACGGGAGGGTGTCACCCGCCCCCACTTCCAGGTTAATGATTCACCCCTCCCCCCCCCTGCCAGCCCCGCCCCCAACAGCATCGGAGCGTGACCGGCCCCAGGGGCCTCTGCCCTCCATGTGCGCCGTGAACTTGACCTCAGCCTCACAGCACAGCCAGGTTGTCAGGCAGACAGTGTGGGGACATGTCCCAGACCAAAGCACGTGGCCAAGACCTCAGTGTCCCCCTGGGGCTGGAGAGGCCAGGGGGCCCTGGAAGTGGTTCGGGCAGCAGAAAGGTCCCCAGCCAGAGGCTTGCCCCTCTGTGGGCTCGGTGTTCCCCTGTATCATGGAGGGAGCAAAGGGGACCTCACCTGGGGCTCTGAGAAGCAGGACCGAGGTGATTCAGGGAAGGAGGCGGGCAGGGAGCCTGGACTTCTTGCTCTCTGAGGGTCTCGGGCACTTTCCTGCCCCCTGACCTTTGCTCAGGCCGTTCTGCCTCCTGGGAAGTTTCCCCCCACCCGCCCCTGCCCCAGCCTGTCCCCGGAGCTGATCATCTTTCCAAGGTTTTGATCAACTGCATTCTGATGTTTGCAGGCTGAAAACGCCCTCATGGACTCCCACCTTTGGGGTAAAACCCATCCTCCCTCCCACAGCCCAGTGACCCCCACAACTTCTCTCACCCACTGTGACCCTGCTCACCTCCTGGATTTTTATCAAACACTTCCAAGTTTTCCTACCACAGGGCCTTTGCATAGGCTGTGTCTTCTTTCTAGGACCTCCTTTCTGGCTTTTTCCCAGGTGGCTCCTTCCCACCTTGAGGTCTCTGCTTGGACATCACCTTCTCAGACAGAGCTCCCCAACCTTCCTGCAAACCTGGATACACCAGACCCTGGGTGGGGGGCAGCATCAGCCCCAACCTGTGACCCTCTGACCCTCAGTGCCATCTGATGATCACTGAGGCCCTCTGGTTCTTTTACTTATTTATTTATTTGTTGGTGGGTTGGTGGGTTGGTACCTGGGATTGAACCCAGGGCTGCTTAACCACGGAGCCACATCCCCAGCCTTTTTTTGTATTTTATTTAGAGACAGGGTCTTGCTGAGTTGCTTAGGGCCTCATGAAATTGCTAAAACTGGCCTCCAACTTGCGATCCTCCTGCCTCAGCCTCCCGAGCCATTGTTTTTTTTTTTTTTTTTTTTAAAGAGAATTTTTATTTATTTATTTAGGTTTTCGGCAGACACAACATCTTTGTTTGTATGTGGTGCTGAGGATCGAACCCCGGCTGCACGCATGCTAGGCGAGCGCGCTACCGCTTGAGCCACATCCCCAGCCCCCTCCCGAGCCATTGTGCCCAGCCATCTCCTGGTTCTTGTCCGCCTCTCCCTCTCCCTATGACGGACACGCCCCCAGCACAGGCTATGGCACACGTTAGCACCCCCGTAATGTTGGTCACATGAATCTATGACTCAGGAAGCCTCCGATGAACCACAGGGACTTTGTTTATTTTTTTAGACGAGGGTCTCACTCTGTTGCTCAAGCTGGCCTCAAACTCCTGGGCTCAAGCGATCCTCCTGCCTCAGCCACCCAAGCAGCTGTGGCTACAGATCCTGGCCACCGCGCAGCACAGGAGGGGGTTTATTTCTTCAGCTGTCCCAGCCCCACCTGAGCCCCGGTCTCTCTTGGCCCCAGGACAGTCACTCTGGTGTGCGGTGGGCAAAGGATGACCTTTGGCTCTCACTTCCCTGGAGACGGAACACACAGTGGTCATCAGGCTGTGCGGCAGGGCTCGCCCTGTGTGGGAAAGCCACTGCCCTCCCCGCCCCTGGCCAGGCGGAGCCCCCAACTCACCATGGACTCTTCATCCAGCTTATGGAACCTGGATACTTCTCGGTGACAGGACCTCACGGCCATTACCACGGACCCGATGAGAAGGACAGAGACCAACAAGCACACGGCCACCACCAAGCCTGGGTTTCTGTGTGACGTGGGGACGCCAGGGTCACCTGGGGAAGAGACCAGACCGGGGTCAGCCCTGAGCCCCACCCTCCCCCGTCGGGGACACCCACCAGGGCCCTTAGCTGGTGTTTTTGGTGGCACTGGGTTTGAACCCAGGGCCTGGTGCGAGGTGGGCACGTGCTCTAGCGCTGGGCCACGCCCCAGCCCCTAGTTCGTTATTTTACAATCAAATATAGAATTGATCACCTGTCCCTTTTGCACATGGGTATTGCGGTCTCTCCTGCGCAGAGCGGTGGGTCCCCAGGTCCCCGTATACGGGACCCTTCATTAACGTGCACAGACTCTCCCCTAGAACCACCTTGGTCCATGGGGTGGGGGAGGGGGGCCCTTCCCCGCCATCTCCTGGGTCTGTGCCTCCCCCTTGTGGTCAACCCCAGAACTGCACCCAGGTACCCCTGTTAGCTCTTACCCCCTCCCACCGCCCGCTGCCGCCAGGAGCCCCAATTTCTTCATACTTACCCTGGCCAGGGCTGGGGGGAGTGGAAATCCAGTGGGAGTTCAAGTGTGTGGAACTGGGTTGAGTGGAATAGGTGAACTCTAAACTGGGGGGCCCAGCGCTGGGGTGCGTGACTGTCCCTGGTGGTGCAGACGGGGTAGCTGTCTCTGGATTTGAGGAGCTAGGGCTCGCGTGGCTGGCGGGGCTTGGCCCTGTCTGGCTTAGGGAGCCGGTGGGGGTGGACTCTGAATTTGAGGGGCTGGTGGGGCTTGATTCTGTCTGGCTTAGGGAGCCGGTGGGGGTCGACTCTGAATTTGAGGGGCTGGTGGGGCTGGCGGGGCTTGGCCCTGTCTGGCTTAGGGAGCTGGTGGGGGTGGACTCTAAACTGGACGTGGGGCTATAGCTGGGAGTCGCTCTCGTTGCTCTGTTTTCCAAGATCAATGTAAAAGCAACACCTGAGAATAAAGAAGACCGGGTTTGGGAGCCTGTGATTAGGATCAAAGGGTGCTAGCACTGGGGCAGGGACTCCGTGGCAGGACAGGTACTGAGCATGTGCAAGGCCCTGGGTTCCACCCCCAGCTCCCAAAAGAGAGAGAGGAGAGAGAGGGAGCCCGCTCAGCTCCTCCCAGGACCCCACAAGAGAGTTCAGAGAGAAGCAGGCTCCCTGGAGAGGTCAAGCTCCCCCCCCCCTCCAGGATTCAAGTTCAAGCCCAGGTCTGGGGGCTTTCTCAGGATTCAAGTTCAATTCCAGGTGTGTGTGTGTGTGGGGGGGCTTTCCCACTCACTGCCTCTTGCCTCAGAGCTCTAGAAGCCTCCAGGTGGAGGAGTGGCTGTCACCCAGGCGGAACAACACCTTGAAACTTTGTGGGACTCCAGTCAGTCACGGTGGTGGTGCGCGCCCGTAATCCCAGCTACTCAGGAGACTGAGGCAGGAGGATTGCAAGTCTGAGGCCAGCCTGTGTTCAAGCCCCAGTAGCAGGGACAGGATGACTTTCTGGAACTCGGTTTCAGCTTCAGGGATCTGGAGGGTCTCCAGGGCTAAACCCAGAGGGCTTTTTTTTTTTGGTACCAGGAATTGAACTCAGAGGCACTCAACCACCAAGTCACATCCCCGGCCCTATTTTGTATTTTATTTAGAGACAGGGACTCACTTGGTTACTGAGGCTGGCTTTGAACTCGCGATCCTCCTGCCTCAGCCTCCCGAGCGGAGGGGATTGCAGGCTGGCCTAAACCCGAGAGGTCTTGCCTTTGTCTCTTGTTTGTCCTTTGCAGCGCTGGGGATGGAACCCAGGCCTCACGCGTGCCAGGCAATTGCTCTGCCACTGAGCCTCACCCCAGCCCTAAACTTGGGGCTTTAACGGGGAAACATAGAGACCTGGGCCCTGGGAACCCTCCGTGGTTCACGCTTCTGAAAAGCCCTGCCTGGCTCCAGCCACACCCAGGTTCCCCCCCTGTCCTGGCATGGAGCCGAGGGGCAGACATCTCCCACGGTGGCTTCCTGCCCAGCTCGAGGTAGCTGGGCACCTCAGGTGCGTGCAGGTTCATTCCCGGTGGCCTCTGGCCACACCCCACCTCACTCTGACTTGGGCAGATCTCTGCTTTCTCCCTGAGTCACCAAAGGCAGCAGAAATGCGGAAATAACACTTAGCCCTGGCCCTGGGGCCGGGGGAGGTGGATCTGCAGCCCCCTTCCCCCTCGGCCTCCCAGGCCCCAGGGGAACACGAGTGAGTCTAGAGGAGGTTGGAGTAACACCCCAACTTCACCCTCATTTTAAACGTAAGGAATTACAGCTCATCGTACAAGGACCTTCAGAGAGTCCAGGAATAATAGGTCAGCTTCCCCAGGCTGCCTCCCACCATCATTTGAGAAGGAGTCCGGACTATGAGAGGTTTCTACTGAAATGAAGATGAGTCGGGGGCCCTACTGAACCCCAAGACTTGCCAGGACTCTAAAGAAACCGAGTTTTTAAAGTAAACTGAGGAAAAGCAGGGGGCGAGAAAGAGGAAGAGGAGGAAGGTGCAAGCCCTACTGAGCACTCAGCCCAGACGAGGTGCTCAGGAGCTACAGGAAAGTTGGCCAGAAGAGAACGTAGGGCTGCTGCTAGATGGTGTGCCAGGACGGGAGGCCGGCGTGCGCCAAGTCAGCGGGGTCTAATCTGTGTCTGGGACAGAGCCTCAGCTTCCTGAGCTATCGAAACTGGGATGAACAAACCCCGGCCTGCAGTAAACACCCCAACCCAGGTGACCTTTGCTCTGGCATTGTGGTTTGGGGCTGAAGGCTGGCCAGAGGGAGCCATGGCAGAGTGGAAGGATGACTGGGGGAGGGGATGCATGGAACGCTTCTCCCCACCGGGGAAGCTGGGAAGCTGTCTCATAGGGCAGCAGGAGGGAATTAAGTCAGACACTAAGAAGAACTTCTCCTGGGAGCTGTGGATGCTGGATGACCAGGAAGTGAACCCCTGATACCAGGCCCTTCCCATGGCCCTGGTGTCCTCGCCAATCGCCCTTTGGGACGGGGCTCAAAGAAACGGGTGAGAGACAGAGCTTCAGACTGGTTGTCTGGTGTCCCTGGGGCTTGTCACACAGAGGTACTGGAGGTGTTCTCTCCTGTTTCTGGGGAAAGGGCAGGTATCCCTGTGAGACTGGGAGCGCAGTGTGACCTCAGCGGGGGCTCAGAGACCAGACAGTGTGCCCTGTCCCCACCCGCCACCAGCCTTCTGGAAGCTCAGCCTCCCTCTTACCTGCCCTCACCTGTAAAGGCAAGAGTAGAGGAATTCCCTGGCGGCTTCCGTAGCAGCGCCAGAGCCAGGAGCAGAAGCGGCAGCAGCTGGGTGCTCGCCATTTCTGAGCGGGGAGGGCCACGGCAGGCTCTGCCAGGTGCGCGGCCAGGTGCGCGGCACGGTACGCTATCCGCCGCGAGCGCGCCCCTGCTGGTGGCATCTGGTACTGCGCAGAGACCAGGCACAGACGGGGCTCAGGGGTGGCGCCCGCTCCTCCAGGGTGCCGTTCCCTCCCCAGTCCTCCCAGAGCCAGCCTGGACCGTCACCCTGAAGCCCCCCGACCCCCAGCACCCCTGGCGCTCTGCTCCCCTTCCCCCGCAGCCGCCACCACTCTAACGTCCCCTCTGGGGCTCCCTCCACCCCGCGTGACTCTTCTCTGTCCAGGCTGCCCACACAGAGCACCCCCTGCCCCTTCCCTTTTCTGCGGCTCCATCCTATGCCCCATGAGGCTGGGACTGTCATTGTCCCCCTCTGTGGGTGGGCCTGGCACCCTCCCAATCGGGGTGCACCTGGAACCTGCCAGTACTTCCAGACCCAGGTGCCCTGAGGCCGAGGTGTTCAAGGTGGCTGCTCTGGGCCGGGTCCCCAGATTTGGGTTTCTGAAGTATGCAGGGGGTGGCTTTCATCCGGAAGTGACCGGCCAGCGGCCACCCTGCTAGCCATGGAAGGATAGGATGGCACTGGAGAGGCCGTCCTGGCAGACCGTGACCTTCAGGACAGACCCACGTGGCTGGAAGCGTTGGGGCCCCCTCCCCCTGGGCTGTTCCGGATCCCCTCCCCCAATTCCCAAGACGCCCCATTAACCCAGAACACGTGACCCGGGACCCAGGCTGTGGAGGACTTTATTCATCAGACCCAGAGAGCCACACGGTCCTTCCCATATGTCCCTCTGCTGGCACGCAGCCAGGGTCCTAGACGCCGGGCCAGCGCGTGGACCGGGCGCTGTGGGTGCTGTGTCGCGAGGGATCCCTTGAGCAGTCCCGCGGGGCTCCCGACCCCAGGAGCATGTCCGTGGTGAGGCAGCTCCGGGTGTAGTGGCCTCTCCAGTTGGACTGAACCATCTTGGCTGCCGACTGCTGCTGGCAGAGCTGGCGGCGGGTCTTGAAGCCCCTCCAGGCCGACTGGATGGCCATGGCCGCTCTGTTCTGGCCGGGTGACCTGCAGAGGCCCTGGGAGGCCTTCGGGGAGCTGCAGGCCCACAGCAGGCCCCCCGGGCTGGAGATGCTGCGGCCCGTGCCATGCACCACTCGCGTGGGCAGGGTGTGGCCGCACATGTGGCACGTGCGGGGACTGGAGCCCACGAGCATCACCACGCTGGGCGGGTTGCCCAGCCCGGGGCTCAGCGACTGGCAGAGGCTGCAGATGTGAGGCTGGCAGGACTGGAAGCAGCGGTGGCCGGAGCCCAGCCTGGCCTCACTGCCCTGGAAACAGCGGGGCTGGGGGGCCGCCCGGACCTTGCTGCCCAGCTCCACCCACACGGCCGGGAGCAGCATCTGCTGGGCACAGTCCCTGCGGGTGCAGTAGCCTCGCCAGGCGGCCTGGATGATGGTGGTGGCTCGGTACAGCCGGGCCAGGTTCCGTCGCATGCGGAAGCCACGCCAACTCGCTTGGATGACGGTAGCGCACTGATGCCACACCCGGATGGTACTGCGGACCAGGTAGCCGCGCGCGAATGCCTGGATCACCACCGCGGCCCGGACGAGGATCTTCTCCATGGTCTGCACGGACACCATCAGCTCCCCCGGCTGTCTGGGGCTCACCGCTGCCACGCTGCCCAAGGTGTCCCACGGCACGGGGCCCCTGGCCGTCTCCCACGTGCTCTGGGGGGCCACAGCGTGGTCCATGGGCCTGACGGCTACGCTGGGAACACCACTGGCCAAGCCAGCATCCACGGGGCCCTGGAGTACAGTGGGGACCAGGGATGGCTTGTGAAGGCCAGCTACAGGACCCACGGCATGATGGGAGATCTGGCCCTGGTGGACAGAGGGGGTCGGAAATGGCTTGTGCTGTCTAGTGACAAGATGCATGGACTCATGGGAGTCCTGTTCAAGGAGGGGCCTCCAGAGGCCACTGGGTGAAGTTGTATAGCCCAGAGACACCCTCCGAACCCCGGGGGACAGTCTAGTGACACTGGGGTCATAGGCTGTATCACTGGGTTGGACGGTGGGTGTCCTGCCCACCCACAGTTCACAAGGGGAGTGTCTGCGGCTGGCCAGGGGGGACTGGGTTTCCTGCCGCTGCACCTGATTGGAGGGCACCACCGTGGTCATAGAACCTTCTAGCAACTCGGGAATAAGTTTACCATGAATGAGTCGGTAGTATTTTTTAGGGCGGAGAGACTTGAGGCTGGTCTGGGTCAGGTTCCCGGACACTGGTTTCTGGAATGTACTGGGGACAGGTGCCATCTGGGAGTGACCGGGCACGGCTTTTTTAACCAAGGATTGATAGGGCTGCACGTGTGGGGCCACGTTGCTGGACCCTGACCTCTGGAGCACACCTGAGCTCTCCGTCCTGGCCACAGACCCTGCATATAAGCTGGAGGCCACGGGACTGGTCAGATGGGGTGACATCAAGACTATATCAGAAGTCAGTGACCCCTGGCTTGGAGGTCTCATGTGAGTCTTGGACTCGGGCTGAAGAGCTGAGAAATCGTCAGAGACCACTGGAGTCAGGGGCTGTGGCATGGCCCTGTCCACTGCGGTCCCCAACTGCAGACTATGGGCCCTGCTGGTGGTGATGAGGTAGGTGCTGGGGGGACCCCTGGGGCTGGCCGAGTCGGGTTGGAGACTTGCGGAGAAGCTACTGGTCATCGAGTGCCTGGCCCGGAAAGGGATGGGAGCCATGCCGCTGGCTTGGCCGGGAGCCCTCTCGCCCAGCAGTGACATCTGGCCTTTGGGAAGTGTCTCCTCTGCCCGTGGGGGCCCTCGAGGAGTCTCGACGTAATTGTCCATGGGGCTCTGGTACATCCATGGGGTCACCTCCAGGACCTTGGATTTGTTGGACTCTCTATCGGATCCTGATTCCTGGGCTAGAGCCCCACCTAACTCTCTGGGTTTCAATTTGGTCGGGTCCTCTATGGTCCCCAGTGTCAGTATCCTAGGGTCCTGAGTAAAGGGTGAGGCTCTTGACAGAACTGTGGGCACTCGGTGCTGAGCCCTGGTTGTGCCCTGGGCTCCTGAGGCCTGAGGGTGAACCTGGGCCAGGCCGGCGGCATGGGCAGCCTGGGCGGCCTGGAGCAGGGCCGCAGGGCCCTCGCCAGCTCCGTGGTAGGGCCGGGGCGTGAGTCCGATGAGCATGGACCCCTGGGGAGATCCCTGGCCTCCGGTTTTCACAGAACCAAGAGGGACACTTGGGCCTACCCCAGGGGCCACCAAACCCGGGGACAGACTCGGAGCAGTGAACCTAGCCAAGGGCCCCATGGCCAGGCCCAGCCTCTTCCCTTTAGCTCCCGATGCCGCCATTTGATGAGGGGCCACCCTACCGGCTCCAGTCCCCGGGGGGAGACTGCGGGCCATGCCACTGGCCGTGGGGTCTAGAAGACGACTCTGGGCCATGCCAGTGACCATGGACCCCTGGGGAAGGCCCTGACCCATACCCCTGATCACAGAGCCTCGGGAAAGACTACAGGCCATAAAATTAGCCACAGCGTTTGGGACCATGGCTGGGGTCAGCCGACGGTCTGCAGAACTTGAGGCAAGGCTACCACTGGCTGTCCCCATCACAGAATCCTCAGGGACAATACGTGCATATGGGTAACTAGATGGGACCACTGTGGGCACGGCGGGCAGCTGGTGGTCTAATGGCATTGGCAGTGGGATGGTGGCCTGAGAGGTTCTGAGGCCCAGATGAAACACGGAGAGCGGGTCCTGGCTCGTACCCAGTCTGCTGGGCAGTGCGACACGGGGACGACTGGGGTCCATCCCCGTGGCCATGGAAGTTTCTCCATGGGTCAGAGAGACCCCTCTCTCCAAGACCTGGGACGCCATGGGAACCAGGCCATCCGTCACCTGACATTGGCTTGGGCCCATTGAAGGCACCATGTTTTTCTGGAATATGCTCCCGGCCAGGCTAGCGGGGGTAGCCCCCTGGGACAGACTGAGCAGCATCCCAGCGGCTGCGGGCCCCTCAGAGGAGCAGGCAGACATGCCCTTGAGCCAAGTCGAATGGAACATACTGGGTCCTTGGGTCACCTCCTTGGTCATATCCGTCTGGTAGAGGTTGGGAGCGGACATGGAGACCGCTGTTGGGTGCCTCCCCCACACACTGGACGGCTGGTGGAGCCCAAGGGACACCTGGCTGAACTGAGCGTCCTGGAGGTTTGAGACCACCCTATCTGCCACGGCGGGGTCCTCACACGTGCCCACCCCGACATCCAGAGGAGGCTGGTGCAGACCCAGGCCCAGCCTCCCAGGCACGCAGGAGTAGGACCTGCCCGAGCCGAGGGAGAGGAAGACGGACGGAGGGCACAGGCCGGGGGCACCTGCACTCACTCGTGAGGCCTGCAGGGTCGGATCCACCCGGGGCCCTGGGGCTGGCTCACAGAGACCCCGGCCCACCCCATAGATCACGGATGGCTGGGAGAGACCACAGGCCAATCCAGTGGCCATGCAGGGCTGGGACAGGCTCAGGGGCCCCAGATGAGCCATGGAGGCCTGAGCCAGAAGAGGGGATGCCCCTGGAGCCAGAAAGGGGTGGTCAGCCCAGGTTTGCCTGGAGACAGGTGGACTGGATGGAGGTGTTTGGATAAGGCTGGGGGCCACCCCGCTGGCCATCGGTTGGCGGGACAGAATGGGATACCCTCCACTGGCCAATACTGGATGGGCTAGGCTTGGGGCCACCTCACTGGCCACAGCGGGTTGGGCCAGGCCTTGGGATACTCCCCAGGGCATAGGGTGCTGGGCAAGGCTTGGGGGCGCCCTGTGGGCTATGAAAGGCTGAGCAAAGATTGGGGACACCTCATTGGCCACCGGTGGCTGAGCCAGGTAGGGGTGCAGCCCACTGGCCACGGAGGGGTGGATAAACCTTGGGGGTACCCCACTGGCCATGGATAGATGGGCCGGGCTGGGAGCCACATGAGTGGCCATAGGTCGGTGGGACAGAATGGGAGATAAGCCACCAGCCATCAGTGGGTGAGCTAGGCTGGGGGACACCCCATTTGTCATAGAAGGATGGACCAAGCTTGGGGACATCCCAACAGGCATACACAGTTGGGCCAGACTTGGGGACACCCCACTGTCTATAAAAGGCTGGGCCAGGCTCGGAGCTACTCCATAGGCTGTGGATTGGTAGGATGGTCTTGGGGACACCCCGCTGGCCACAGAAGGTTGAGCTAGACTTTGAGACATCCCACTGGCCATAGGTTGGTGAGATAGGCTTGGGGACAGCGCACTGGTCATAGGTTGGTGAGGTAGGCTTGGGGACAGCGCACTGGTCATAGAAGGCTGCTCAAGGGTGGGTGGCTCCCCACTGGTCATAGAAGGCTGGACAAAGGTAGGGGACAGCCCACTGGCCATAGAAGGTTGGGGCGCTCTTGGAGACACTCCACGGGCTGTACATCGTTGGGGTGGGCTTGGGGACACCCCACTGGCCACAGGTTGATCTAGACTTGGAGCCATCCCACTGGTCAGAGATAGGTGAGGTGGGCTTGGGGACATCCCACTGACCATGGTAGGCTGGCCAATACTTGGGGATACCCCATGGGAAACAGAAGGATTAGCCAAGCTTAGGGACATCCCAATGGCCATAGGAGGTTGGGACATTCTCAGAACCATTCCTTGGGCTGTAGATCTGTGGGGTGGTCTTGGGGACACCCCATTGGCCATAGAAGGCTGGGCAAAGGTTAGGGACAGCCCAGTGGCCATGCAAGGTTGAGCTAGGCTTTGAGACACTCCACTGGCCACAGATTGGTGGGGTGGGCTTGGGGTCATAGAAGGCTGGGCAAGGGGGGGGGACACCTCACTGGACATCAATGCATGAGGGAGGCCAGGGGACACTCCACTAGTCAAAGATGGTTGGGCAGGATGTGGGGACATCCCACTGGCCATAGAAGGCTGGCCAAGATTTGAGGACATCCCATGGGCCACAGAAGATTGTTCAAGAAGTTGTGCCATCCCAATAGCTATAGAAGGCTGGGCTGGGCTTGGGGTCATCCCACTGGCCATAGACTTATGGGGAAGGTTTGGGGACACCCGAACAGTCATAGATTGTTGGGCAAGGTTTGGGGATGTCCCGCTGGCCATAGATGGGAGAGCTAGGCAAGGGGACACCCCAGTGGCCAAAGATGGCTGGGCTGGGCCAGGGGATTCCCTACTGTCCATAGGTGGCTGGGTTGGGCTTGGGGAGACCCCACTGGTCAGAGAAGTTTTAACAAAACTTGAGAACACCCCGCTGACCATAGGTAGCTGCGTTGGGCTTGGGGACAACCTGTTGTCCATAGAAGGCTGGATAAATCTTGGGGATACTTCACTGGCCTTGGATGGCTGGGCTAGACTGGGGGACGTTTCAGTGCACAGAGATGGCTGAGCCAGGTTTGGGGATGCCCCACTGGCTGCAGATGACTGGACTAGGCTGGGGAGCAGTCCTGTGGCCATAGATGGCTTGGCTAGGCTGGGGGACACCCCACTGTCCACAGGTGGCTGGACAAAGTTTAAGGAAACTCCAATAGCCACAGAAGGTTGAGCCAAGTTTGGGGACACCCCACTGGCCAAAGGTGGCTGAGCTGGGCTGGGGGTCACCCCACTGATCTCAGAGGGGTGACTCTGTGTTGGAACCACCCCATCAGTCCTAGCTATAGGGACCAGGCTTGTGGAGACCCTACTGGCCTCAGATAAATGGCCAGACCTTGGGACTATCTCACTGGCCATAGATGGGGGGGCTTTACTAGGGGTCTCCCTGCCAGTCCCAGAGGTACATACACCTCCAGAGGCCACCTTGCTGCTTGAGGACGTGCTGGGTATTACTAGGAACACCCTGCCACCCGCTCTTGGCTGGGGTGGGCTTGAGGCTGGTCTAATGGTGGCCAGGGGCTGGGCTCTGCTTGAGGGCACCTTAATGCACACTGTAGGCTGGGACAGGCTTCGGGTCAACCTGCCGCCCACTGGCAGCTGGCAAAGGATTGACTTGGCTAGGTTCGGGGCTCCCTGACTGGCCGATATAGACTGAGACTGGTTAAGAGCCAGCTTGGTGGCCAGAGATGGCTGCTGGTGCTCCACAGGGACCACAGTGCCCAGAGACAGACTCCTCCTCAGCCCTGGTCGGAAAGTCTCCTGAGAGACTCTCTCCACCAGATCCAGGGAGCTCTGGCCCGGGGAGGACCTATTCTTCTTCTGTTCCTCTGAGTCCCAGTGGACACTCAAGGCCATGTGGCTGGACACTGGGCCACGGCTCAGGACTGGGGTGAGCGGGGGGACAGTAGGGGGGCTCCAGTAGAGGTTTGGGATCTTCTGCCTGGGGACCACGGAGCCCGGAGTAAAGTTTCTAGTCAGGACATTGTCTGGGTGCTGTGGCAAACTGGACACCAACTCATTGAGAAGGGACATTTGGTGACTAGCCACATGCTCCCGGGGACGGGGAGGATTCCTTGTTAGAGCCCCCCTCAGTCGAAGGCCGCGTCCCAACATGAGGGCTGGGGGACCTGGGTACAAACTGCCACCTGCCGGGCACTTGGGTGCCTGCACCTTGCTCACCATGGTGGTCCTCATTGAGCTTGCGGTCATGTTGGTGACTACCTGCCTGGGACCATGGAAGGCCGGCTTGTGACCTGGAGGCTGGGGCCTCCTCCTCAGAGCCTCCTCAGGGGCCTGGCAGAGCTGATTTTGACCTCTGATCACTGAGCGGTGATGGGAGTGTTTGGGGGACACCCTCCTGACCCCCGAAAACTGACACCAGCAAGCGGCATCCTGACAGACGGGGAAAGACGGCTGGGAATGGACCGCCCTCCTGCCTCCCACGCTGCCCGGAGGTCTACCAAAGGCCCCGCTGCCCTTCCCTGACAGCGCCCACGAATGAGAGGCCACCCTGCTGACCACTTGTGGCTTGTGGGAGCTCGGGGTACTGTCACATGTCACGGATGGCTGGCTTGTGCTGGGGCCTATGCCGTTGACAATGAAGGACTGCCACAGGCTGGGGGGTGGCTGAGCGCGGGGCGCCTTAGGCAAGTGGGGGCCCTCCATACCCGTCGCGGGGCTGGCCCCTGGGGTCAGCCACCTGCTTCTCTTTTTGATGCTGGGGCTCAGATACGAGGCCCCCGCGGGCCCCCTGCCCCAGGGCTGTATGAGGTCCAGGCCCATGACCATGGGATAGTGGTAGATGCTGGGGACCATCCTACCGGTTAGGGACATACCCACAGGGAACAGTGTCGAGCAGGGTGACCCCTCCAACGTGGCCCCGTCCCCCATCTCCTCCAGGAGCCCGGCGTGCTGGCCCATGGTGAAGTCCTCCCAGCCTCCAACCTGGGAGACCCTGACCTTGCTGGGCTGCGGACTCCCGGGGCCCACGGCGGATCCCCACGCGGCCGATGCGTTCCCCCGGCAGTCCACCTCCACCGAGGCGGGCAGCAGAGTCATCCCGCTGCCCACAGCTTTCGAGGAGGCCTTGGGGAGGATGGCTCCAGTCCTCAAGGCTGCCTGGGACAGAGACTGGCTGAGGACAGCACCCAGCTCCCCCTGACACAGGGCTTGACCGAGGGCCGCCCGCTCCTCGTCGGTCAGGGCCTTGCTGAGCACTTCGGCCAACTTGCCCTGCATGACCTTGGTGAGCTCTGAGCGCAGTTCGCCCCGAGACAGCGCCCGGGAGAGGGTGACGCCCAGTTCACCCCAGGACAACGCCTTCACCAGGGCCATGCCCAGCATGCCCTGCGGCATCGCCTTGGTCACAGTGGTGCCCAGGACATCCTTGGACAGGGCTTGGTTCAGAGCGGCCCGCACTTCTCCCTGGGAGAGGGCTTTAGCCAGCAGGGCCCGGATGTCCTCCTGGGAGCCCAGCACAGCGGCCAGCTCCGCGCACAGGGAGGCGATCTGGGAAGCCGCCGCCTCCTGACAGGGCACCGCCTGGCTGGCCACGGGCGGCTGGGCCCGCGCCGTTCCGCTGTCACCCCAGGGCTCGATGTTGCACGTGGGCTGTCCGGTGGAGGTCATCAGAGGTACCAGCATGCCCTGGGCCTCTGAGGCCACTGGGCAGGGGCCATGCGTGGTCTTGCTCTGGACATGGCCTTGGGGCTGGAGCTGGGCAGGTCTGTCCTCGGACTTGGGTCGGGGCAGGAAGCTCATTGCCCCCAGGTGCTGGCAGGAGGGGGCAGACGCCCTGGATCCGGTCAGGAGGGGCTGGGACTGCGTCTTGCTGTTGAGGTCCGTGGACTGGCGAGCTGTGAGGAAGGACTTGGTCTGGGAGACCAGCTGGGCCTGGGACTGTGTCTTGGTCAGCCCAATGGGCAGCTGCGCTTGGGACTGGATCTTTACTGCCCCCGAGCTCAGATGCACCTGGGACTGGGCCTTGGTCAGACACGTGACGAGGTGAGCCAGCGACGGGGTCTTGGTCAGCCTGGAGGGTGGGTACACCTGGGAGGGGGTCTTGGGTGATTGCGGGGCCAGGTGTGCTTGGGGCCCAGCCTTGGTCTGCTTGGCGGGCGAGTGCAGTGGGGACGCCGTCATCAGAGGTGCGGCCCGCGGGGGCTGGGGCAGGGTTTTGGCCAGGGTTGTGGACAGATGTCCCTGGGACAGGACCTTGGTCTGCTCAGAAGTCAGATGCACCTGGGATGTGGTCTTCGTCAGGCACGTGGCCAGGTGTGGCTGGGGCATGGCTGTTGGGGGACATGTGGCCAGATGTGCTTGTTGGGACAGGGCCTTGGCCTGCTCCGTGGCTGGATGTAACTGGGTCAAGGTCTTGGTCAGGGGTGTGGTCAGCTGCTCCTGGGGCAGGGCCTTGGCCTGCCTGGGAGACGGACGCACCTGGCCCAAGGTCTTGGTCAGAGGGGAGGCCATCTGGTCCCGGGGCAGGGCCGCAGCTGCTTCCACAGGTACGGACACCTGGGACTGCACCTTGATGAGGTCTATCCTCTGCTGTGCCTGTGGCGGGGACTTGTTCCTGTCCTCAGCAACCTTCGTCCATGGCAAAGGCTGGGTCATTTCCATCGTCATGTTGGTCTTGGACACTGTTTCTTTTTTCACCTGCCTCTGGAGGCAGGTCCTGACCTTCTCAGGTTCCAAGGGACCCCTGGCCATAGGCTTGGGAGCCCCAGCTTCGAGGTGTGGCTGGGGGACACTGCGGACCTTCCCCTCAGCCAGGAACGAGTGGGATGAGTCCTTGACGCCGGCTGTCTGCCTCACGTTCACCATGACCTTGCCCTTTTGTGCGTTCAGGTGCACGGTGCAGCAGGCGCGGGGAATTCCGGCGGATCCCGCCGCCTTTTGGGGTGGCGTTCTGAGATTTCCGACCACGGGAGGGACCAGGCACAGGGTCCTGAGGACAGCTGCCACTGAGCGGATCGGGGCTGGGGTCTTAGCTATCATGGCCGCCAGGCGCGTCTGGGGCGGAGGCTTCATTATGAAGGCACCTGGGCAAACCTGGGACGGAGTCTTGGTCACAGTGGCGGCTTGGCAAGTTTGCATCTGGTTTTTGGTGGGGGCGGTCACCAGGCGTATCTGGGGTGTGGGCTTCGTCACTGCAGACACTGGGCACGTCTGTGGCGGGGGCCTGGCTGTGGTGGCCCCTGGGCGTGCCGGGCACGGGGGCCTCATCACTGAAGCCAACAGGCATACCTGGGGGGGGATCTTGGCCATGGTGGCTGCTAACCGCGACTGCAGTGGAGCGTTGGTTAGTGAAGGTGTCTGTCGCATCTGAGCTTGGGTCCTGGTCACTGTGGGCGACGGGCCTGTCTGGGGCAGGGTCTTCATGACTGTCATTATGGGTCCTGGACCTGTCTGAGGTGGCGTCTTGGTCACTGTGGAAATGGGGGACACCTGGGCCTGGGTCCTGGCTATGGAAACCAGTGGACTTCTCTTGGGTGGGGTCTTGCTCAGGGTGGACGCTGGGAAGGCCTGGGGTGGGGTCTTGTGGGTATCGGCTTCCACGTGGGCCTGGATCTGGGCCTTGAATGTTCCAGGAACTGCCTGGCCATACCTGCCCGAGGGGGGTGGCTCTGGGGCCCCTGCTCTGGTGGCTCTGGTAGTTACGTGCTTGGTCTTCACCGTGTCCCCCTCTAGGTGCCTGATGAGGCAGGAGCTCCTGACGGTCTTCGTCAGCAGGCACGGCTGGCATTTGGGATCTAGACTCACCGGACTCGGAAGTCTCATGGCGATGGTCTGGTGCGGCAGGAAGGCCACCCCGTGGGCTCCGGGGCCGTGGGGAGCCTGCACTCCGGGCCCAGCCATGCCCTGGGCCGCGGGGTGCTGCAGCAGACCCAGCTGGGGGATGCAGGTGATGAGGCTGTCGGAGGACGGGAACTGGGTCTCCTTGCTCATCATGACGGGCTGCACCTGAAGGGGCTTGTCTTCCGGGGGCTGGAAGCGCACCTGCTGGGGCGGGTGGTAAGGGATGTCTCCTTCCTCCTTGCTCACCCTCTTCACCGTGACCTTGCTGAAGCGGAGAAGGCGCCTCGTGTTGAAGCGCCGCCAGGCCTCCTGGATGGCCTTGGCCGCCAACATCTGGGAGATGAGCTTCTGCCGGAGCCGGTAGCCCCTCCAGTTGGCTTGGATGAGGGTGGCTGCCCGGGACAGCATCATGTCCATCTCGTCCACCAGGATGTTCTTGAAGGCCTGGCTCTCCACCACCGCCCGGAGGCATGGGATGCGGCGAGGCTCCATCTTGCTCTGAGCCGGCTGTTGCGGAAGCTGCTCCTTGGACTTGCGGGCCTCATACTGCTGCGCAGACGCTCTCCCCACCTTGTCCGGGAGGCAGTGGATGGGCTGGGGCGGGGGGATGCACTGCCCACTCGGTGACAACTGGTTCATGAACTGGAGCTGTGCGGCCGGCTGCATCATCTTGGTTCCTGAGCAGGTCAGATGGGCCTGTGGGGAGGACAGGTCGATGGACAGACAGGGGGATGCAGGGGTGGGTGGGTGGGTAGATGGATGGTTGAGGGGTGGAAGTGGCTACATGTGTGGATGGACAGATTAATGCATGCGTAGATGGGCAGGTGAATGGGTGGGTGGATGGATGGATGGACGGACAGATGGACAGATGGATGGGTGAACAGATGGATGGATGGACAGAAAGATGGACAGATGGGTGGATGAATAGGTGGATGGATGGACAGACAGAAAAATGAACAGATGGGTGGATGGATGGACAGATGGATGAACAGATGGATGGATGGATGGATGGACAGATGGATGATGGATGGATGAACAGAAAGATGGACAGATGAGTGGACAAATGGACAGACAGATGAACAGATGGATGGATGGATGGATGGATGGACAGATGGATGGATGGATAGACAGAAAGATGGACAGATGGGTGGGTGGATGGATGGATGGATGGGTAGATGGACAGGTGGATGGATGGGTGGATGGATAGGTAGATAGATAGATGGATAGATGGGTGGATGGATGGGTGGATGGATGGCCAGACAGATAGATGGACAGATGAATGGCAAATGGGCGGGTGGGTGGGTGGATGGTTAGATGGAGGATGAACGGAAAGACAGATGGATAGATGGATGATGGTTGGATGCTTAGATGCATGGACAGACGTGTAGATAGAAGAATGAACAGATGGATTCATGGATGGATGGACGGGTGGATGGGTGGATGGATGGATGATTAGGTAGATGGGCAGCTGAGTAGATGGGTAAAGGGATGAATGGGATGGATGAGTGCGTGGCTGGTGGGTGGCTGGACCAACTTCAGGTGGGAGGAGGAGCAGAAGGCAGACTGAGAGGATGACTGTGGCCTTCAGAAGTAACTTGGGACCTGTGAGTAACTGTGAGATCCCATCTCAAAAAAGAAAAAAAGAAAAAAAGAATCTGCCCGATTGGGAGCAGGGTACACGGCTCCGTGACCAAGCACTTGCCTACCATGCTCGAGGCCCTGGGTTCCATCCCTCACACCAAAAAATAATACTAATAATAATCCTGGTGCCTATGGGTTTGTAATTTGCATTTTCCATTTAAGACCCTGTAGTGATGATTACCTCGCACAGAGTCGGGACCCTATCAGATAGTCCTCCCACACAAGCTGCAGCAGGACATACTTGTTTAGCAGAAAAGTATGTTGTTCCTCTGGCTGGATCAGCCAAAGCCCTTGCCCAGCCATCTCCTTACCTTGGAGGGTCATAGAGTTGGAGGAGGAGCAGGAGAAGAAGGTACAATCTCAGAAGCCAGCCTGTAAGAGGCGGCTGCCTTCAGCTCTTCATCACATGCACCGTGTAGCAACACTGCTCTTGGCTGGCTCTGTCCCCAAAACCAACACAAGAAGAAGTGTTAAAAGCAAAAAACACCGAATTCCTCAAAAAAAAAAAAAAGAGTCCACAGGAAGGAACATACTAGGAAATAGCAGGAATTCAGATATGAGTATAGGACGCCGTGTGGTCATCCCTCACTGTCGCTTAGAAGAAGGAAAAGTGAAGACAACCCAAGACTGAGAAGAAATAGAGTCCAGGATGGCTCCCGCCCCCAGACTCGGGACAAAACCGAGACCCGACACTGGCTACGCGATTGCTCTGCCAGCCTAGGCCCTGTTTGACAGTATCTTGGGCCAGGCGAGGTGGCCCACGTCTGTCATCCCAGAGGCTCGGGAGGCTGAGGCAGGAGGATCATGAGTTCAAAGCCAGCCTCAGCAACAGCGAGGCACTAAGCAACGCAGTGAGACCCTGTCTCTAAATAGGGCTGGGGATGTGGCTCAGTGGTCAGGTGACACTGAGTTCAACCCCTGGTACAAAAAACAAAAACAAAAAAACAGTATCTTGAAGGCAACCCAGAAATTCAACCTTATGAATTATTAAGAGTAACAACGTAGGCAACAGAGCAAGACCCTATCTCAGCAGAAAAAAAGGGTCCACATGACAATCCAGGATCTTCATAAACAAGTCATAAAATTATTTTAAGGGCTGTTGAGGTAATAATCACTACACAGTCTTAAATGGAAAATGCAAATTACAAAATGATAGGCACCATGATTTTTTGTGTGTGTGTGTGTGAGTGTGTGTTAGGGATGGAACTCAGGGCCTCAAGCATGGTAGGCAAGTGCTCGGCCACTGAGCTGTATACCCTACTCCCAATCAGGCAGATTCTTTTTTTTTTTTATTATTTTTTGATACCAGGGATTGAACTCAGGGGCACTCGACCACTGAGCCACATCCCCAGCCCTGTTTTGTATTTTATTTAGAGACAGGGTCTCACTGAGTGGCTTAGTATCTTATCATTGCTGAGGCTGGCCTTGAACTTGCAATCTTCCTGCCTCAGCCTTCAAGATGCTGGGGATTATAGGTGTGCCACTGTGCCTGGCTCATAGGCATTTTTTTTTTTTTTTGGTGGTGCTGGGGATTGAACCCAGGGCCCTGTGCATGCACGGCAAGCACTCTACCAACTGAGCGACATCCGAGTCCATCGGCAGATTTTTGGGAGTTTCTCCTGTTTTTAGGAGCTTAGCCTACGGGAACACCGATTGGTTCCTCACAGAAAGGTTTTTAAAAAGTCTGATGAAAAGCCCTCCATCTGGGTGGGAGTGTAGGTCAGTGGCAGGGCGCTTGCCTGGCATGCGCAAGGCCCTGGGTTCCATCCCCAGCACTGCCCAAGCCTCGTGCAGCGGGGCACACCTGAAGTCCCATTGACTTGGGACACTGAAACAGGGGGATCGCTTGAGCCCAGGAGTTTGAGACCAGCCGGAGCAACCCAGCCAAAACCCATCTCAAAAATATACACATAAAATAAAATAAACCAGGGGCTGGGGCCGTGGCTCAGCGGTAGAGCGCTTGCCTTGCACGTGCGAGGCCCCTGGGTTGGATCCTCAGCACCACATAAAAATAAAGAAATAAAATAAAGGTATCGTGTCCAACTACAACTAAAAAATAAATATAAAATAAAATAAACCACCAAGATCACGACAGGACCTTTGAACCACACGTGGGCGGGGCAGTTTCTAAGCAGCCCAGGTAGGAATAACAGAACCAAACTGAGATCAGAGCTGCCCTCCAAGAAACAGCTTGAGGGCTGGGGACAGAGCTCAGCTGGTATAGTGCTCTCCTCATATGCAAAGGCCCTGGGTTCAACCCCAGCACCACAAAAATAGAAAGAAAGGAAGGAAGAAGTGTAAACCAAGGTGCTGAAAATTCAGGGATCAGTTAAGGATTGGAGAACAACTCTTCTAATTACAGCTGTACCTGTCTCCACAGGCCCCTGTGGACAGCTAGATCCACGCACACTTATGTCCCATCTATAAAACTGTGTAGGATTTGAGGGAACCTATGCAGTCTTCTCTGAATCTTCTCTAGATGACTGAGAATATCTAATACAACAGAAATGCTATATAAATAGTCGTTATACTGTATTGTTGAGAGAATAAGGACCAAAAAATTCACTGACATATTCAGTATACGTTTAAATACATTCAATCAGCAGTTGGTTCATGCTAAATTAAAAAACAGGCTTACAGCCAGGCACGGTGGCGCACGCCTGTAATCCCAGTGGCTCAGGAGGCTGAGGCAGGAGGATCTCGAGTTCAAAGCCAGCCTCAGCAAAAGCAAGGCCCTAAGTGACTCAGTGAGACCCTGTCTCTAAATAAAATACGAAATAGGGCTGGGAAGGTGGCTCATGGTCAAGGGCCCCTGAGTTCAATCCCTGGTACCAAAAAAAAAAAAAAAAAAGGCTCGTAATGAGTGAAGAGATGGAGATTCTGAAATTGAATAAAAGACAATATCTGAAAAATTTAAAATTCACTTGTAGGCGAAACGGTCACAGAGGAAAAGGGCCATAAACCAGGCCTCAGGGACCTGTGAACAATATCAAAAGGCCTGATACACGTATAATTTGAGACCCAGAATAAAAGGGGGAACATAAAAATAGCTGAATAAATAGGCTGATGCTGTAGTTCAGTAGTAGGGGTAGAGGACCTGCCAATCACGCATGAGGCTCTGGACTCAATCCCCAGTACCAAAAACAAACACGCAACAACAACAACAACAATAACAACAAAACCCCCGTCACACTGGGTGTCGTGGTGCACACTGCTTGGGAGGTTGAAGCAGGAGGATGGCGAGTTCCAAGCCAGCCTCAGCAACAGCGAGGCCCTAAGCAACTCAGTGAGACCCTGTCTCTAAATAAAATACAAAACAGGGCTGGGGATGTGGCTCAGTGGCCAAGAGCCCCTGAGTTCAATCATCAGTATCAAAAAAAAAAAAAAAGTCAAGACATGGATAATGGGGCTGGGGCTGGGGCTCAGCGGTAGAGCGCTCGCCTCGCACGTGCGAGACCCTGGGTTCGATCCTCAGAACCACATACAAAAATAAACAAGTGAAATAAAGGTGTTGTGTCTAACTACAACCAAAAAATTAAAAAAAAAAAAAAAGACATAGATAATCCGAGACACTGTCAACCACTCAGGCTTAACTGATATTTCCACACTGAGAAATGGAGGCTCAGAGAGGTAAGGTCACCGGCCTGTGGGGGGTCCCCAGAAGAACTGAGTCTTCAAGTCTAGACTGTCCTGTCAGCAGTGTTGGTTGGACAGAACACAGTCCCCAGCTCTTTGCCTAGGAAGGCGAACCCTGCCCCCTGAGGCCCTTGTGACCCACCTGGCCTCAGCACAAAGCAGCCTGGGGTAGGAAGTGGCTCTCAGACTCTGCTCTAGAACCCAAGCAGCCCCTCCACAGGTCTCACTTGCCCCTCCACAGGTCTCCCTTGCCCCTCCACAGGTCTCACCCTCCGGTGCAGGGTGATCAGAAGACCCCCCCCCCCCCCCCCCATGTTGGGAGGGGCCGGTAATGGAATCACAATAAGCTATTGTGCTTGAAGCTGCTGGGTTTAAGACCCCACTGCAAAGGGAAGGCAGGGCCCAGATGCTGGGAACTCGGGGTGTGGGGTAGAAACTGGCACAAGGA